AAGGCATATCTTTGCAAAGTGCCATTCCAAGGTTGGAGCTGATCTATTTGGTGGAGCATTGAATTGCTCCACCAAATTAAATTGGTGGCGCTGTGGGTTAAACCACAGAGCCTAGGACTTGCCAATCAGAAGGTTGGCGGTTCGAATCCCCGCGACAGGGTGAGCTCCCGTTGCTCGGTCCCAGCTCCTGCCAACCTAGCAGTTCGAAAGCACGTCAAAGTACAAGTAGATAAATAGGTACCGCTCCGGCGGGAAGGTAAACGGTGTTTCCGTGTGCTGCTCTGGTTCGCCAGAAGTGGCTTAGTCCTGCTGGCCACATGACCCGGAAGCTGTACGCAGGCTCCCTCGGCCAATAAAGCGAGATGAGCGCCGCAAACCCAGAGTCGGCCACGACTGGACCTAATGGTCAGGGGTCCATTTACCTTTATCTTTGCAAAGTGCCATTCCAAGGTTGGAGCTGATCTATTTGGTGGAGCATTGATTCGCCACGGTATAGTTCTTTTTTGGGCCAACCGGAAGAAGATTCAAGAAACAGAGATTGAAATCTGGGTATCTCGTCGGAGTTCCGTTGGGACCACACCAGCACAAGTATACACATAGAGAGTTTCTCTCATGGACTTATTTCAGAACTATTTGGACTGCTTGGCTTTGAGATACTGAGTTGCGCAAGTCATTATTGTTTTGGCATTTTGTATATTATTTAAGATTTCATGTAACCGAAGGTGTTGAAATGCTGTATATTATTGTTAATGAGTTTTTGTAAATCTACATACAGAGTTAGTGGTTTATCTCTCTGTATTCCTTGGGCGTAGTATTGAATTTAGCAGAAGATATGCTTTAAAAAGCATGTCCCTCCATATGAACATCAGATCCAGAATCCCAATCAAAAGAGGGAAATGATAGAATAGACTAAATGATAGATCTCAAATACATTTACTTCTCGGTAGACATATGTAGGATTCCTCTCTAAACTATGCAAAATAAATCATGGAATAATGGTATGAAAACTGTTTATGTTTGGGAGACTGCCTATCTTTGGTGAAACAGAGTCAGCAAAGTATATTAAATAAATAGCCCTCACTTTTAGTCAGCCTCCCCACCTTTAGCCAGCCCCCCCCCTTTGAATCAGGAGCTACCCACTATACCTAAAATAGCTTTATCCCCTCATTTCCATTTGGCTAAAATCTACCCCATGCTCTGGTAATGTCTCACATTGCCTAGACTAGAGCAGACACTTTCTACTATCTCAACCCACTTCCAGAACTTTGACATTAAAATTATTCTGGCCGTTCAGAGGGTGTGACGCCTCGCTTCAAATCCTCACACTCTCATCCCTGTGGTGAAGGATGTGCAAGCAGCACTGTGGTGAGAGGAAGTTGATATTTGGAAGAGGGGCAGGAGGCAGCTTTGTGATGGTGGTGGAGGAGTTGCTATCCTGTAGATCAACTCCAGTGCTCTGTCTAGCTCTGATCTCAATTCTGCTGGGACTCTTCCACACCCACCTCCCCACGTCCTTGCCTTCTTCCTTGCTGACACAATGGGACTTTTCAGGAGAAGCTGCCAGTGGACAGGGCACCAAACTAGGTAAAGGTAAAGGGACCCCTGACCATTAGGTCCAGTCGAGGCCGACTCGGGGTTGCGGCGCTCATCTCGCTTTATTGGCCGAGAGAGCCAGCGTACAGCTTCCGGGTCATGTGGCCAGCATGACTAAGCCGCTTCTGGAGAACCAGAGCAGCACACAGAAAGGCCGTTTACCTTCCCGCTGGAGCGGTACCTATTTATCTACTTGCACTTTGACGTGCTTTCGAACTGCTAGGTTGGCAGGAGCAGGGACCGAGCAACGGGAGCTCACCCCGTTGTGGGGATTCGAACCGCCAACCTTCTGATCGGCAAGTCCTAGTTTCTGTGGTTTAACCCACAGCGCTACCCACGTCCCAAACTAGCAAGCAGCTAAAAATGAGAGTGGTGGCCAAATCAAGATTGCTTGTGGGTAGTGGGAAGCCTGAAAGTGTTGCATATATAATGTCAAAAGACTGACCCCTTTTCTAGATCCCAGGGAGAGGATTTGCTAGAAAGCTGCTGCAATGCAAGTGTTCAGTGTCAGCTTTTAAAAAACACAGCATTGAAGAGAGGGATGGGTCATTTAATTTCAGCAGGAGTTCTGTGTTAACTGTGTCTGCGCCTCTGCCAGGACTGATATTGCAGCTTGTTTTAAAATAGCAAGTGTATAGGCAAGGTTGAGATAGACAAGATCGGGGGAAACTGCCTGTTGAGATATTTGATTCCAATATAAACCTCTTCAGGCTTGCAAGCCCATAAGTTTAACTTAATTAAAGTCAAGAGAAGATTAAAGTACTTTATTGCAATGCACTGGCTATTCCGGGGGCTTTTCAGAAGTTTGAATCAATGAGGCTCGGTTGTCTTTTGGGGTTGCCAATGATATTTTTATTGTATGGTAAATAGGGATTGCTTGAAAGCATTTGAGGGGTCTTTTCAAAGGTGAGAACCCCTGAGCTAATGCTTGAGAGCAGAGCCAGCCCAAGACATTTTGCTGCCTGAGCCAAAGGATGGCACCCTCCTCTCACTCCATACGCAGAAATCAACTTCCTTCCTTCCTTCCTTCCTTCCTTCCTTGAATCTTCCTTCAACACACTGGTGGAGGGACGGAATCCTTCACTGCACCTGAGGAAGCCAGCTAGTTTTGGAGGACCAAGACAAACTGTGCAACACCCACAGGTTTGCCTTCCAACAGAGGGGAATGGCCAGAAGGCTAAGGATGGGTGGCCAGGAGTCTGTGGCCTTCAGTATTCACTCTTTAAGAATGTCCTCTCACTCTTTCTACCAGCAGAGATTAAGCAAAACCACCCCCTCCCCTCTTTCAAACAACTTTTGAAAACTATACTTTGTAATATGAATATACAGTGGTACCTCGGGTTACATACACTTCAGGTTACATACGCTTCAGGTTACAGACTCCGCTAACCCAGAAATAGTGCTTCAGGTTAAGAACTTTGCTTCAGGATGAGAACAGAAATCGTGCTCCAGCGGCACGGCGGCAGCAGGAGGCCCCATTAGCTAAAGTGGTGCTTCAGGTTAAGAACAGTTTCAGGTTAAGAACGGACCTCCGGAACGAATTAAATACTTAACCCGAGGTACCACTGTACTCCTTTTATCCAGTCACTATTTGCTGGTGTATTAAGGAATTTTTTCTGGATGCTTTTTGCTGATGTTATTCTTATATGTTGTATAATGCCTTGATATACTTATATGAAAGTGTGGATTTTAAACACATCAATCAGTCAATAATAATTGTGTGTCGTCGTCGTCCCCCCTCAAGAAAAATGGTAGGGCTGGCCCTGTCTGTGTGTGGGATTGGAGAGAACGCAGCCCAGTTTGCAGTTTCTGCTTGCATCAACCATGTCTTGGAGCAAGGGGTAGGCATAGACAGTAACTTTGGGCATATCCAGCCAAGCATTTTTCTCTGACACTGCTAGGGATCCTGGGACGTGTAGTTGTGGTTGAAGCTCCAGGAGCTTGAGCCAGGAGGGTAAAGCCAAAGCAGGTGAAACGAGGATAGAAACTCACTGGTGGCTGGTTGAGCCTGCAGGGATCTGGTGAGGTCGGAAGTGGTGCCAGGATGGAACCCAGTGATTTGGGGGTGAAACGGTGGGTTATTTGTGGAGCCTGGAAAAATCATAGGAGAAAGAACTTAGAGTTTTCTGCTTTTCCTGTTGCCATCCATAGCATAATTTGGTGGCGGGATTGGTAAAATGATGAACTATTGGGTAGTTAGTGTTATCCTGATTGTTCAACAGTTTATTTGTTCCCAGGTTTAATGGGAATTTTATTAACACAGGCTGAGATTTTTCCGTTGTGCTCCCGGTCACAAACTCAACTGAATCCAGCACATACTTTGATGGGGCTATGTCAGTGTGTCAGAGTCCTTGTTCCAAATAACTCCAGACATGGTAGCCTCAGGGGCCCAGAATGGTTCTGTGATGGCCTGGGATTCAGACTCAGAGGCTGAACCTGAGGAATCCCAGCCTGCACAGGACTCCTTGCCTCCAGAACCAGCTGAGCCGGGGCTGGGGCTTGAACCTGAAGGGTCCTCACCTGTGCTGGATCCTCAGGTGCAGGCACCAGCTGAGTCTGCTCTGGCTCCTGAGGTGGTGGAGGAACCATTGCCTGCAGGTGCTCCACCCTCAGCCCCGTCAGGGGAAGCTGAGGTTGCCTCTGGGTCCGGTAACCCTCCAGCCTCTCCTGAGCTGCAGAGGCTCAGGGCAGAGAGACGGAGAGAACTAAGTTCCCGCAGGAGGAGTGCTTGCCTCCAGGCCAGGAGAGGCGAGTCACCTGTGGACCGGGGCCGCCCTATGCCTCAGAGGAGATAAAGGCCAGCCCGCCCAGTCCCAGGTTGCGGGAGCAACGTTGTTGCTAGCCTATTCCTGCCTGCACCCTGTCCTGCTCTTCTGCCAGAGTTCCTGACCCCACCCGACTCCCTGCCTTGGACCCAGCTTCAGCTTTGACGGACTGCCTCCATACTGCACCCTCAACCTCGGACTGGACTCCGACCTCGCCTCACGGTTAACCCACGGGACCAGCACAGGGTCCTTACTCCAGGTTTCACCTGGGTCATCAACACCCTAACAGCAGTATATGGGCGCTTACCGTGCTTATGGGAGGGTGACTGTTGCAGCCCCCTTAAGTTCCACCTTCCTCCTCAGCAGCTAGAACATGCTTGTTTGCCGGCTGCTGCTGGAGAATTCCCCTCTGATGGCAGTATCAAGGGGCAATCTTTCTGCCAAAGAGGGCAAATTTGAATGGGCCAATCAGAGGCCCCACTTGGAGGGTGGTGCCTCATTGCCTGGCCAGTCATTGGCTGTTGCCCTGGCAGCGAGGCTTAAAAAGGGAAATGAGTGTTTCTATGCCTTGCCAGTTGTGGGTGGGGTGGGGAGGCGAGGGGAGAGGTTAAGTTAAGTTTTATTTTTCCACAGCTGGGAAAAATGCAGATCATGATTTCAAAGCAAGCATCCATTGTAAGTTCATTTGCTGGAAATAAATCTAGAATAGCAACTCTTGTCAGAGGCGATGTGGGGGATGAAGAAAACACTGAAGCTAACCTTTCAACTACTGCTGGTAGACAGTATTACAGACAACTCAAATTAATCAGTGCATCTTCCCTTTGTGATAAATTTTGTCACTTAAAAACAGATGTTATTACTTTGCTGAAACAGATCAATAGAATTTCTTTTTCCTTTCTTACTGAAATTATGCTAAAAATATTGGGAGATCTTAACTTTGTAACATCACTGCCACAACAGAAGAATCTGGATATCAAACTAGCATTTAAGCTTACTGGCTGTGTTGGAAAGCAGTTGCAAGAAATGTGAAATTACATTGTTTTCAACAACTCTTTCTGAAGCAAAGCATGTGACTGCAGACCATTAAGCACCACCAAAGCATCTTTGTAAACTTCCACACAAAATTTCCTCGGTGTTGTTGATGGGTGATGATGTTAATTTTGAAGAAAGAAAGAACTAAACTTCAGAAGGTTTTATAACAGAATTGCATGGACAGGCCGAGTCCCCCAAACCCTGGGCAGCCCCCATGTGGAATAATGACTCAAGACAACGTGCTATGGGATTAAAATTGGCCACAACTTTATTATGTTTCAGACGTGGGTAGACCTTGGCTCAGGCACTGGGTGTTTATCCCTCCCAGTCCCCCCCCCCGGGGATCTGGGGAACATCAGGGTTATCCAGTGGGGGGGGGGAATGGGCTGGCTCTGGAGAACATATGTTCAAGCAGAGAGAGCCTGCCCCAGTTATGCCGCCGTCGCAGGGGAGAGCAATGACAACCTCTAGGCGTACGGCCAAAGCCTCCCCTCAAACAACCCCTTTAACAGAGAACCCTGGTATTGCCGCCACAAAGAGGAGGGGGGCGTGGGTCACCGGGAAGATAGCCTAAAGGATTCCTCCCACGGCCTGATACCCCCAAAGTTGTGATGCTTTGCTGCAGGAAAGGCAAACCTAAAGGATTCCCATCTTCAGGGAAGATAGCCTAAAGGATTCCGCCCAAGGCCTGATACCCCCTAAGTTGTGACGTTTTGCTCCGGGAAAGGCAAACCTGCCAATGCAGGAGAATTCCTTTCCGGCCCTTCAACAGCGACCTTGACGTAGCAGTGCCCACATACCTGTGGAGAAAAGGTTAACCTGCAAAAGAAGTCTTAACTGAGGATGGGGGAGTGGGAGAAGCTCTGGAGCCAACTGACGATTCCCAGGTAAGATCCTCCTCCTATTGTGTGGGTAGGTATTCCCTCCCCCTACCTGTTTTGATCACCTTGGCAATGCCTCCCCAGGCGGGACTGGGCAACTGACTGAGGTAGGCGGAGACCTCCAGGTGCGCGCAACCACACAAAGGGCACCCCCCATTTAATGTGGGGAGTGGTCATTACTGACTGTTGAGTACATGAAACTAGGAAACAGATTCAAAGAGAAAGACTATAATGTTGTAGTAGTACCTTACAAGCATTTACTCCAACATGGGAATGAGGACAATTTGAATTAATTATGTGAAATAGTGAAATACAACACAGACAACCATGAAAAACTAACAGGCTTAAGTTGGCAAATTCCCTTATTTGAATCATAGAATCATAGAATCATAGAGTTGGAAGAGACCACAAGGGCCATCGAGTCCAACCCCCTGCCAAGCAGGAAACACCATCAGAGCACTCCTGACATATGGTTGTCAAGCCTCTGCTTAAAGACCTTCAAAGAAGGAGACTCCACCACACTCCTTGGCAGCAAATTCCACTGTCGAACAGCTCTTACTGTCAGGAAGTTCTTCCTAATGTTTAGGTGGAATCTTCTTTCTTGTAGTTTGGATCCATTGCTCCGTGTCCACTTCTCTGGAGCAGCAGAAACAACCTTTCTCCCTCCTCTATGTGACATCCTTTATATATTTGAACATGGCTATCATATCACCGCTTAACCTCCTCTTCTCCAGGCTAAACATGCCCAGCTCCCTTAGCCGTTCCTCATAAGGCATCGTTTCCAGGCCTTTGACCATTTTGGTTGCCCTCCTCTGGACACGTTCCAGTTTGTCAGTGTCCTTCTTGAACTGTGGTGCCCAGAACTGGACACAGTACTCCAGGTGAGGTCTGACCAGAGCAGAATACAGTGGCACTATTACTCCCTTGATCTAGATGCTATACTCCTATTGATGCAGCCCAGAATTGCATTGGCTTTTTTAGCTGCCGCGTCACACTGTTGGCTCATGTCAAGTTTGTAGTCAACCAAGACTCCTAGATCCTTTTCACATGTACTGCTCTCAAACCAGGTGTCACCCATCTTGTATTTGTGCCTCTCATTTTTTTTTGCCCAAAAGAAAGAAAGTCACTGATGTAATTTGCATATCAGCTCGCAAGATATGGATTTATATTTCTCGGACTTGGTCTTTTGGTTGAGACTGCAGTGACTTTTCCAAGCAATACTGCAGCAGTCAAAATGGGGGGTTACAGCACTAGACTGTTGACATCACGATTTAAATTCTCACCCAGTTACTATCTCTCAGTCCCAGCCCACTTCACAGGTTTGTTGTGAGGATAACAAAAGGGAAGTGTTACCCTGAAGTCATTGAAAAAAGAGTTGCTTGGAAATGTGAGACACAGAAGACCAGAAGTATATTTTTGCTTCATTTTGTTTGTGGTAAGTATGTAGTACTATTTTTTGACGATAAATGCCACTGACAGCTATCAGTATAATGGTCTTTTGGTTTCAATGGCTTTCTGTATGCTTAATACTCTGTTGGATTGTAGCTAATGTATTTGGGGGTATTAGGATGGGCCATAGATTCCTCACAGCTACTGCCCACTCACAAACACCAGCCCTAAGTAAGAGACACCAATGGATAATTACAAACTCAATTGGACAAGGATTCAGTATTTTTTTGAAAAACAAGAAACTACCATATACCTTCTTTGCTTAGGCATATTTTTCTTGATTTGGTGGAATTATTATTATTGTTGTTTATTTTATTACAATTATTATTTGTATAGCACCCTTCAGCGAAAGATCTCAGGGCAGTTCACAAGATAAAAATACAAGATAAAAGCACAAATAAACAGTTAAAATAGAAACAACAAAACAATAACCCCTCCCTCCCACAAACCCATTTAAAAGGCTGTGGAATATTAATCAGCCACAAAGGCCTGGTTGAAGAAATCCTGTGTAAGTGAATTAGGTTTTAACAGGTATTGTTTCATGTGTTCTGACATCTGTACTGTAATGTATCTGATGCGGGAAGTTTTCACTCTGGTCCAGTGAAAGTTTGTTTAACTGTTGCTTGAGGCGTCAACTGACACCTGTGAGGAAGGTTGGAATTAGAATTCTCAGTATGCAAAAGAGGGATTGAAAGCCTGCATATTTTGATTGGTGGATGCAGGGTTAGAATTTTCAGTTAGGCAGTGTGATTGGCTGGGGCTACTGCAGAAGGGCCAAAGGAAGTGTATATATAGCCAGGTGCTGGCCAGAAGAGCAGCTGTTGGTGTCATGGAATCAGTCAGAAGGAGGAGGCAGCAGAGGACCAGGACAGGTGAAGAAGAAGAAGGAGGAGGAAGACATGAGAAGCAAGGTAGGGCAGTTTGGTGTCCAAAGTCTTGGGGAATAGCCAAAACACTTGACTTGGACTGAAGAGACAAGTGGAGAACCTGTCTGCTCAGCTGAGGAGCAAAGTGGGAGGCAGCTTGGGATGTTGGTTTTGGGGGATTGGAAGGAATACCTGAAGGAAGATTTCCTGGTCTGTGCAGGAAGACAAACTTGGACTTCAGTAGGTCAACAAAGGGTTAGAAAAGAGACTTCCAGCTGAATCTGCAGTTATCATGTTGGTGAGGCTTAACTGGCTAGAGAGAATAAAAGGGCAATTTGGCTGGTCTTTTAACAGGGTAGTTAACTACTTCCTTAAAATATAACATTAATAGTTGGCTATAAGCTGTTGGCTTTAAAGTGACCCCAACAAGTTAATAAAATGTACACTCATTTAAGGAGACATGCGGTACTATTTTAAAGTAACCAGATAAGGTTGTGGCCTTAATCTGTTGAACTTCAGGTGCTAGACAAAGATTTTTCTAACCCAGCAGGCATTTTAAGGAATTGTTTGCTTTCATTATTAATTTTAATTGATTTTCACCATTGTGAGTTTTGGGGATTCATTCTATTTGATATGCGGCAAGCTTTTTGCTTTTTTTTTTATGTACAGCACTTAGAAATTCCAGTGATTGAGTAGTATGCAAATAGCTTAAGTAAGTAAATAAGTAAATAAGTAAGCAAAATGACCCTTGGTGGGGAGGAGGAGTTAGTCCAGTTGCAGCAGGGTCTGAGGTCTTGATTGTCTCTCTGTCTTGTTCTTTGGGTAGATGATTCTGTTGGGGAGGGATAATTCACCTGGAGCAGGCTGATATTATATTCACCTGCCTCCTCACTCCTCTGTTCCTTCCATCAGTGCAGCTGTTATTAGTAGGCTTTGCCTTTTTTCTTTTTTAAAGCTATACATGCAGTATTTAAAGTGGGGGGGGGACCCACAAAGCTGATTTTAGAGAAGAGTGAACGGCAAGCAACCCCATTTGCAACCTAAGTTATCCTACAGTGCAGTTGCAGCCTTAAGTATAGCTGGCAGCCGCCTGGAAAATAAGTAAACAAGGCAATTATTGGCGATGCCTCCTTCTCCGATGTATTCTTTGCTAGCTTTCATATACTTCAACTGAGCAGAGCCACGGATGAAACTCCAAAGGTGTGCAGGTCATTTGTGGGAGGAAACCTACAGGGGATTTCTGGAGAGAACTGTTTTTTCATGCGTCTTCTCCACTAGCAGAAAAATATACTGTACCTGCAGTTGTCTGCTCATCCTAGGGGCTTCTGAAAAATTCACAAGCATTTTCTTTCATGTTGTGAAAAAGTGGGAAGTTGGGGAGAAGTGGAAGAGTGTTGTTCTTCCAATCTGTGTATTGAAGGCACTGAATACATCCCCCCCCCCGGTGCAGCAAGCAATGTGTGTATGTGTGAAAACACACACACACACACACACACACACACACATATACACATATATATATATATATATATATATATATATATATCAGGAGCAATATTTCAAACTGAGCCAGGGTTGAAGAACCAACAATAGTATCTCAGCCCACTGACTCATTCTACTGAGAGCTAAGAGACCAAAGAGCTCTTTAAACCTTCCTCCATTCTGGGATGGACAGTGATGTTGATAAAGCCCTCTTTTTTTGTACTGTACATACTTAGAGGCCCAGTTCAGTCTTTAATTCTATACCAAGGGGCAAGAGAGGCTACAAACTTAGAGCTTGCTCAGTCAGTAGACCACGAGACTCTTAATCTCAGGCTCATGGGTTTGAGCCCCAAATTGAGCAAAAAGACTAGATGATCCTTGTGGTTCCTTCCAACTCCACAATTCTCTTGCGGTCAGACAGTGGAATGGACTCCCTCGGGAGCTTGTGGACTCACATTCACTGGAGGCTGGATGGCTATCTATCCATGGATAGAGCTTTTTTTATATATAGGAAACCACTAAAATTGTTGAGCCTTTTTAAGGAAAGTCCCAAAATTGTTGACTATAAGACTCTATAAGACTCACTTTTCCCCTCCTAAAACATAAGGGGAAATGTGTGTGCGTCTTATGCAGGCTGCGCACCTATCACAGAAGCCAGAACAGCAAGAGGGATTGCTGCTTTAACTGCGCAGTGATCCCTCTTTGCTTTTCTGGCTTCTGAGATTCAGAATATTTTTTTTCTTGTTTTCCTCCTCCAAAAACGAGGTGCATCTTGTGGTCTAGTGTGTCTTTTAGAGCGAACAATGCGGTACCTAAAATCTGGGACAAAGTGCCGCCTGGACGTCAATTCTGAATTTGAAATTCCAGCCCTAAAATTAATTAATTTAGGCAGCCCTAAATTAATCCTTGTTTCCTTTCTGGTGTGAACAGCAAAAGAAAAAAGCAACTTGAAATGAGGTGGGTGGAGGAAGTGACCTCACTGCATATAAAGTCGCTAATGTGTGCATATTAGCCTATAAGCTATGAGCAGGGCATTTTATTTCTCCTGTTTCCATTTCCCCTGGCTAACGCAAAAGATTCTCTGGCTACTGAGCATGCTTAATCCTCACTGAACTCGCCCCACCTTTAATTACTTCTTTGCAAACACCATATTTCTCCCTCTTAATTCTCATTGCGGTCCCATTTGGGCTTCAATCCTGTTGGCGCCCATCACCTGGGTTTGCTATTAGCAGGCAAGGTTAGCTGTCCCTTGCACCAACCTGATTCTTTTCTGTCCACACAATTTCTCTTTTTTATCTGTCCTCTTTTCAAATGAAATGTCCGTTTACTATTGCTTGCCATGTTTTCATTTACAGCTGCACACACACATAGGAATTCTTCACAGAGCATGGCCAAAATATAGGGCACAATCCAGGCAAAGTTTGGCAGTTTTAAATCCCATTGATTTCAGTGCGATAGCCTGAGCACATAGCTAACTCTCTGATTGAAATCAATGGGACTTAAAAAGTGCTTATCTTTTGCTGAGGCAGGCCTTTGCTATTTCCTGATGTTTAGCCATGACTACTGGAGAGTTAGCTTGTGGAATTCTTAAAGCTGCCCACTTTCCTTATGCCTTTTTAAATACCTCTGAAATAAGGTGGGCTTGCAGGTGTTTGCAGTATGGCTGCTTATTATTACTGCAAGGCGGAAGTACCTGTAACATTGGTGCTAATTACTTCACCCAGTAGATGGCAGTGTAGAGCAAGGTAAGATTTGATTAAGGAGGAAGAAACAAAAGGTTATCAGACAGGAGCAGTCTGGCATGAGGTGATCTTTTCTATCATCTGCAGGATTTTAAGGGGTCTGTAGTTCACCTGAAAACAGGAAAGCAGTTTTCAGCAAGAGAAACAACAAAAAAGCAGCAAAAAAAGGCAGAGGCAGTTTCTAACAGAACAGATGTTCACAGGTTATAGGGACAGATTGCTGTGTATTCTATGCCTGTGAGAATGGTTTGGAAACTAGCAGATCATTGAGACCAGAGAAATGCAGGAAGGTAAGTAGATATATAATCTACATACCTTCCTGCATTTCTCTCATGAAAATAGGGACGTCTTTATTTATTTATTTTAATCCTTCTGACTGAGTTGTCCCAGCCACTCCCAGCATAATAAAACATTAAACATTAAAAAAAAAAAAATTCCCTATACAAGGCTGCCTTCAGATGTCTTCAAAAAGTTGTACATGCAAGCTCAAGAGTCCAGTTCTTAGTTACAAGTTGTTTAATGACTAGCTGCAGTGAAAACACTTCAAAGAGAGGCAGGGCCTAACATTTCTGGTGTCTTAACTGCTCAGAAGGGGTGACCCTGCATCTGGAGATGAGTCGGGAGGACAGGAATGAGGAACAGTCATCTCCTTAATACATTTTTTTTTTTTTTACAAAAACTCCCCTCCCAGGAGGGGTGGCATCCATTTGTGGGTCCTAACCAATCAGTACCAAAGGTTCACATTTGGCCAAAGAGGCCAAATAGTAGGAGTTGACAAGAATTTTGAAGGGAAAAGGGACTAAGCATAGGTCACAAGCACTGTATTCAATCCCATAGCTACCTACTGTGAGTTTGAAATCCCACCGGATCTTGCTAATTGTTTCACTGCTTTACTGGTCGCATGTTTGCTGCTTTAAACTTTAGCATCAGGCAATGGTCGTTCTTACATACATACATGCATACATACATACATACAAGGTAAAGGGGCCTCTGACCATTAGGTCCAGTCATGGCCAATTCTGGGGTTGCGGCGCTCATCTCGCGTTACTGGTCGAGGGAGCCGGCGTACAGCTTCCAGGTTATGTGGCCAGCATGACTAAGCCACTTCTGGAGAACCAGAGCAGCGCATGGAAATGCCGTTTACCTTCCCGCTGGAGCGGTACCTATTTATCTACTTGCACTTTGATGTGCTTTTGAACTGCTAGGTTGGCAGGAGCAGGGACCGAGCAATGGGAGCTCACCCCATTGCAGGGATTCGAACCGCCAACCTTCTGATCGGCAAGTCCTAGGCTCTGTGGTTTAACCCACAGCGCCACCCGCGTCCCAGTACATACATGCATACAAACATACATAATCTATCCCAGCTGCTGCAGAACTTTGAGGAGGCCCAGCCCATTCATTGAATAATTGGGGGGGGGGGACTTCCCCCTCTCTGCTTGGCGCATCTGTTCAGTACTTTGGTAAGCCTGAGTTGGCTAGGGGGGTTGTTAGGCTAAGGACTCTAGAGCATCTCAGCTTCAAAGGCAGACTAGTAGGGTAGTAAGCTGAAGCCAGCAAAGGGAATCTTGAACTGCACCCCCAGTGGGGAATATGGGCTAAAGTAGATATGGTGTTAAATGTGTGGCTGCATTTAGCATGTAAATTTCCCCACCCAAGAAATAACAGCCATCTAATGTGAGAAACTTTTATATATACACAGCTGATTCTCAGACAGACATTGGGTTTACCAATGATTCAATTTATACAAAGGTATGTTTGGAGATTTGTACAGTGTGCCACCTCTTGCTCGGAGAGTTTGCTCTGTGGTGTGCTTTGCTTGCACTGAGGAAACACACTGCAACATGCAGTCTGCCTAACCAAACCAACCTGATTGGCAAGTAGCCATACATGATAATGGTTCACGACACAAAAAGATTTTACAAGATCACTTTGCAGAATAGCTTCACCTGGCAAATAGCTTTCTGAGAACTGGAAGTGACATAGTTATATGGCGAGGCATCTTGCACACAACAAATTAATCACTGTAAACCGTTTACTTGGACCTAATTAAAGTTAAATGGTAAGATGTCAAAATAAAGAAAAGACTCTTTTGCAATGGATTACCTGTGCTTTTTGTTTACTTGTTCCTATTTGCAAAAAAAAAAATTAAGTCTATATGAATATTCCCATCATTAGTGTAAATGGGTAGGTTTGGCTGCAATTTGCCTTGCAGTGTTGCCAACTCACAGTTCACAATCAAATTGCTGTACTGTGTTATATTGCCTTAGTTGTGGTCACAGTAGCCTGGGTCAGGATCACTGCACTTTGTTCTGTATAGAAATGATCAGTAGGGTATTACACAAACCACCTTCAGCCAGATCCAGACCAAAAGGAGTCCCCTCTAGGGAAGTTAGGAGGCCATCTCATCTCCCACCAGCAGCCCATGATTCAGATAATTTATGGTTATCTCCAGGAGCACTTACATTCCTGGCTACTTGATGGTTATTGTTATAAATCATGAAATAGACATATGCTAGGTCTGTCTTCCACAACTTGGTGCCTACCCGATGTTTTAGACTCCAACTCTCATCAGCCGCTCAACAGGGATGATTGGAGTTTTAGACTGAAACATCTGGAGGTCTCCAGGTTAAGGAAGGCTGCATTAGGTATATGCATGCCAAAGGCACAAACGTGTTTGCTTTAAAGAGGGCAACGGACTTGAGTTCATAAAGGTAAATGGACCCCTGACCATTAGGTCCAGTCGTGGCCAACTCTGGGGTTGCAGTGCTCATCCTGCTTTATTGGCCGAGGGAGCCGGCGTACAGCTTCCGGGTCATGTAGCCAGCATGACTAAGCCACTTCTGGCGAACCAGAGCAGCGCACGGAAACGCCATTTACCTTCCCGCTGGAGCGGTACCTATTTATCTACTTGCACTTTGACGTGCTTTCGAACTGCTGGGTTGGCAGGAGCAGGGACCGAGCAACGGGAGCTCACCCCGTCGCAGGGATTCAAACCACCGACCTTCTGATCGGCAAGTCCTAGGCTCTGTGGTTTAACCCACAGCGCCACCCGCGTCCCTATGATCTGAGTTCATAGTTAAGGAGAATTAAATTAAGTTAAGTTAAGATAAGTTAAGTTAAGGAGAATTAAGTTAAGGAGAATTAAGAAGTAACCACAATAAATGCTGTCAAACTGTTTTTATTCAGTCTTGAAGATATCCAACAGGGGTCTCTGAACCTTACGGAGAATCTTTTACCCTCACTATGAAATCTCTCCCCAGCCTCCCATTTCACGTCCTAAATCATGAGCAAAGTTGTCTATGACGGAGCAACAAGGGGTTCTTAAGAGCACATTTCCTGGTTCTTTTTACCAGCCGTGGGATAGCTCAATTGGTTAGAGCATGGTGCTGATAACACCAGGGTTGCACAGGGTTCGATCCCCATATGAGACAGCTACATATTTCTGCATTGAAGGGGGTTGGACTAGAAGATACTCAGGATCCCTTCAAACTCTACAATTCTTTGGTTCTATGTGATAACACACAATACCCTCATCCCTTTTTGAACATACATTTAGCTGGGTTTTCATTGCTGTGAGAATAACGGATTGCATGCAGGAAAAGCTTCACTCTCTTGCATAAAGGTTACAATAATAATAATAATAATTAATAATATGATGCTCATCTGACTAGGTTGCCCCAGCTACTCTGGGCTGCTCCCAACAAAAAACAGCAAAAACACAATACACCGAACACTAAAAACTTCCCTGAACAGGGCTGCCTTCAGGTGTCTTTTAAAAACCACATAGCTGTTTATCTGTTTGACATCTGCTGGGAGGGCGTTCCACAGCGGGGGCATGACTACCATAAAGGTTCTCTGCCTGGTTCCTCTTGCAATGAGAGAACCACCAGAATACCCCTGGGGCTGGATCTCAGTGTCTGGGCTGGACGATGGGAGTGGAGACGCTACCTTTTAACCGTGTAGGTGGTGCAGGAGAGGATGCTGCTACTGCGCTTTGAAATGCATGGGAAGTATTTCCAAGGAATACGTGAGATACAGGGGGGGCTGAAGCCCCCTGGGAATGGGAGGGTGGAAAGCAGAGAGACCAACAGTCGATGAAGCAAGAGCCAATGACAGGCACAGCCACCTCTGGATTAATTATAAGTGAGACAGTAGGCATCAGCGCTTGAGTAATGTTCACACTAGGAGAGGGAGGGACTCAATGGATGCTATAGATGGCATATTCCAATGTCCTGGGCTGGGTTAGTATATGTTGCCTGCCTGCCTGCCTGCCAGTGCACGTATTGCTCCATATGTGGGTGTTGCGCTTTTCTCTGAGGAAGAATCGGGCCTCAGAGATTTAACCTCAAAACTCAGGGTTTGAGCAGGTTTATTCCTGGATTTAAACGTGATTTTAAACACTGCTCGAAAAGCACTATATGTATCAGCCTGCAAATACTGCAGCATTAGCAAGAAGTGTGTAAATTGTGACTTACATATTTCCTGTTCCATGCAGTTTGTAAAATTCACCATTATCATAAATTTCACCGCAGTTAGGCTTAATATATGCAAAGATAAATCTAATAAGATGCAAAGGCCCTGAAGATCAGAATGTCATAACATTTACAGACCATGAGGAAGGAAGCAGACCCTCAAGGAAGCATCTACCATAAATTACAGACAAAAGGCAAAAAGGGAAAGGGGGGGGGAAACGGTGGGGAGGGGGAGAGAGAAGTCAGAGTCAGACCTTTCCAATATACAAAAAACATCCCCCAGACAGTTTGCCAAGCTAATGCTGCTTTTTGGTTATCCATTGTTAACGTATAGGTCAATCCAGTGAGCAGATGAACAAGCAAATAGTTATATAATTCAGAGGCTGTGATGCGCATGGGGAGCTCCATGCACACAGAGGCTTCCCACTTTATGAACAGGCTGTGATATATTGATGGCAATGCTGCCACCAAGCAGAAGGCATCTCCTTCTGCAAGGAGAAACTATTTAGCCTTGGCTGAAGAACTAACTCTCATTCAGGCAATAAGGAAGGGAGGCTCTGTGCGAGATCATTTTCAGAGAGCCCCTGCCATGCGTGCCATGCTGGGGTTGGGGAAGTCTTGTGTCCTTTGCTCAGCAGTGCCCAGTTATTATTTATAATAATAATTATCATTATTCTGCCTCAAGGCAGCTCACAAAAATTAAAACAAATACCAATAAAACAGGCACAGTTTAAAACACATGGAAGGTTATGGTTAAAAAGTATTAAACTATCTATAGAATTAAAACAATGCAAATAAAACCCCCACATCTATTTAAATGCAGATGGGGGGGGGGGGAGAACTACAGTACAGTACGCTAAGACCCCTTCCTTTAAAAGCAGTCACTTCCCAAAAGCCTGTTGGGATAAAATAGTCTTCACCTGCCAGCCGAAGAGCCTGGGCAGGTTCATATTGTGCAGTCCTTCTGATAGCCCGTACCTAAGTCGTTTTCTCTTCCCAGTCAGCAATGTATAATCTCAATTAGGCAGTATTGGTGCCCCGCCCTGTCCCTCAAGGCTACTGCCTCCTCTGCATGTACAGGCTCAGCATCCTCCTCTCCACCAAGAAGAGCTTGGCTGGACCACGTTGCTGTTGAGGAAGATTCATCACGCTAGTGTGCAACCAGGAAGCCGCCTCTGTTAAGCCTCCCCTTGTGCACCAGCAGAGTTGAATTATTTTCCCAAGCTTGCTTGGAAAACAAGGAGTAGCAAGTCAAGTGGTGGTGGCAATAACAAACCACCTCACTTGGACTAAATCTAGTTTGGAAGAGGGAGGGGAAGGAGATGGGGAAGCCATCCTCCTGCCCTCTCTCTGTCTCTAAGCATCTTGTACAAACAGAAAGGCTGGTTGGCGGCGGCGGCTGCTCTCCTTCCCTTTCCAGAATCCTTTGGTTAGCAGCTGATGTAAGACCCTGTCAGAAACTATGAATGGGACAAGGAAGTTCTGGAAGGTGGTGGTGGAGGGGGGTGGGATGCAGTGCTGTTCCTACTGCTACCACTCAAATTTGCCACCCTGGGCACCTGCCCTGGGTTGCCCTCCTGTAAAAATGTCCCCGTGAGCAGAATAGTATTGTGTTTGTGCAATGGATAACTTCTGTCAACAATAAATCCCAATGGCCTTAGACTATTCCCAAAAGATGAAGACAGGTTTGTTGCATCAAATTAAATTACTGGCTATTAAGGTCCAAGGTTAGTGGAGTATTCAGATACTTCTAAGTAGAATCAAAATTTGGGTTGCCAGGCACTAGCCTTTATAATATATATGCAGTTTCTGGCTTCCTTGTGTCACATTTGCATCAAGGTCAAGCTATGGAAAAGGATCAGGACTTATGTCAACAGTTACCATTTGAATTTATGTATTCAAGCACAAGTGTGTGTGTTTCTTTTTCTTTTGAAAAAAAACTGCTCTTGACTTCAACAAAGCAATTGCAAAGTTACTCAAATGGGGAAAGCATTTTGAGAGTTCTTAAGTCCATGACAGAATTCAAACCACTCACTATGCTGAGAAGAATAGCTCCACCAATGGAGATGTCATTTTACATCTTAGACTAAAAGAACCATCCATGAATAGACGGTCTAGAACCTTAAACACCAAATGGCATGTGCAATGTCATCCTAGACACATTGAACTGAGGAGTGAGCCCAGTTGCACATAATGGGTTCTCCTTCTGAGTAAGCAAGTGCTGGACTGCAAGAAGATCAAACCTATCCATTCTTAAGGAAATCAGCCCTGAGTGCTCACTGGAAGGACAGATCCTGAAGCTGAGGCTCCAATACTTTGGCCACCTCATGACAAGAGAAGACTCCCTGGAAAAGACCCTGATGTTGGGAAAGATGGAGGGCACAAGGAGAAGTGGACGACAGAGGACAAGATGGTGGGACAGTGTTCTCAAAGCTACCAGCATGAGTCTGACCAAACTGCAGGCGGCAGTGGAAGACAGGAGTGCCTGGTGTGCTCTGGTCCAGGGGGTCACGAAGAGTCGGACACGACTAAACAACAACAACAACAACAACAACAACAACAAGCAAGTGCTGAACATGGAAATCCTCTCCTTCTAAAATAATTCAGTTAGTTTGCATTTGATCCTCTGCGGAAAGAAATGTGTACAAGGAGAGGATGATAGTAGATAGACTCAACCCTTTGATGCCATCAGGAAATGCCGACCCACCAAAAGTATCAGAACAGAAGCCTCCATTTTGACCTTTCCAAATCCAAGACTAACATAAAAATGAAGGGGATGACAAGAGGTATCTATCGCATCTCAGCAATCATTACAATTGAAAGGTTGACCCCCCCACCCACCCCATAGCAGGTGGACTGCCTCAATTATGATGGATGAGGAGTGTGACAGCTCTCAGGAGATGTAGTGGGAAGCTGGCAATTGCTCAGTGAGCTATGACGTTGCTGGTAGAGATCTGACAAGAACAGAGCATTTTTATGAAACTACAGAGCTTAAGTTTCGGTGGTCTTTAATTTGCTTTATAACCGATTGCATAAACTAGTTGGTGAAAATAGAACTCTTTCACAAGAACGGAGGGGGGCTTATTGGGTCAAGGTGATCCAAATATGATTTTATTGTTCTTTCTTGCCTACCTTCAGTTTTTTGGGGAAAAGAACCTAGAAAGACAGCAAAACATGGACAATCCTGACACTCTTTGAGCGCCAATAAATTTTCACACAGAAAGTGGTGTAATTAGAACTGAGGGGAACAACACAGGTGGGCATGAAGAAAAATAATGGACTTACCTAGCAAGTTTGAAAGTATCTAGTATTGAGCAAGGACAGGTGCGTTCAAATCCTTGCTTATCCATAAAGCTCTCTATTTGATATTGGACCATTCTTTCTGGGCCAAACCATTGTGGTAAATGTGCAGTGTCCACTGAAAAAAGAAGCCATGTGTCTTATTCCTCCTCTGTACCACCCAGTGGAACTTACTTCATGTGGTGAAATCATGATACCCCCATGTTCTCCCACTCAGTTGCCTGTCGTTAGCAGGCTATGATGCAGAGCAGGTGTGGAGATATGCAGCATGCTGTGAAGAAAGGTCTATTTGACATTATGGAGGGGAAGATGGAAGGAGCAAGATATGTAGTAGCCAATTTGGGCAACTGCCCATGTATTTAACCTAAATCTAGATTGCCCCTAGCTGGGTATGTTTAGCCTGGAAAAGAGGAGACTGAGAAGAGATATGATACCAATCTTCATGTATCTTAAGTGCTGTCAACATGGAAGATGAGCATGTTATGTACTGAAGTCTCACCCTGGGCCAGCAGGGAGATACTGTAGATAGTTACCATATTTTTCGCACCATAGGACGCACCGGACAATAGGACGCACTTTGTTTTAGAGGGGGGAGAACAAGGAAAAAAAAAATCTCCCCCTCTCTGCCCAGCGCCCCTTCAGCGAAGTGGCAGGAGGCGCTGTGCAGAGAGGGAGAACTTCCCCTCTTGTTTTCCCGCTCTAAAACAAGGTGCCATTTAAGGTGCGTTCAGGCGGCTACCTTGGAAGCCTGGAGAGCGAGAGGAGTCGGTGTGCACTGACCCCTCTCACTCTCCAGGCTTCAGGTTCCTTTCGACCTGCTCGTTGGGGCTGGCTGGGGGAAGCCCACCACCAGCCCCCAAGAGAAGGTCAGGGAGCTGCGGGCGGGCGCAGCGGAGAGGCTCCTGCCATCGCCGCGCGTCACCTCTCGAGCCGGGAGGGGTTCGCGGGGGCTTCTTAGCCCGCGCGCGTTCTCCCGGCTGGAGAGGTGACGCACGGCTATGGCAGGAGCCTCAATAGCCGCCCGTCACCTCTCCAGCCGGGAGAGGGTCGCGGGGCTATGGCGTCTTCGCTCCATAGGACGCACACACATTTTCCCTTCATTTTTGAAGGGAAAAAAGTGCGTCCTATAGAGTGAAAAATAGGGTATGCAAATGAAGGACCGAAAGTGACATTCAGTGATTGGATAGTTTGTATGCAAATGAAGGATCGAAAGTGACGTTCAGTGATTGGATAGTTTTAGAAAGTTGCAACAGTTACGCTGTTCTGGAGCTCTATATAAGCAGGCTGACTGAGCTCTTCAGTTCAGTTCTGTTCTGGCCATCTGAATAAACAAGAGCTGTCTGAAGAATCGCTGTGTCGTCTGATATGTTCGCCCACGACTTAACAGAGCAAGCTTGTTTTCTCCTGCTCTGGAGGGTAGGACCTGAACCAATGGCTTCAAGTTACAAGAAAGGAGATTCTGACTAAGCATCAGGAAGAACTTTATGACAGTAGGAGCTTGTTTGACAGTCGAACAGACTCCCTCAAGAGGTTGTGCACTCTCCTTCCTTGGAGGTTTTTAAGCAGAGGTTGGATGGTCATCTATCTTGGATGCTTTAGTTGTGATTCCTGCAGTGCAGCGGGTTGGAATAGATGACCGTTGGGGTCCCTTCCAATTCTACGATTCTAAGATTTAACCTAATCCGCCTCAGGTTTGCTGTGAGGATGAAAAATGATCTTTTTAACACGTACATAAGCCATCCTGAGCACTCTGAAGGAAGGACAGAATAGAAATGTGACAGGTAATCTGGTTAATTAAAATAATGAACAATCAAGGAATAATCCCCATGTATGGATTTCCTCCTCAGAAATATCTTGCACTAAACATGGAAATCAATACATGGAAGTTGACAAATGTACTAACTAGAATCCAAACTGTGAGAGCCCATGGTTCAAATTTCACCTCGGCCATTTAGCCATTGACCTCTGACAGGCCAACATTCTTAGGCCCCACCCCCTTCATTTTCATTGTTTAATTATGACATGGGTGTCCCACAAATCGTCCAAAGAGTGGGAACACTTCCCCGCTTCACAACAGCCCTGTGAGATAGCTTAGGCAGAGACAAGGTGATTGGCCCCAAGACTACCTGGGGACACAATGTTCTTCATTTAAAAGACAGATACAAAATGCAGGAGAGGAGAGCTCTGTTGTGCTCAAGTCCTGCTTGTGGGTTTCTCACAGCCATCTGGTTGGCCATTGTGAGAACAGAACACTGGACTAGGTGGCATAGCTGTCAACTTACAGATTTGAAAATAAGGGACCAGCAGCCACAATAAGGGACCTGCAGCCTCACCTGTTCCAGGCACTCCAGTCTTCCTGTCCTCCTGCAGTCTGGTCAAACTCATGCTGGTAGCTTCGAGAACACTGTCCAACCAACTTTGTAACCAGAGGTTCAACTGAATAGAATCTGAATCACATGCACCACAAGGCCTATGCAGCCTCAACTTAAGATGGCTCCCCGGCCTGATTTTGCACTGCAAAGTTTGCAGCAGCACGTGCAACAAAATGGCGTCCAGCATTCAAAACCCCCCACAGCTTGCATTAACTAGCCACACACAAGGCATGCAAGCTCCACCCCCCAGTCGTTCTTAGACTTCTTATTGGGTGAGCAACACAGCCAAGCAACACAGTTGGAACCTCCCTCCTCCCTGGCTGGCAGGGAGGGAGGGAGAGGAGCTTGCTTCCTTTGAAATTTAAGGGACATCGTTTAAAGGACATCCATCAATAAGGGACAGCAGCGGGATATGGCGCTGGAATAAGGGACTGTCCCTTCAAATAAGGGACACTTGACAGCTATGCTAGGTGGACCCTTAGCCTGATCAAGCAGGCTCTTTTTATGTGCTTCTGCAGATCCTCCAAGTGTCTGCTTTCCAGCGACAGTCCCGGATTTACAGAAGCTGTTCCAGATTCTGATTTGATCCCGGAATGTCCCACTTTCCCTTAGAACATCCCTATTTTCATAATAATAATAATTTTTTATTTATACCCCGCCCATCTGGCTTGGTTTCCTCAGCCACTCTGGGCGGCTTCCATCAAAACACTAAAATACAATAACCTATTAAACATTAAAAGCTTCCCTAAACAGGGCTGCCTTCAGATGTCTTCTAAAAGTTTGGTAGTTATTTTTCTCTTTGACATCTGGTGGGAGGGTGTTCCACAGGGCGGGCGCCACTACCGAGAAGGCCCTCTCCCTGGTTCCCTGTAACTTGGCTTCTCGCAGTGAGGGAACCGCCAGAAGGCCCTCAGCGCTGGACCTCAGTGTCTGGGCAGAACGATGGAGGTGGAGACGCTCCTTCGGGTATACTGGACCGAGGCCGTTTAGGGCTTTAAAGGTCAGCACCAACACTTTGAATTGTGCTCGGAAACATACTGGGAGCCAGTGTAGGTCTTTCAAGACCGGTGTTATATGATCTCAGCGGCCGCTCCCAGTCACCAGTCTAGCTGCTGCATTCTGGATTAGTTGTAGTTTCCGAGTCACCTTCAAAGGTAGCCCCATGTAGAGTGCATTGCAGTAGTCCAAGCGAGAGATAACCAGAGCATGCACCACTCTGGCGAGACAGTCCACGAGCAGGTAGGGTCTCAGCCTGCGTACCAGATGGAGCTGGTAAACAGCTGCCCTGGACACAGAAGAAATGTTGGAAATGAACAAATGCTTCTGATCTTAACTATTTTTAAAGTACAGGATACCCCAAAATAACGGGAGATTGCTTGAGATGGAAATAGAATACTAAGCACATTTGCCCTCATTCAGAGGGCCCCTTGCCCATATATCAGATTGTACCCCAGGAAATGATTGGTTTTGCAGGGCAGAACCCACCTTCACTGTGCCAAATGGCAATGTGTTGCTCCGTTCATTTCACAGGGGCTTAAAACATATGTAGGAAATATAGTAGCTGTGCATACTACATTGTACCCATGGACCTCAGTCCAGCTCCAGTCACCAGTGTGACCCTAGAGAAGGTGTAGCCCCACATATAAGCAGGTTCATCCATCAAGCCTAAAGGGTAGCCTGATAGGTATTGCACCCAATGCAGAAGTATATGCTCATTATCTGCACACACAGATCACCCTTACTGGATCAGCGTGATTCTGTTTACTGTCCAGGACAGGTTATATAAATGCAAAAAAGGGGAAACAACCAGGAACAATAGAAAATGTGCATCAGAATTCTTGCCATGTTCATAACTGCAAAGCTTGCAAGACTTTCATTAAGTGCAGAACCTGCAATTTTCGGGTGCGGGTTTATTAGCAACTCAAAGAAGGGGACAAACATATTTTTAACAGTGCTGAGGTAATGAATGAAACTGATTTAGATCACCAAAGGGTCTGGTCCATGGCTTTTCATCTCATCAGTGAACACTTAATTTTTAATATCCTCATATTTGCCACACTCCCTTTAGATTATTGAAACACAGTATTTTATCTTTGAATCATTAACTTTTGCTGCCTACTTTGGTTCTCCCTCTGCTCTGAACATCTCTGATTATAAATATTTCAATAATTCAAGTCTCTCTTATTTTAACTCTCACTTATATAATTGCAAGTATGAATGTGCAGCAGCAAGTTAACACGGATGCCATAAAAAGCCAAAATAATTAATCACTCAGCCTCCATTAGAGGATCAAGGGCAAGGGAACATGCTGTACTACTATATATATATATATATATAATGACGCAGGGAAAAAAAAGCTTGGTTCTGATTTAGATCATTTTACAATTGTAAAATGCTGTTTCATGCTCTCAACTTGCCCAAGTGCTAGGAAGTTTCAGTCTAACCTTTTACAATTTCCTTAAAAGAAAAGGATATTGTAGATGTACTGTATTTTTGTAACATGTACTTCTTTAAAAATGTGTAAATTGGGCAGGGAAGAGCAGGCAGATCTATGGAAAGGCAACACTAGACTAAAAGCAGAGCCACTACCTGCAGAAACAACAGCACACCTTTGCAAAACCTCAAGGCCAGTTTTTGCCAGTCTATATTGCAATCCTATACATGGCTACTCTAAAAGAAAATCCCATTGGGATTATAGAGAGGTATTTTTTTAAAAAAATAAGGTTGCTTGCAAGGTATTGGAAATCAAAGTCTGTTGCATCAGGTAAGGTCTATTGGTAATGGCGTTTCTTATTTTTTAATTGTATATTTGTGATTTAAATGATATGTAATAGTAGTAGTAGTAGGGTGACACTTCAATGGTATCCACAAGCTAGGATGATCATGTGTAACAAAACTTTGCTCCCTACTGAGTCTTTGCCTCCTTCGAAAAAGAACTGCCTCCAGTGTGAAATTGCTAGGCTAGGATTTATCAGCGTTTTGTTTGGGGCTCAATGGAGACCAAGGGTATCTCTCACCAGATGTATTAAATTGGAATGGGAAAGCTAGGAATACTGTTTGTAACCTATTTCTGAGGAGCAGTGTCAGTTGGTAACAAGCGATTTGTTCCTTGATATAAGGAGAGGAATTTAGCATGGTGCTAAGCAGATCGCTCTGTCGGTTCAAGAATTTATGCGTGCCTGAAGTGATATGCCCCCTCCCACCAGGAGCTGTTGTTGGAACTCCCCTGACTCCCCTAGAGCAAACTGAGGGGTGGGGTGGGGTGGGGAGTGTGGGGAAAGCCCTGTTGCACTGGCCCCATTGTTTTTGTGTGTATCCAGCCCCTCACTGCGGCATGAAGAACTCAGAATCCCAACTCTAGTTAGCCGCTTTGAGACTCCTTAGGGTCGTGATAAAGCGGGATATCAAATCCAAATTACTACTACTACTACTATTCTTCTTCTTCTTCTTCTTCTTCTTCTTCTTCTTCTTCTTCTTCTTCTTCTTCTTCTTCTTCTTCTGCCAAAGGCTGTAATGCTCAAAAAGCACTCCTCTGATTTCCTGACCTAAATCTCCTGTTTCAATTACTTTTTAAACTATTTTAGTGGGCTTATTTTATTGCGCACTTTAATTGCATGTGTGCATACTTTCATGCTTTTATGGACTGTGCATTTTAATTACATGTGCTTATATATTTCTTGATTATTATTTTTAACTTGGAAAACACTTTGTCAATTAAGTGGTACATAAATAATAATGATAGTAGTAATAGTAGTAATAGTAATAATAGTAATAGTAATTCTCCAGTTTTTAAAAAATACTGAACATCCAACCTAAGGCGGTGTAAGCTGAAACCTCACATTTGACAGTGTGAACATTAATTGGTTTTACTGAAGTTAATATTTTACTGACCTCTCTACATATTGTTCTAATAGGCCAACAGAGCTACCCAATTTTCATCTGAGAAACCTCAGAATATTCTTGGAATTTGGTAATAATGACAGAAAGGAGGAAACACTGAAAGGGGGGACCTTTTGGCTGAAATGTTATTCTCAGCCAAGCAGAAAAAGGGGAGAAAAGTCAGCTCGAGTTAAGAAATTACAGGATAAAGAGGAAGCTTTCTTCTTATTTGTGTCAAGATTTGTCAGTATTTGCTTTAGGGGGCACAGTTTTCCTCTCCACAGACTACTGGTTTTAAGGCAATGGGAAAGTGTTATCAATGATTACAGGCAGGGTCATGAAGGGCAAATTATGTGCCAAAATGGCCTTACTATGGAATGTTATTGGTGTTATGTGTTCTAAGTTATGTGATAAGTCAAAGTTACTGTTGCATAAAATTCTCCCAATGTTTCATGTGAAGGGTTTTTGTGGGAAAAGGAGTGACACAGTTTCCAGTGGATTCCTGCTCTTTCTACTTCTTTTTTTTAAAAAAACCCACCATCCTCCTATTTCAGATACGGCATCTGTGAACTTTTTGATTCCAATGGCCAATGATTCCAATGGCCCAGTGTGTTTCCCAAACTGATATTTATTATTATTTTCATAATTATTTTAAATTAATTTTTATTTGCAAATTGAAGAAAGTGAAATAAAATAAGATTATTAAAAATGAAGGGGGGAAAAGAATATCTGAATAGCAGCAGCAGCAACCATCAGCTCACACTAAAGATGCATTGACCTGTACATTCATCTCAGGTTAAACATAAAAAATAATATAAGCCCTCCAGATGTCTAATTAAAACATGAAATTAATGTCTAAATGAAATACATTTAAATGTAGCCGGGGTAGTAAGATCCTCAGACCACTGCATGATAGACGGTGTGTATTTATCTTTCTAGGTTCAAAGTAGAACCATTAAGGGTTTGCAAAATCCACATATCTTGTCCTGCTGTTAATCCCCATACTACATGAACATAATTTTAAGGTACATGACCATCTGCAAATATCAAGGATTTGGTCAAAGGCAAAATTGGTACGGACAACTTCAAACCAAAAAGGACACATCACTGGAGAAGCCCACACCATATGCCTCAACATCTATCTGTATTAGACAGAACCTTCCTATATACTTGTTGTGGAATACAAAATATCAGCCATTGGGATCAACTACTGCTTTATGAGGAGCCACACCGTTAGAAATCTTAGACTAGCCACTAACACATTCCCTAACACATACAGAAGGTCCTAGGCTCAGCCGCCAGCATCTCCATGAATGGCGGGGGTACCCTGTCTGAAACCCTGCTGCCACCACCAGACCTTGCAGACACTATTGAGCTACATAGACCATTGTTGTGACTCAGCAGAAGGCAGCTTTTGATGTTCCCCTGGACCATAAAAACCTTTGCACTAAACTCTTGGAGAGTTTGACAGAACATTAGGCACACCTTTCCCTCCAGATCTCTGGTTGGCAGTTTTCAAACATGGGTACAAAATTCGTCATTTACAGCCTGCCCATGATAGGTAAAAATATCAAATATCAGCAAGGCAGTGTTAAGCTTAAATGCTGCTAAATTCTCCACATTTTTGTGTCTTAAGCTTCAGAGCACATATTGGCACGTCTTATAGAACTTCCTGAAAGGGTTCAAGTTTCTGCTCATGTCTGCAGTAGGAGAAAGTTCTATCCTGGGGATGCTGAGCATGTTGTTGTTGTTTGTTTAGTCGTTTAGCCATGTCCGACTCTTAGTGACCCCATGGACCACAGTACGCCAGGCACTCCTGTCTTCCACTGCCTCCCTCAGTTTGGTCAAATTCATGCTGGTAGCTTTGAGAACACTGTTCAACCATCTCGTCCTCTGTCGTCCCTTTCTCCTTGTGCCCTCCATCTTTCCCAACATCAGGGTCTTTTCCAGGGAGTCTTCTCTTGTCATGAGGTGGCCAAAGTATTGGAGCCTCAGCTTCAGGATCTGTCCTTCCAGTGAACACTCAGGGCTGATTTCCTTCAGAATGGAGAGGTTTGATCTTCTTGCAGTCCATGGGCCTCTCAAGAGTCTCCTCCAGCACCATAATTCAAAAGCATCAATTCTTCGGCGATCAGCCTTCTTTATGGTCCAGCTCTCACTTCCATACATCACTACTGGGAAAACCATAGCTTTAACTATATGGACCTTTGTTGGCAAGGTGCTTTTTAAGATGCTTTCTAGGTTTGTCATTGCTTTTCTCCCAAGAAGCAGGCGTCTTTTAATTTCGTGGCTGCTGTCACCATCTGCAGTGACCATGGAGCCCAAGAAAGTAAAATTTCTCACTGCCTCCATTTCTTCCCCTTCTATTTGCCAGGAGGTGATGGGACCAGTGGCCATGATCTTCATTTTTTGTTTTTTTATGTTGAGCTTCAGACCATATTTTGCGCACTCCTCTTATTTTGCGCTCTCCTCTATATTTTGCGCTCTCTTATTTTGCGCTCTCCTGCCAAGAAAACTCCATGGACAAACACAACAGGCATATTAACATACAAAGGTTATAGAACACTTCTCTTTATTTCAGTCTGTTTCCTCTTCTCAGTGGTTGCACCAGGTTATGGAATTCCTTGCTCCAGGAATGCAGTTCACCCCCCTTCCCTCACTGGTTACACTGGTTACTGGAGACCTTCCTATTCTGGCAGGCAGAGGATGTCTTTATGGTTTTTAAGACCGCTGACCCAGTGTCTTTTTTTCGTGATTGTGTTTTAGATTGCTGTTAAGAAATGGTAATTTTATATGTTTCAATCTGCACTGTTTTATTTGCACTAGAAGGATGGGATATAAATGGCCTAATAAAATAAATAAATTTGCATTCATTCATGCTCACTCCTATTCAATACAGATTTGCCAAATGCCCACAGTTCTTTTGCCTTAGGTGCAATAGAATAAAGCTTCTTGACCCACCTGCTTAGTGTCAGATAAAAAAATTTAAAAGGGGTCTGATTCGCTCCCTCGGTGAGGAGATCCATGTGGCTAATCCTGATATGAAACAGTGCCATTTCCCCCTCTCCTGGCTTGCCAGAGAAGAATACTTCCAGGTTTATCATTTGCTTTAAACCTTACAGAATATGACCTAAGCAGATGTTAAAGGGGCAATTAGTAGTCTTGAAAAATCTAGCGTACGTGCTCTAGAATGATTGAGTGAGCTAAATAGCTCAAGGTCACATCCCACCATGCCCATGTAATGGAAATGTGTGGTGGAGAAATGAAAAAGGGTGACAGTAGTTCCCAACTCAGCAGTTTATATACATTCAGCAAAACAATGTGCTAAAGCTTTATCTTGGTCTATAGCACTTCACACGGAAGAGAAAAAATAATATGTGTCCCTGCAAACAAAACAAAATGCCAGAAGAAGCAATCCCCTACATGTAGAAAACTAGTGTGTCAGGAAGGTTCAAACTAGCCCTCCCACTGCCATACTATTTTTCTATGTGCAGGGACTTTGCTGTCCTTTGTAGATGTCTCTGGTTTGTTTGCATCCATGAAAAGCTTTACTACTTGATTCTACTGAGTGTCCGTACTAGTGCTGAACTCACAGGCACAGATGCACAACCTTGATTTCTCATCATATCATATGCAATGACTTGTAGTTGACTGTGTGAGTGGTCTGCAGTGAGAAAACACAGAAGCCATTTTGGCAAGTCGGTTGTATATATATAAATAAATAGTAACAACATTGTGGTTGACTGAAGGGAATCTGAAAGCTTTGTGGCATCTGATTTGTGATGGTCTTCAGGGAAGGGACTTTCTAAGAAATCCCCTATAGGAAGTTTAATCTATAGTAACGAGGATTCCACAAGATGTGTTGATGGCTACCAAACTGGATAGCCTTAAAGGGGGATTAGACAAATTCATGGAAGATAAGACTATCAACCGTTACAAGCCATGATGACTGTATATTACCGTCTGTATCAGAGGTGATATATCTCTCAGAGTTTGGTAAAGATATTGCAGCAGTGTGCAGAAAGAAATAGTCTGGTCAGACTACTGGATAAAGGAAACTTAAGGTTTATCACTCATGGCAAACAAAGCCATTCTAAGTACAGGTGGTGACCATTTCATGTGGGTGTTCCAATCCTGGCTCCCACACGCATCAGCAGAATGTGTATAAGTTTGCCCCACCTCATTACACCCCCATACCGCCTTCTTCCGGGTCCAAAAGGACACATCAATTGGATGCGCCTAAATTGGTTGCATGGGACGTGGGTGGCGCTGTGGGTTAAACCACAGAGCCCAGGACTTGACGATCAGAAGGTTGACGCTTCAAATCCCCGCGACGGGGTGAGCTCCCGTTGCTCGGTCCCTGCTCCTGCCAACATAGCAGTTCGAAAGCACGTCAGAGTGCAAGTAGATAAATAGGTACAGCTCCGGCGGGAAGGTAAACGACGTTTCCATGTGCTGCTCTGGTTTGCCAGAAGCAGCTTAGTCAGGCTGGCCACATGACCCGGAAGCTGTACGTTGGCTCCCTCGGCCAATAAAGCAAGATGAGCACCACAACCCCAGAGTCGGTCACGACTGGACCTCATGGTCAGGGGTCCCTTTACCTTTAAATTGGTTGCTGCCTAGATAGTTTTGTTTTGCATAGGCAGCTGCCTTATACTGAGCCAGACCATTCATCCATGTAGCTCAGTACTGCCTATTCTGACTGGAAGCAGCTCACCAGAATTTCAGGCAGGAGTCTCTCCCAGCCCTTACCTGGATTGAACCAGGATCCCTTTGCATGCAAAGCAGATGTTCTACCAGTGAGCTACAGCCTTTCCCATAGTTCAATGGAAGGGCCAAGATGGAACTAAGAAGTTAATGCACCCACATGTTGACTCATTCCTAGACAGACTTAACTCAAAGAAAATGCAGGAAGGATGTGATCTACTTTACCAACAAGTAGTAGTTACTAACAGAGAAGGAATCGGGAAGTACAGGTTGCCTTCCTGTCCTTCACCCCCAAGTGGTTCAGGTAGCTTACTGCTTTATTCCTAACATGTCTGAATACCAGTCTTTGGGGAACAACAACACAAGAGGGCTATAGTGTTCATATCCTGCTTGTTTTTGGCCACTGTTGGAAACAGGACATGGATCCGGCAGAGATGTGCTAATGGCATTTGGTCTTGATCCACGTAAATTAGCTGCACTTAACCCCCAATGGGAAATTGGTAGGACAAAGCAGCCACAACTCAAACTATCCCTCCTTGATTTCAGGCTGTGACTCAGAGCTTGACGGCATGCTACTCTTACCATGTGAAAAGTAGCCATGCCCCAACTGTAGGGGATTCTGAGGATGCCCATTGCATAGTGCAGGCAATCTTGTATGTATCTGTGCCTTTCTGAGTCTTATCAAGAGAACAGAGATGTTCTTCTGGCTGGTGGGCTTTGCTTCTTCCAATTTCATGCTGATAATTCATCCCCCCACCCCAAACAACTGCTCACATGGTGAGTGTAATATGTGTTTGTTTAGTCGTTTAGTCGTGTCCAACTCTTTGTGACCCCCTGGACCAGAGCACGCCAGGCACTCCTGTCTTCCACTGCCTCCCGCAGTTTGGTCAAACTCATGCTGGTTGCTTCACGAACACTGTCCACCCATCTCGTCCTCTGTCGTCCCCTTCTCCTTGTGCCCTCCATCTTTCCCAGCATCAGGGTCTTTTCCAGGGAGTCTTCTCTTCTCATGAGGTGGCCAAAGTATTGGAGCCTCAGCTTCAGGATCTGTCCTTCTAGTGAGCACTCAGGGCTGATTTCCTTCAGAATGGAGAGGTTTGATCTTCTTGCAGTCCATGGGACTCTCAAGAGTCTCCTCCAGCACCATAATTTGTATCCAGGTACTAACTTTAGCAAAATTTGGACTAAACCACTTATGGAACTTGTTGACTAGCAGTTTTATTGTGTAGCATTTCTAGGAATAGGCTTGCACCCCACGTAAGGGCAAATAGCTGTGCTCTGCTGCGCTGTGAACACTTTTTTATTTTCTTTTTTTTGCACTTCATGGGTATAAATAGAGTGACAAGAGCACAGCCTAAGCAGAATTCAGATTAAAAGGACAAATGTGGCCGGCCAAAATGAACCATTACAGGAAACAAAGGGAAAATAACGACTAAAGATCTTTCATTACAGCCAGCTAATTATCATGAGTTTTGGACTTAACTGTTCAGGCATAGAATTAAAAACCTTAATTATATTGTCACCTTTGTCTCTCGGCTTCTATTGCCCACAAATGAATCCATTTACTGTAACTGCAGCTGATGAGAAGAAATTGATGGCAGTCCCAGTGAGGTGGGAGAGGGGAATGGCTGAGTGAAAGGGGGGGAGAAGGGGGAGAGGCAGAGCAGGAGGGTGGGGGGTGAGGGGAAGAGAGAGAGAGGCAACATTGTCATGGATGCACAGCTGGGTGACAACTACATTCCAGGGCATTATAAATTAAAAACACTTTTAATGAGACAAATACGTGTTTGATGGATCTCAGGGTTTCTCTTCCCTCCCCTCCCCCTTTCCAAGGGCTCGCAATGTCTTTCCTTCTCCCATTCTTTCTTCTGCACCTCTCTAGAGACATCTTGGTCCTCTGGTACAGCTGCAGAAGATAGGCCCTAGCCCAAACCCACCTGTCATCAGGAGGAATCTGCTGCTATCTTTGTTGGTTTGAATCAGATGCCACAGCCACAATCTAGAACAGAATTAAGGATGCATACAATCCAATCCAAAGTCCCACTGGCTTCGAAGGGGGTGGATGGATATTATTCCCTAGTTAAGATCTGAGTCACATTCATTTCAGTAGGCATTATGGGGGCTACAAGCTAAGAAGGAAAACTCTCTGGGTAACAGATATACCTGTGACAGCATGATCTGACATGGGGCAGCAATTGTCACTTCCATTTAGCTATCCATCTAGTTTTTAACACAATTTAGGCACCACTTGACTGTAGCAGTTTTCAAGAAATATTAAAATGATCAATTAATGCAGTTAAACAATGAAAAACATATACAGATAATTAAAATTAGCATTAAAAAATAAGAAAACATGTCAGCAACTATGTATCGCCAAATAGGCTTGTCTAAAAAAAGACCCCAAATGTTTTAAGCAGGTGCGAAAAACAACACACACACACACACACACACACACACACACACACACACACCAAAAAACAACAACACAGGTGCCCAATGGTATGCATTTTTACTTAGTAAGTCCTATGTTGCTCAAAGTATATGTGCAAAGGGCTAGACAGCTAGGGTTACAATCAAACACAGTATGAATTGCTCAAGGAGTAACATGCTACCTTTTAATGTTCATCCATCTATGGAACAACCATGTCCTCAGCTTATCTACTCTTCCCTATTGCCCAATCAACATTCATTCATTTATTTCATAAAATGTATGCACTGTTTGACTGTTAACAGAAACAAAAAAACAACAACACCTCAAACAGGTTTACAAAAAAAAAATCATGTCCGTAGAGGGAGTTATTAAAATTGATTTTTTTGGGCTGAAGGTGCCATTTAAAAATAAAATAAAGTTCTGGATGCTGAACAATAAAACCAATGCCAATAGGTGATGCCATCTCAGCTCAGTCATGGCAATACCAATTCAGAGGCAAACTCAGGGTACCTGCTCATTATAAACAAAATTAAGCAGGTGGAGTAAATGGGATGCAGAGATATTTGGTACCCAAGGAAGACCCCCTAAGGCTTTCCTCAAGCAAGGGGGCCTGCAGGTGCTGTACTGCCTAGAAAAGATGCATTTTTAAAGCCATGCAGTGTGTTCTTAACATGTGTTGCCGTGGTTACATGAAAGGAGTTAATGTGATAGAACTCCCAAGCAGAGCAGAGGGGGTTGTTTCAGACATAGTTTGTGAACATGGCTGTGTCAGAGCCAGTGTGCGTTTTACACCAGGGTTTATTATTGCCTTGATGTAGTGGCAAGGCTTCCAGCTGTGGCTTTGAAAGCTCTGGTTTCAAACTCTATTCCCGGCCCATTTTCTGCAGGATTTTGTTTCTCCCAGCTGCGTAAGATTCTGGCTGCTGTGCAGGAAAGAGAGTTAGCCATGCAGGGGAGCCCTCGCAAATCTCCATTTATGAGCTCGGGATCATTCCTTCCTGCAAACCATTACCTTCAAGAATACCAGTTGCCCCTTCCCTCTCTTTTCACCCAGTGACAAAAGCAGAACAAGCAAGCAAACAAGCAAGCAAATAGTTAGCAAAAGATCCTCTGCTCACCTTATGGCCCAGTCCTCAGGCACTCCATGCTGGAAGAGGCAATAATTTTTACTGAGTGAGACCAGGCCAGGCTTCCACCCTGACAAGCTCATCTACAGTCAGAAAATTGTAGGGCACTCCAGAAGCATCCATGTTCTTTTCATTCCCCAAGATGGGTATCTGGGGTGGAGTCCTTTTGGCAGTAATACCACAGCCAGTGGAAAGAAAATCTCCAGCAAACGTGGCCAGGAGGTATTGGTCCCCAAGAAGTTAGCTTTTGCTGATACCAGCATACCTCTCTCTTGATAAATCCCCTGTGAGAAAGTATGGGCACAATGCAGTCAGATTTGAGCATGTTCATTTCACAGCTGTCTCTTCACAAACATGACACACCACACTGGCAGAGTTTTCCATTGATAACCCCTGACAAAAAGAAATATACAGTGGTACCTCAGGTTACAGACGTTTCAGGTTACAGACTCCGCTAACCCAGAAATAGTACCTCAGGTTAAGAACTTTGCTTCAGGATGAGAACAGAAATGGTGTGGCCGCGGCAGCAGCAGAAGGAGGCCCCATTAGCTAAAGTGGTGTCTCAGGTGTTTCAGGTTAAGAACGGACCTCCGGAACAAATTAAGTTCCTAACCCAAGGTACCACTAGTAGTAGTAAAGAAGAAGCCCATGTTGTTAAGTTGTGCATTTAACTGCATTGTTTTCATACATAGCGCTTATCCACATTTAGCTTTTGTTCCGCTCTTTCCAGGCAGAGGCTTGGAAGCTAGGACCAGAACCAATGGATTCAAGTTACCAGAAACATCTGAAAGAACTTTCTGACTACAAGAGCATTTCAACAGTGGAATGGTCTCCATTGAGAGATGGACTCTCCTTCCTCGGAGGTTTTTAAGCAGAGGTTGGATGGCCATCTGCCATGGATGCTTTGGTAGAGATTCCTGCAGTGCAGGGGGTTGGACTAGATGACCCTTTGTTTCCCTTCCAATTCTACAATTCTGTGATTCCAGGGCTGTGCTTTAAAGCTCCGTGTCTAAGTGCCCCCACATTTTTTGCTCTGGTGCTTTGACTACAAAACTATGCTCTTTGCAACTGAATCCAAGCAAATGGCTATTTGGGTTTTCAGCGGATTGCCATTTGCTCCAGTTGAGCTTTAAAGAGCAGAATTTTGAGGGGAAAGCTCTGGAGATTTTTTTTTTAAAAAGGGTTCTTGAACATAGAGCTTTAAAGCATGCCTATGCCAGAAAAGCGCAGAGGAAACATAAGTGTGGATAAGCCCATAGTCATTTTTTTTTAGGTCAGTGTTTCCCAAATTTGGGTTGCTAACTGTTTTGGGACTACAACTCCCATCATCCCCAGCTGGCAATGCCAGTGGTCAGGAATGTACAGTAGTCCAAAAACAGCTGGAAACCCAAGTTTGGGGAATACTGATTTAGCTGAATGAATAGAACGCCCCAAAGAGCTGAGCACAGGGGCCCCATGGACCATAAATCCACCATGGAACTTGCCATATACAACTACAGCCAGGTTAGGTCAGGGTTTTGAGGAGTCTGTGGCTTGCTGGAAAGGCAAATTTTCTTTTTTAAAAAATATGAAACCATGCGAGAAGAATGTGGAAGAGCCAGATAAATTGGAGAAACTGCAATATTTCTGCTTTTTCATTAATTCAGTAATATTTTATTTCTGTTTTTCTCTGTCATTTCCCTAGTGACCCGCCAAAACTACATTATGAAAACCTATATTGACATACATACACCAGAACTAATAGCAGCATGCACCTGTAAAGCATGTTATTATTAAGTTAGTAGAAATCTTTGGAAATGACCCTTGATTTTCTGGAGAATTTGTAAACTAAATAAATCTCTACTATTCTCCTGCAAATGTATCTTTGTACTTTATTCCTCTTGTCAGTCTTAAGCTGTGAATCATATTTTTCCTATTAGGGCAGATTTGCCATACTCTGTTATATCAGGCATTCCGGTCCTCATCTTTTAAGTCCTTCCAGAATGTGGCTACAACCATACATGCAGCCACTAAGAGAAATCCAGTTAGTTTATTCACCAAGCCCTGATTCTCATTTGAACAAAGATTCAGTAACGCAAGTTCTGAAGACTTGGTGACATGCAGATGTGTAATTTTCCTTATCTTGTTAAATACTTATTCCCCAAAATTTGCCACCTGGGCATGCCCACCACAAGTGCCTAATTCAATAATATACTAGTTATATCTATTTGACTTTGTGGAAATAATCTTTGAATGAAGGTTCCAGTGTGGTTACTCACACTCCCAGACTGGAACACAATTAACTCTGTGTTAGACTGTTGTCATGATCTGCAGATACAGAAGAAACAAATTTTAGCAAGTTTTCTCATTCCTAGAAGGAACTAGTTGCTAGAGAAGGGATTAGAAAATTAATGCATTTGTGAACATCCCAAATATAGTGAGAATTCACACACCACAATACAGGCAACAACTGTCTTTATGAAAATGCAAGTGTAGCTAAAACTTATTTGTTGAATCGGCATCTGTTGCCTGGAAAAAAACCCAGCTTCTGAATTCCAAGCTTTCCACTTTTTCATGTACTGTACTTCTGAAAAATGAAGTCCACTTGAGCTTTCTAAAAATAGGGAAGATTTTTGTCATTTAAATCTTTTGGTGGCAAAGGTTTGACGATCTCTGGCAGTTATTTAATGCACTTTAAAGTTTTCTTCAGTGCTGCTTGACCTCTAGAAACTGACGTTCATCATCATATGGCCAGTCTGTTTACAGACTGCAAGTAAAAGGAGCAGTTGTGCAGAATGCATGGAAGAGGGAATTCCAGCAGGGTGCAGCTTCCCCCCCGTCCACCACCTCCCTGCATGATAAGCTGCCCCTGCCAAAATTCCCTCTTCCATGCAACCTGGTCACCCTATTAGCAAGATGGATTCTCTTAAAGCAGCAATATCGTGATATGTACCAACATTACATTTTTGCCCCTGCAGGACTGTGCCCTTGCATCATTCCCAGAATAATACATTCTCATGCCGGGTGGGAAACTGAAAATGACCCTCACTGCTGCTGGTAGGCTCTTGTTTCACTCTGAGTGATGGGAAGAAATTCTGCAGCCCTGGTAGCTAGAAGTTAGAAAAATGCCATTTGCACTTTAGGCTGTAAGGAGAATGCAACCTAAGAGACTAAATATTATCTGATGCCATTTATTAACATCATATCTGTTTCTCTCCCTCCTTCTCGGAGCATATCCCTTATTTTAATTTGTTTAAAAAATTAAAATGAAACAAGTTTTAAATATGTAATCACACCCCCATTTTACAACGTTAGAGTGGCCCATAATTCATTTTCTATTAAACCGGTATCTATTTGCTTCCTTATTTGTGGGAATTGTAACCCTAACCCCCAATGAAGAACAATAGAGAGAAGTGGCCAATCTGCTGCTTCATCTGCTTTGCACTGGCCAAGACGGGTCATAGAATAATATAAATCATTGAATTTCGTTGGAAAGGTACCACAAGGGTCATCTAGTCCAACCCCCTACAATGCAGGATTTTTTTTGCCCAATGTGGGGCTCAAACCTATGACCCTGAGATTAAAAGTCTCATGCTCTACCAGTTGAGCTATCCCGTTGCCAGGGGCAGTTTTTTCCTTTCCTTTTCTGCATGTATAAATGTTCTACATGGTTGAATGTTCCTTCACATAGAGAATTGCATATTGAAAACTAGCAAGTCAGGGAAAAGTGTAGACTGAACCCTTCTCATTGGCATACTAGCTTCAATAGGGAGAGAGGCTTTTTGGGAGGAAGCATCCAGTCCCCAACATGCTGTCTGAAATAGTTCAGTGGTACAGGGACGCGGGTGGCGCTGTGGGTTAAACCACTGAGCCTTGGGCTTGCCGATCAGAAGGTCGGTTGTTCGAATCCCCGCGACAGAGTGAGCTCGCGTTGCTCAGTCCCTGCTCCTGCCAACCTAGCAGTTCGAAAGCACGTCAAAGTTCAAGTAGATAAATAGGTACCGCTCCAGCGGGAAGGTAAATGGCGTTTCTGTGCGCTGCTCTGGTTTGCCAGAAGCGGCTTAGTCATGCTGGCCACATGACCTGAAAACTGTACAGCGGCTCCCTCAATCAATAAAGTGAGATGAGCGCCACAACCCCAGAGTCGGCCACACCTGGACCTAATGGTCAGGGGTACCTTTACCTTTACCTACCTCGGTTGTTGAACGTATTCTGTTCCAGAAGACCATGCCATTTCCAAAACGTTCGACAACCAAGGCACAGTGGGCAGTCAGCAAACACAATTGGGAAAATTGAGAAACGCGCTTCAGAAGCCGTTCGACTTTTGAGGTGCGTTCAAAAGTGGAAGCAATTACTTCCAGGTTTTCGGCGTTCGAAAACCAAAACATTTGGCTTCCGAGACGCTTGAAAACTGAGGTTCCACTGTACACAGTCCAGGAAGAGCTTTACCATTTGACTCTCATTCCAGAGTCACTTGTGTGGCAAAGTTGTGCCACAGAGTCACCTTCCTGACACCAGCATCACTTGAATAAGATACTGGGGGACCAGGTAAGCCCCACCCCACATAATCAATGACATTATGGAGTGCACCATTTGAATGCCCATCAACTTGGGGGGTAGCCCCCTCAAATATTTTATTGGGCGAAGGGACCTTGCCCCGTAGGAGTTGGCTCCTATGTTGCTGGTGCAAAGCAGTAGCAGGACAGGACAGTGGCAAGGTCAGAGCTCTACCAGGGGGAGCACCCAATTAGTGCCACCAGGCTACTTGTGCAGCCCAGACCCTGCTGCTCCCCCCCCCCCTGGTCCTGGTAAACTGTAGTAATGTCAGTGTTGGCAGAGTGGCTCTCTGACATCAGCCCACCATGCCAGCCACTCCTGCTTTCATGATCCTGTGTGAAGTGAACCTAAATCACCCTAGTTGCATAGGCTGAGTGCTGAGACAGTTTTGTGTGCACAAGCAGCGTGTCTGAATCAATCCTCTTCCATGCAAAAGGGCAAAATCAGCAGTCCCGTGGACCAGCACTTGAGCAGAAACTGTATTGCTCCTGCAGCTCACTTCAGCACTGCTGAGCATGCGGTTGGAGTTAGCCCTAGCCCAGCCCCGGACTTCGGACAAGATCCACACACCCAGATTCCTTTAACGGAATACCCTTAAGCTTGGAGGGGCAGGTGATGGCCACACCTCACCTCCCCCATCATAAGAGCGACCAATGCCTAACTGCCAAACCTTACAAAGTTGTGATGATTGCTATGAGGTAGGTGAAAACCAATTGACCCATGCCAATTTGCCAAGTGGAAAAATTCCTACCAGGCCCCTCAACGGCGACCAACCGAGGTCCATAGCAAGGCCAAATCCAAAACCTGAAAATAGTGAGGGAGGGAGGGAGATCGAGGAAGTGACCCAAAAGGAAGCTTTCCGGCTTGTGCCTTAGTTTAAATTGGGCCCAGCCACGCTTCCCCCCCCCCCAGCCAGCAGATTGGCTGCCAGGTGAATAATGCTGCTAGGAACCTTTGGGTGACGTGGGACTTTGTCCCCCTCCCCCAGAGGGGAGTGGGTGGCCATGTGGTCCACCGCAATTCCTCCCCACTGGGAAGTGGAATGGATTTGTACATGGCAAAACCCAATGACACTAAGGCCTAAGACCCTCTATATGCTCCCTTGCTGATCTACAACCTTTCTCCTTGCTTGTCTCCTTGTCTCTGGCCCCCTCCAGCCTTTTCGACCGCTGGCATCTGACCGTCCCAGCACTCAGCACCTGAACGCCTGGCAGTGACAACAGAAGTGTGTGTGTGTGTGTGTGTGTGTGTGTGTGTGTGTGTGTGTGTCTATATATATATATATATATATATATATGAACAATTGCTAGCAGATTCTTGTTCATGACTAAAAGAGTATGTCTGATCATTACCCAACCTTTGCTAAACGTACCAACTAATGGAGCGAGAGACATGAAAGATTTTCACAGGCCATCTGGAAATGTAATTCAAACCTAACCTGAGGAGGTCATGCTAAGTAAGATGAATTTTAAGCCTCCCCCCGCTTTTCAATGCTGACCTTTGGCTTGTAAAAAAAGTCATCAAAAAGTGATAGTTTAATATGGGGCTTGGTATCCCGAGGAGCCCTATTATCTGTTAACTGAAGAATGGCTGAAAATTAAGTAATTTTTAAAAGCGATCGATGCAAACCTCCAGTCACTTTTATGAGCTGTGTGTGTGTGTGTGTGTGTGTGTGTGTGTGTGTGTGTAAAAGTAAGATAATGGGAAGCACTGAAAGTTAACTGCACACACAATGCAAATGTATTGGGGTTTTTTCTTTGGGGACATAGAAAACTACCTTATGCTGTGTCTATCACTGGTTCCTCTAGCTCAGTATTGTGTACTCTAGCAAGGGCTTTCCAGGATTTAAGTCAAGGAATCTCTCCCAGCCCTACCAAGTGATGCCAGGACTCGAACCCTTGACCTTGTGCATGCAAAGTAGAAGCTCTGCCACTGCGCTATGGCCATTTATTTCCTCAGTGTCCTTCTTTTAAAAAGGTGTGATCTGGTTTTTCCTTGAATCAGGACCAGGCCAGCCACCACAACATCCTTAGACAATGCTTGACGCTATGGGCAGTTTATAGATACAGGCATCCATTGCCAGACTCAAATGTCAGCAGTCAATCTTTAGTGCAGCACCCCAGCAGATCCAAGGTCTCCTCCGGCTATCAAATAAGCACACGTCTGAAAAGCATCTCCTTGTTAGTCCAAGGAAGGGAGAGCCCTGTCAACAGTGTTTCTTCTGAGGCTTCCTAGCACAGAGCAGTGTATGCTTCATGGCACTTCACTCCTACATTTATATAGCTTTGTGAAATCTTAAGCACTTAAGAGTAGCTTCTAGACACCACACTAGTCTTCCAGCTATCCCAGCAGCAGCCACTGACATCCAGTGGCCCCAAACACATGCTACCAACCACAGGACAACATTCAAATAGTACAGAAGAGGCCAACTCACAAAATGGTCTGATGGTACAGGTTGCTGTTCATTGTAAGAGAGAGCTGAATAGGTTTTGCCCTGTTTGGTGATTGGATCATGGACTGTCTGGGAGTCCATTATAAGCCGCCCTGAATTTTTCTGAAGGAAGTAAAACAATGGTGACGTTTCTGGCTTCTCCTGCCCTGATCATGTTAGCTATGGCACAGGTTGCAGAAGGGAATTCGGGTGCCTCATTACTTCATAATGATGTCACTCCCCACATGTGTCAGGGAACTGGAGCCAGAGAAGGGGGAGAGAATGGGAACTTACCGGGAGAAGGGTCCTTTAATAAGCAGTTGCTCTTCCTCGGACGAGGAGGGTGACGAAGAGCTGTCAGGAGGGGTTGGGTCTTTAGTGTTAAGACCAATAGATGTTTTATTGTTTGCTAAGAAAATTATGTGTCTATGGTTATTTTTGTAATTTGTGTGTAATTTGGTATTTGTGGTTTTTTTTCTTGTTGTATAAATAAAAAACTTTATTAAAAAAAAGAGCTGTCAGGAGGTAATGTATCTGAGAGGGGGGAGGTACTTCCGGGGACAAGCCAGCCTCATCAGAGAGGAAGGAGGGGGGCTGGGCTTAGAAGGTGGTTATGCTGCGGGAGATCAAGAGGAAAGCCAGTCGGGACAACTGACCCGCCATGGAAGTGTCAAACTTTTGAACTTGCTTGTACATAGCTTCAAAGGAGTAATAAATCCTGTAAATATGGCTGGATTCCCGGACTCTTATCTTCGCTAGCACTCATAACTCATTGCTGACAACATGTAAGCAGAAAGGGGGGGAATTATTCCTGTACATGGCAACCCCACTTTGAGTGGCATGGAGCGGTAGATGTGTGCAACATTTTGTCTTCATTGTTCAAGGTCCCTTGCAACACATGAGGGTGCCGCAACACAGTTTGATGATGATGATTTTATTTGTATTGCACCTATGTGACTGGTTGCCCCAGCCACTCTGGGCAGCTTCCAACATATACAAAAAACATACTAAAACCTCCCTGTACAATGCTGCCTTCAGATGACTTCTAAAAGTTGTACAGTTACTTATTTCCTTGACATCTGATGAGAGGGCATTCCACAGGGTGGGCACAACTACCGAAAAGGCCCTCTGCCTGGTTCCCTGTAACCTCACTTCTTGCAGTGAGGTTTAGGAACATTGTTCCAAGGTTTAGGGAGCGCTGCAACCTTTCTAACAGCTGTGGAATCAGAATCTTTCATAAAACACCTGCTTTCCTTTCTTCAGAAAGCATTTCAGTGAATAAGTATATTAAAATAACAGACCCCGCCTGAGGCCTGATTCACAAGGGGGTATATTCACACAATGCTTGCTTCTTGCTTCAGTGCTGGTGCAACACATTCTATCTCCATCTTCTTAATAGGTTGACATCATTAGCAGACCCACCTATCTTTGAAGTTCTCTCAATCTCTGATAGTAATTTAGCATACGCAAGTAGTTTTTTAATCACAGATCACCCTGAACTTGAAGTTGTTTCTCTTGGCATTTTACTCCCCATACTCCTTCCTCTCTCTCTCTCTCTCTCTCTCTCTCTCTTTCCAGACTACCTAAAGATATTAGCACTGTACAGAGCTGACAAAATGAATTCTGACAAAAGATAATTGCATGAACCCTTTGTAGTCAAGTACTTAAAATGTCTCGACATTGTCAGTTTTTATTTGAGTCAAATCTCAGAGTTGAAACTGTTCTATCATAGCAGGACAGGTAGGGAAGGTGGTGTAGAGAGGATGGGAAGGACATTGCCAAAGCAGGGCTTTTCTGTGAAGTGTTACGATTGGCCAGACTCTCATTGGTAATTATTGTAGGGAAAAGGTCAGGTACTCAAAATCTGGAGTACCACTTTCTGGTGATGTACCATCAGAAAGACTGAAACCAATTTTAGAAAACCCCTCTGTCCGCTAGGGTAGGCTCAAAATGACTTCTTAGTTTGCTAACATGGAGGAAGAAGAGGATTCATGAACATATTAGTTACTACCCCCTCCCCAAAAAAAGTAATTGAAAGCAACTTACAAAGAATAGCAGACACATGAAAAACAGCATAGAACTAAAGCAGAATAATAGCTAAAAGCACATTCATGTTTATTTTAAGGCAGGACCAAAGCATCCCAGCAGATAAAGGAGGCCACAGATAATTAAAGGCCAAAGTCCTGGCAGGAAATCAACATTTTTGCCTGGCACCACAGTGATGGTACCTTGTGCGACTCCCTTGTGGGAGTGTTCCATACTTGGGGAGCTGCCACTGAGAAGGCCCGTTCTTGTGTTGACACCCTCCACATGGGCACATGGGAAAGGGCCTCGGGGTCAATGCAAGGTCTGGGTTGGCTCATGGAGGAAGAGGAGGTTCTTGAAGTAGTGAGCTGACATTTCAGCTTGCTTGATGGAACTATCTTGCAAAATGTGTATATTAGTCAACGCTGCATTCAAAAGTATGTTTATTAAGAGAAATTCCCCATCAAACCCTGTCCCATTTTCATGAGGGTATATTTTTTATAATAGCAAATTGTTGTGGAAATGTGGAGATCTGAATTTATAATTGGAAAAGTAAGAAACTCAGAGAAGTGAAAATGATAGATTTGTCTGTGCCAGTGTATTCTGTCCCAGAATAACAGAATTGTAGGGTTGGATCAGATCCCAAGGGTACCTAGTCTAACCCCCTGCAGTGCAGGAATCCAAGCTGAAGAATGCCTGACCTCTGTTTAAAAAACCTCCGATGAAGGAGAGTCGGCCGCCTTCTAATATAATTTGTCCCACAATTGAACAACCCTCACCGTCATAGTTAATTCCCTGCCATTGCAGTCAGAGAGAGGGAAGAAGAAAAGGCTTTCGGTCCCCCCAGCAAGAATGGCTGGGCAGTGGATGTGACACCACCAGAAATGGACTAAAAAGGCATGCCCCAATTAACTAGGGCAGCAGATTTTTTTTTTAAAAAAATTAAGACATTATTTTTTATACCATCTTTAAAGGTGGCATTTCTCTTCCTCTTTCTTGCGAGAGGAGTGCTTCTGCTAAGATTATGCCTGCTATGACATCCACATGTGCATCACCAAACAATAAGTAAAGAATGCTTCTTTCCGCAGAAATATTCCTACCCTTAAGCAAATGCAATTGGCTGATTGATTCAAGCTAATAGAATGACATTATTAAAATTTATTCAATTTGGATCGCAGCCCCAATAAGGATGGTTTTTGAGTGAAGAACACAAAGCCTAAGCTTACTAGGCTCTGAGCAATTCTGCCCAGTTTTGCCCCTTACTATTTATTCAAATGTGTGTGAATGTGTGTTTCCCCCCCTTTTTTCCCCTCCCCCTCCCGTCTTCTCAGTTGAGAAGCAAGGGCTTAAGAAACGCTATTCCTCAGTGACATCCCCTGTCAGATTTAGTCACTTTATTAACCTTATTCTCCCAATCCCACCTCCATTTAACGGTTAACATAATGCACTCCAAATGTAATTTAGCAACCGCACACAACTTAAAACGTAGAATATAATTTCCTTCCCTCTCTCTTAGGGACCTCTATGCAGAAAGCAAATGAACCTGGGCTCACAGTTACATAAACTTAGTTTTAGTGGAAGTGTTTGGGGGTGGCGGGGGGGGGGGCGACGAGGATAAGTAGTCACTTAAGCAACTCCTCCCCACCATCAAAAATTACGAGCCCTAATGGGCTCAGTCAAAGACACTCCATTTCCAGCTGAAAGAGCTAGAAATTTGTCAACCAGACATAATTAGAAGTTGATGAAGTGCCGTGTTAGAGGAGCATAGCGCATATAAAGATGTGGCCTGCGTAGAAAACCTTCTTCGCCCTTTTAGTACCAAATTCCCCTCTGCAGCCTTGAATGTATATAGATAGCAGCTGGGACCCAAGCAAGGGGAAAGAACAGTATGACAGAAACATACCCAATGGTAATTCCAGGCCTAACCCAAAAAGAAGGAAAATCTATGGGAAGCCATTCAGGCTGAAACACTAAGAAATCATTAGTGAGCTGGGTCCATTGACAACGACAAAAGAGATTTAGGGATGGGGTAGAATTATTGGCATTTGCTTAAATTTGCCAATTTCAGCTGCATCGGGGACAGGGGATGTGTGCCGGAAAACTTGCCAGTGCAAATACAATTCAAAGGATGCACTCAGGCAGAGGGTGACAGGTAACGAAAGGCTAGCCAAATACAGATTGCCCTACAATTTATTTCTGCCTGCCGGGAACCTATTGCACTGGACTCATCAGCCTGGAAGTGGCAGGTGGCCAAAAATTAGCTTGAAAAGTCCAGCCGGCCTCTTGGCTGCAGAGCTTGGCGAGAGAGGACCATGTCCAAAGGAAGTCTTTCAAATCTTCCCTAAATGTTCGGTGGGTTGTTGCTGTTTGTTGTTGTTCCTCCCCATTAGCCTGGGCTTACGCCTGCTGCCGCAGTGTAAGAGCTGGGTAAAAATTATCAGCAATGACAACTTCTTTAATTGTTCCTTCTGGACAAGCAAACAGTGCCGGATTTTATTTTATTTTTATTGCAAAGAACTCCTACCTACTTGTACTTGGCATTTCTCTGTTAAATAGTTATCTACTAAAATAAATCTAGAGTTCACCAACTCTATTGTTACCACTACTGCTTCTTATTGTACTCAAAATATGGAATAGTCCTCACTTAAGGAGTCATTGTCAGATCAAGAAGCCCAGTAGTGTCAACATTGACTGGAAAATGATGATATTAGCAAAAATCACATACAAAAATGCATTATATTATGATAAATTGTTTGCAAAACTGTGTACATTAGTCCAAACCAAAACATGTTTATTGACAGAAAATCACACTTATACATTGAAAATTCTTCATGCTTTTTTATAAAAAAAATAAGTAAATAAGAGAACTGAATTTAAGGTGGGGAAAATGATAAGCTGAGAAAACCAAAAATGACAGAACCTCCCATCCTTACTATTCACTGGGCATAACATAGACTGGGGTTGGGACTTGTGCATCTGCTTTGCCACTGAGTTTTTACCAAACATCTTTAGATGTGACCTCAAGCCCAAGGGTCACAAATGGAAGGAAAAGAGTGTATCTAAAGCACTGGATTACAGCTGCTGAGAATTATTTAAAAGAAATAGATGATTGCTGGAGTAATTTTAAGGCTGATGGGCACACTGGATATTTGAGCAAGGCCATGGGTACCACCCCTTTTGGTCACTTCTTCTCTCCCCACATGCAGAGAAAGGACACCTACCCACCCCTTGCTTTCCCAAAGAACATGCGTAAAACAGATCCAGTAGAAGCAATACAAGTCTTGAAAGGCACATAGAGCTGAAAGAGGGAGTGGGAATGAGTGTCTTCAAACTTCAGCTTTATGTATGTTTCAAGGGAGAAATAGGTAATTGACCTCAGCACCTTATGTCCAAGGAACGCAGTGAGTTGGGGAAGGGGGATTTAAGACAATGGGCACCCCGGGAAGATTTCATGGTCTCACTCCCCCACTCCACCCAAATACAGTATTTCATTTTAGGCAAAAAAAAAGAGAAAAGGTCCCATCTCTTTGATCATTGGCTAGCTTTATCCTCCTGTACATATTTGCTCAGATATGAATCTTGTTAGCAGACCTTGCAGGTTGAGTGAATTAAATTGGAATAATCACAATTTCTGGAGCTCAAAGGCTTTATTCATGCAGGAGCAGATTTATCTTGGCGGGAGCTATAGGTGAGAAATAGCAGACATCTTGTCTCAACAAGTTGACAAGCAAAATGGTTCGGCTTTTAGGGATGGTGTTAACATAGTCACAGATAAAGCAAAGACTACAAGCCAATGCTGATTAGATTGCTAGACGAACAGTGCATTCATGTGGTTTAAAGTACCACATGCATTAACTACAAACTCGAGAGAAGGAAATGCATTTGTTTTTCTCCAACAAATCTTACACAACAATGGAATTCATTCCCAAGTAAGTATGCTAAAGGGTTGCAGCTGCAATTGCCCTTTTCTGTAACTTTTCAAACCCTCTAATACACTTTTGAAATATAGATAGATTGTATGTGCTGACAAATGGAGAGAAAGGAAGCTTGGTGGGTGGAGAGATGAATGAAGAAGATTCAGACACTTGCCAAGGGTTGTGCAAAGAATCTGCAGTGGTACTTCTACATTATGAAGAAAACTACATGGAGAATTTTAAAGCACTTTCAGTTCTAGGGAAGAAGGCTTCATTAGAAGATCTATTTATCTATCTGTCCCTACACCTATGTGTGTGTGTGCGCGCGCACACACACACACACACACACACACCCTCTCCTCATTATGAAGCCTCTGTTCCTTCTCATTACTGTTGCACAATTGGGAAGAGGATCATCTATTCATGTGTTCTCACTAATTGTCTTATTTCTACAATGGTCTGTACTTTAACAAAATCTGAAACAGTTAATGAGCAATATAATCTTTTTTTTCACAAAACATGCCGCTTTTGTTCCTCTTTAATCAGCAGTGTGACTGCTTGCCCTTTCTCTCCCCCCCCCCCATCCCACCAATGATTGTAATTCATTCCCTTTGTTTCATTTGCAGAAGAAAGAGGAACAGGGCTGAGTATCTAAAAATGCACCAACACCATTCATTCATTCATTCATTCATTCATATATATTTTTCCTTAAGCATTTCAGCTCAGCCAGAAATAAACCAGCATACCCTAATCCTAAAAGGAAAGAAATGGAAAGAAAATGTGGAAGAAGAAAAAAGTTGAATCTTGTTGTTGAAAAGCTTTGCAACTTTGACAGAAGTTTTCTTCATCCCTCACTATGAAAAGCAGACCGTTCCTTTCTGAATTCATCTGGGGTATTTTTTTTCCCTCCCAGCTGCTACTTTTCTTAAAACCCTTTTGCTTGGGAGCATGTGTTGTTGCTATTACAAATGAAAATTGGCTGTGATATATGAAATGATTATATCAGCAATGGACACAATTCTAGGTTGCTGTTCTTCTGTAGTGTGTAGTTCTAAGAAACCTTGTGCAAATCACCGTCCTGTTTATGTAGGTACATATGTGGGGGCAGTAACCTGTGGGTGTCCATGCTAACACCCAGTTCTTAGGAAGCCCTGGGTTTTTTGTGGTTTTTTTTTTTTTTGCAATTTCTCCATTTTGTGAGACAGAGGGAGAAGGAGAGGGATTCAAGAGGGTCTGGTGTCAGCATAGATCTTGCCCTGGCTCAGGGGGTCACCAAAATGGTCTTCCCTGGTGTCCATGAGACCCACTCACAGGTCCTTGGTCAGAGGTGATGAAGGTGCATCCCTTTTCTCTGAAGAAGGAATTTGGAAGAGTGACACTCTTACTCATGTCCTCTTTCAGGCTCTGTGTGCTTTTTAAGGCTCAGACTAAGGTAATAAAAATACCACAAGTAAAATAAATCCAATGTCTTGGATAGCTTTGAGCAAGAGGTTAACAAAATCATGGAAGGTAAATTTAACCATGACTAGTATTCATGATAATTGAATATGGTGAGGAGTCACCATATAATTAGTGCTTTTTTGTATATTTGTTAATAAACAGATGTTATAAAACACTACAAGTCTTCAGAATGCTCTCCTCATGAGGAAATTGATCCTGTAAAGCTTCTCTGAGACTTCTTACCATTTGGTAGGAAAGCAGAAATTAGTATTCTCTCAAATATGTTATGTTTCATAACCAAAAGAGCATTCTATTTATTATTACAAGTCATCCATAGCAGCTACTGTTCCCTTTATCTAGAAAGTATTAATGGAACAAAAATCAAAGGATAATACTCTGCAACTCACTATCACTTCAATATAGTATCACATCAATATACAGTAACACTTGTCTCCAAAAAAGGTTTATCCAAATGCATCTGGGAAGCTATATACTAAGCATGGTGATGCACAACCATCTTCTATACATTGTTCAACAGTATAGTTTCTTTGAATACGGGGATTTCTTTATTAACAAATATACAAAAAAACAGGTGGCAAGCAAGTAGGTACTGCTACAATCAGCTGACCAAAGCAAAAGGACATCGCAGCCTTGATTTTTGCCAAACAAAATAATTACCTATTTTATTTCTTTCTATTTAGATGAGTCCCAGCCAGTTTCAGCCTGCACCAACACAGGTAGGCAGAATATCCCATCTGTGCCCCCAAACAGACCCAAGCCAAAAGTAAAGTGTAAAAATTGAACAGCATAACAAAATGACCTATGACAACATGCTTTATATGAACACCGGTTTTGACGCTACCTTCCATTGTTATATGTTAAAAACACATTCAAAATCCAGTCATTGTTGACAGGTTTGTTCTGAAACAATCCTAGGCTCTATTTAAGATAAGCATTCCTAATTGTGGCTGCCAGCTGCTTTTCCTCTGTGTATCTTAAGAGCATCTTGCTGCAAGAAACTTCGATCAAATCTGACTTCGCAACCAATATTGTGGTCTTCATCACTTTAACGGGAGCGTCCCTATTGGATTCAAGACAGTGAAGCATTAAGGAAATGAAATATATATTTAAATACATACAGCACTGTGTGATTTGTTGGGAACATTTCTAGAACTGACAAGTTACAAGCCATGTCTGTGAAGCCCGCAGGGAACTTTCAAAACTCAAGCAGCCAGCAGTTTCTAATCACTGCCTATCATTAGCATTTTAGTGAATAGATTTTTTTAAAAAAGAAAATAAATGAAAAATCTTGACTGTGAAGAAAGATGACATTTGTTAAAGCAAATAATCCTGTACATTTAAAGATGAAGATGTAACATTTGTAGAGTAATGGAGGTGGTTTGATTTGATAGCCTTGTTGCCAAACTCCCAAGTACACATGCATTTTACTGTCCTGGGGAGATATTAGGGGCAGGTAGATTCTACACAACATGGTTCATTTTGAAGCAGCAAAATAGTGGGAGGTCCCTATTGGCCAATATCTGTGTCTTGCCAACACACTGCCTGCCCAGCATCTCCACAGCAGTTGGTGAATACTCCCTGCTCCCCCATAGAGAAATAAAATTGTAGATAGACAAACCTGTATATATGTTCCTGTAAGTCATCACAGCCTAGATTGAAAATGATGATGTGCAAGGGATAGCCAACAGCACATCATCGTTTTCAATCTAGGCTGTGTTGACTTACAGGAAATGGGAGATGGAAGTTCTCTTTTAAAAGTGTCCTGGAGAAGTAGCTCAGTATTGGCTGGTCCTGGATCTACATGCTTGTTTGCCTTTAATTATATTTTTGGGTTAGCGGCTTTATTTTTATATGCCAAATTGTGTAGTAACCTTCTTCCCTAACCTGAGACTGAAAGGAGTTGGAGGGCACTGTCTGGAGGGCACCAGCTTGGGGAAGGCTGGTGCAGAGGACAGTTCCTATGTAGCACCCAAGTACTGTAAAATTAACATAAAATGCAATAAAATTACAATATGAAAAATCAACACAATAAAAAAGCAAGCATTAAAAACAAGGGGAAGTGTCTGTCTGGAATGGGAAGCCAGCTGCCGATCCAGGGTTGAGCTTCCTGATGTGCACATGAGAAATACAACTTGCTATTTTCATTTCTTTTCTTACTAGGTTGAATCAGTACACAAGACTAAGCAATAACGGGACAAGACTTGGAACCTGGGTGCGTGCAGATGCACATTCTTCCATATTGTCCTCCCCAAATGCCTCTGGTTGTGATCTGAAGCCGTGCACCAGAACTGTCTACTCTGTGAAGCTGCCAGAGTGTGGGATTGGTTACCTGTTAACACCCAAGAAATCAGAAGTAAGTATTGTCCAATGCATTGTGTATACATCAAGGTAGCTAGTAGAAGAACATAAGAAGAACACAAGGAGATCAGACCAAATATCCTTCTAGTCCAGTATCCTTCAATGGTGGCCAGTCAGATGCCCTTATAGAGTCTACAAGCACGAGGTGCCAATGCATTTCAGCTGAAGCCAAACTTCAGGCAAACTGGAGAGTTCTGGGCAAGTTTTTTATACAGGTGCTAAAACCACCTTGAAAGGGATGCAGGTGGTGCTGTGGGTTAAACCACAGAGGCTAGGACTTGCCGATCAGAAGGTCAGTGGTTTGAATCCCCATGACGGGGTGAGCTCCCGTTGCTCGGTCCCTGCTCCTGCCAACCTAGCAATTCGAAAGCACGTCAAAGTGCAAGTAGATAAATAGGTACTGCTCTGGCGGGAAGGTAAACGGCATTTCTGTGCACTGCTCTGGTTCGCCAGAAGCGGCTTAGTCCTGCTGGCCACATGACCCGGAAGCTGTACGCCGGCTCCCTCGGCCAATAAAGTGAGATTAGTGCCACAACCCCAGAGTCGGCCACGACTGGACCTAATGGTCAGGGGTCCCTTTACTTTACTAAAACCACCTTGAAAGGTTTAGCAAAGTTTCTTGTGACGGGCGTGTGAAGGAAGGAATGTGAACATCTATAAATTAGCTTACATTCCCATACGTATGGCTTTTCCTTGCTTTGTGGGATTTTCAAATGAGACTTCAAGTGGTGTATCTAGTAGTTGTAGTAGTAGTAGTAATAATAATAATAAGAAATGATTATGATGATTATTACCCAACCCATCTGACTGGGTTGCCCCAGCCACTCTGAGTGGCTTCCAGCATATATAAAAACCTTAAACCTTAAAAAGTTTCCCTATGCAGGGCTGCCTTCAGATGTTTCCTAAATGTTATACTCATCTCCTTAGGTTTGCTTCATGCCTGGCACAGAATGCTCATTTGCATTACAAATGCCTCTCTTCCCTGTTCTCTTCTGCATCGAAAAAGATCACATAAATAGCATGAGCGAAAACCTAAAAAGCAATTTTGCGTCCCATGGACAAAAATGCTCTTTCACTGTCTCCCCGTTGCATTTTGACAATGTTTCTGGCGAAAAACAAACAGAAGAAACAGTCCTTCTCTTCTCATACAAGGGCTTCCAGTCCTATAACAGGAAATCCTTTTGAAACATGAGAGTGTAAACATGGGTAATGCACGCACCGCTAACTTGCCGTCTGGCTTCCTGAGCTGGCTCGAACGTGTTTTCAAGCAAGTATATTTTTTATTTTTCACCTTTTTAAAGGCAAAACAGGGGTGTCTTCTTATCTCTTCCCACCCTGTTCTCATATACCCAGCATTCTCACCAGTCTTGCTTAGAAAGAAAAGTTATTTTGGAATGAAACTGGGGCCATTTTTCAGAGCGTGGTCCAAACGAAGCAAATAGCTCCAAAATACATTTCAGAATATGTAAGCTGATCTTTCCCCCCTCCAACAAGGAGAGAGAGAGAGAGAGAGAGAGAGAGAACACCAAAGCGTCCAAAGGGTTGTTTATTTACCAGGAATGCAAGGCGGTCTGATGAGAGCGAGTGATGTGGAGTGTCACTTGCATTGTTGCCCACTGATAGGCTACTACTGACAGGGTGAGCCTGACAACATGACATGCAGTGTGCTAGCCAGCTCTGGGGGTCAGCCTAAGCTTAGGGATGGGTGGCCAACCAGGAAATCGGAGCTGAGAGATAGAGTTTGGGGATTGTGGTCCCTCTGGGGCAGGCAGTAAAAAGCTCTGCTGACTGCCACACACCTCCTGCTGCCTGATCCATGGAGAGAGCGTCTGTAGGTTTCAGTTCCAAAGGTATGGGATGGCTGCCCCTCTGGGACCAAAGAACATTGCTGTGAAAGCAAGGGGACCTGAGGCCGAGAAAAGAGGAACACCTCTTGCCAGAATAAGGAAGAGACTCCAGGGGATCAGAGCAGCAAAGACAAATTATTGACTGAACTGCCACCTTTTGTTTGTTCCACAAAGGAAGAGCTCTGTAACAGAAGTGAAGGGTTGGCTCACAGGATGCCTGGGGCTTTGTGTCTTCTGTACTAAAGGAATGTAGAATATTATGCAAAAGCAATTCCAATCTCGAGCCAGGAATAGCTGCACTCAGTGCATCAGTTATGCAAATTTGCCAATCTGTACAATTTCCTGTTTTGCCCTATTCTGGGTCTGTAGCCATGGGGGGAGGGCAAAGGAGCCTCGTAGACAAATGAAGTCACAACCTCAAATCTTAATTCAGGGATTGCTTGCATACCGTCAAGCATATCTCCACAGCCATGAGGGCTAGAAACTTGTCCTCCCCGTCACGCACACTCACTCATACAAAGGGAAGCCAGTTCCTCATGAAGCTAAGATCTGCCCCAACATTAGATTCTTCAAGTTTCCTGTGCCTCCAGGCATCACAGCCTACATAGAGTAGCACCACTAGTATGGTTAGAGTGCTGGAGCTGTGGAGACCCTCTGAGGCATAAAGTTCATGTGTGATATTGGGCCTGTCGCTATCTCACAGCCTAACTTACCAGAGTTGATGTAAGGATAAAACGAGGGAGGGGAGAACCATGTATGCCACCATGAGGTTCCTCCATGTTTATTATATCCCCTGCCCTGTTTTCTCTCCTGTCCCACCCCCTGCACACCCACCAATCACAAATAGATTCCACAAAGGAGAAAAAAAAACCCTCCCATTTCATTTCTGAATGTGTTTGATGTGTGTCCAGAGACAGCATCTAGCGTGATTATGCCAGTTTTCAGCTCACAAGCGTACAGTCATGGTGCTCCTTTTCCTTGGCCTTGCAGAATCAGACTCCTAGGAACTGGGGGTATAGAAATAGCTTGTTTTCATTTAAAACACTTTGCAGCTTCTGCTAATTTCAGTTTCTTGCATAACCAAATGTCTCTTTATTTGTGTATTACAATCCTCCCTTCCTCCAATAAGCCTCACACCACCAATCCTGTGAGGTGGATTAGCCTGAGAGGGAGAATGACTACCTCAAGCTCACCCAGCGAGCGTTATCATAATTTTATTAAATTTTCAAATTTTACATTTCAAATTAAACATACTTTATTAAACCATGTGTTCATTGACTTCCCTCCTTCTCCTACCAAGGTTAATTTAACTTATCCACCATTCCTGTATATTTTAAAATAATAATAATAATAATAATAATAATAATAATTTATTATTTATACCCCGTCCATCTGGCTGGGTTTCCCATTTAATTTCCCATCTAGTTATTATATCCATCTAATTTAATTTTCCTATCTTACATCAGTTCAAAATATGTTAAACTGTTGAATTACTTTAAAACTGCCAGCGTTTTTAACTGTGCACAATTATTTTCTATTTACTCGACAAAAAAATTCCACTCCCCTTGTTCCCTTATTCTACTTATTAGACCTGCTAATTCTGCATATTCTATCATTTTAAGTTGCCAGTCTTCCTTACTAGGGACCTCTCTCACTTTCCATTTTTGGGCTAACAAAATCCAAGATGCTGTTGTTGCATACATGAATATGCTCTTCTGATTCCTGGGAACCTCTGTCTGAACAATACCTAACAGAAATGCCTCTGGTTTGGGGGGGGGAGTTGTTTTAAACATTTTTTCATCTCATTAGATATCATTTCCCAATATACTTTAACTTTTTTGCATGTCCACCACATATGGAAAAAAGTTCCTTCTACTTCTCTGCATTTCCAACTTAAGTCTGATTCCACATTATACATCCTAGCCAAACTACTCGGAGTTAAATGCCATTTATGGATCATTTTCATATAATTCTCTTTCAGTGTGTAGCATGCAGTAAATTTCTATCATTCTTCCAAAGTTTCTCCCAGATGTTATATTACATCCTATATCCATTACCCAGTGGGTCATTGATGCTTTTTCCAGCTCATCTTTTGTTTCCCATTCCAATAATAGTTTATACATTTTGGACAATAATTATTCCTTGTTCATCAATAACTCTCTTCAAATTGTGAGCTTTGGTCCAAAAAGCCATTTTTCTCTTCTAATTTAAACATATCATGTAATTGGTGATATTGTAGTCAATCAGTAACTTGGCTCCTTACTTTTTCCAGTGGTTCCAGAAAAGTCGAACAGATTTCTATAAGTCGCTCACTGTCTATCCATGTAATTTTTTCAATTGACGACAACCATAGGGCTGTTTTTCTTTCCAACAAATTTTTGTGTTTTCCCCAGACTCTGTACAAATTTCTCCTGATAACATGGTTCATAAAACTATATATTTTAGCTTTCCCATACCAAAGACATGCATGCCAGCCAAACTTCATATCATGGCCTTCTAGGTCTAAAATGTGTGCATCCTCCAATACAATCCATTCCCTTAGTCAACACAAGCAAGCTGGCTCATAGTACAATTGTAGATCTGGCAGGGCAACGCCCACTCTTTCTTTTGTATCAATCAAAATTTTGTATTTAATTCACAGCTCCCCCCCCCAACAAATTTAGAAATATCCTTTTTCCATTCCTTGAGGCAACTTGGTTTGTCAACAACTGGGATTGATTGAAATAAAAATAACATTTTGGGGCACCCAGCAAGTGTTATAACCTAGTGGAGATTTGAACCTGAGTCTCCCTGGTCCCAGTCTGATACACTCTACCCACAACACTGTAGATAGCTCAGTCGGTAGAGCACGAGACTCTTAATTTCAGGGTCGTGGGTTTGAGCCCCATGTTGAGCAAGAGAGTCCTGTGTTTCAGGGGGTTGGACAATGACCCTTGTGGTCTTTTCCAACTCTATAATTCTATGATTCTAACACCCCATTGGCTCTGAGGAAAATGCATGAGTCAGGAACTGGACTTCCTGGATCTCAGAGGAAAGCCTAGGTGGCAGACAAAAAAGAGCTCTGAGTGCGTTCCAGCTAAGCTGTCTCCCCTGATACCTTGCTCAGAAATATGTACCACCAATGCACACATCAGCGGAACACGATGAAATAGTTGCCACCTGTATAGAAGATATTACAAATATCAAATACTACATCTCATAAGATGTCTTCTACTATGTATTTTGGAAAGTTGTTTGTCTGTCCTCTATGCATTTGGACATCTCTTAAGATACCATAATCAAATGTTGCATGGTGGTTCCTGGGATTTTTGTCTATGTTTGGATACAGTTGGACACCATTTTGAATCAAGATGGTGGACTAATTATAATATGCAGTTGACTTAGGTATTTAAAGAATCCATGGAGGAGAGGAGGGAAGTCCTAAGATTTGAAATACTCTTGTTTTATTTGTAATGTTTTCAAGAATGTTAAATGTGTGATTGATTTTGTAAAACGGAAAAAAATATATTTTAAAAAATGAATCAAGATGGTGGACTGAACCTTTCAAAACTTTACTGTTGTTTGGGCTTCTTAGAATTCCCAAGCAACATTAGGTATGAGGCTGCTGGTAAATAGAAGTATATATTCAATGCATTTTCAGAGACTGAAGAATTTTAAGCATCAGAATTTGCAAATAAATTTGAAGTGAGATCATGGGAAAACTCCCATAATCTTATCTTCACATACATTTACCTTCTGGTCTTCACTCTGAAAGTTCCTCACTTATTCTCAGAGCATACATAGATGAACTATTTGATAATTTACTACAGAGTGCATCAAGCCACTTGGTAAAATGGTTGCCTGCAACATCTTGCCAAGTATTGGGAGTTTTTTAAAAACAACAATAACAGCTTTTCCTCTGCTCCCCAGAATATCTCACTGGGTGCAGAAACACAGTAAAACTATCACCATCAACAATGGACAGGACTTTATAGACAGCTAGCTTAACTTGTATATACATCCACACTATGATAAAGTAAAGGTAAAGGGACCCCCTGACCATTAGGTCCAGTCGTGACTGACTCTGGGGTTGCGGCGCTCATCTCGCTTTATTGGTCAAGGGAGCTGGCGTACAGCTTCCGGGTCATGTGGCCAGCATGACCAAGCCGCTTTTGGTGAACCAGAGCAGCGCACGGAAACGCCGTTTACCTTCCCGCCGGAACGGTACCTATTTATCTACTTGCACTTTGACGTGCTTTTGAACTGCTAGGTTGGCAGGAGCTGGGACCGAACAACGGGAGCTCACCCCGTCGTGGGGATTTGAACCGCCAACCTTCTGATTGGCAAGTCCTAGGCTCTGTGGTTTAACCCACAGCGCCAACAGTGTCCCACACTATGATAAGTAACCACTAAACCATTTTCTGTATTCAGTCTTTTCAGAAAATGAACAGAATGCAAGCTCAGACTCTAACAAGCACAGATCAGTATGTGTAAGGCTGAGTTGATAAAAGTGAAAATCTATCCTAGGATATGGTTGGAAGGCACATGAGAATGTTACCTTACTTAACCAAAGCTGGCCTGGATCTGGTCAGTGTCTGAACTGGTGACCAATGGGTGCCTAGAAATAATATGTACACCTTGAGTTCAATGGCGTGAGGCGTTGGGGATTGGTATATAAATGAACAACAATGGCAAAATTCCTCAGTCTCTTCCCCATCGTTACATTGCCACAGCATTACAGCTACAGCAAAATTCCTACTCATGCAAGGGGGGCGGACAACTGAGGAATTTTTAGTAAACCCGCAGAGGGGTTCCCACCTATCAGTGAAATATGAAAAAAAAGGGGGAAGGGGGGAAACTTTCCTGTTTTCCTCTCCCCATCAGCGTGCTTTTTCCATGATAGGCCAAACTTCTGTGCTCTCTGCAGCTGCCCTGTGCAGGCTGTGACAGGAGGAAGGCTGGGAGCTGACAGTGCTTAAGAGAGAGGAAAGGCGGGGAGGGGGGGAGCATGGCTACCCCCAATCCCCCTCTTGAAGCTGATAATTAATAAATGAAATGCCCTGGGACTCCACTAAAGCTTCTTTCGATGACATATCTGTCGTGAGCTCGGCAAAGCATTAAATGGCCATTTTCTGACAGAATGACTTCACTGCCTTGGCGCTTCCTTGACTTTGTGGAGAATATGTTTCCTTTTTTCTTCTCCCTCTCTCTCTTTCTCTCTCTCTCTCTTTTATTGCCTCCTCTTTCTCTCTCTCTCTGTCTTTGGCTTATTCTTTCTCTTCCTCTCTCTCTCTCTTCCTCTCTCTCTCTCCCTGGTTGACGGCTCTAGTTCATTTCTGCCTGTTTAATTGGGCCCCGGATGAATTTACTCGACAGGGCCATTCATCATGTGGCAGCCGCTGGCGGACGAGCCCAGGGGGAGCCAGGCTGACAGCTCCGGCAGCCTCGGATGCCGCCTGACTCTGGGAAGTTCACATATTTGGGCATTAGTGCAGCTATTAGTTTAACAAGCTTCGTTTATCCTTGTCACTACCACTTCAGCTTCCCATGTAATCATTTGAAATGTAGATTACTGCTAGACAAATGGGACAGAGCAAGAGGATGCAGGAGGGAAAAAGTGACATGGATTGCTTGTTACGAGCTGTTTTTCCCCCTCCCCTTAAAAAAATCCACTCCTCTTAATTCCCTTCCAGTGCAAGCCTCTTTGATTAACTTAATATTCACATTATTTCTATGGTAAGGGCTCCGCCACCTGTGTACAGCCCCTGTCTTGAAACTGGTTGTCTTGACCTGAAATGTACTTTAAGCGTCTAGACCTTTGTCCAGGGAAGGCGGAAGGCTTGCATACCCAGATTCTGCCCCCCTCCCCTTCTCATCTCTAGCTAGTAAGAAAAAAACAGCAACCCTTGAATTTCCAGGAGGAAGCTAGTGGTGCCACAACAGCCTAGCCAACAAATGCAATCCGTCATGTGTATCAGGAGTGAGGTGCATCTGTGCCAGATTGCCAAAATCATTCCTTGTAATTCCTCCTCCAAATGTTATTGCTCAAGACAGATTATGCTAAGGCTTAAACAGGAGCTATATTTTCAGAGACATAGAAATGTTCTTGTCATTCTCCTGTTGCACACAGGGCATATTTTGATGTGTTTTTCTTTTGGACTTCTATCCCTGACTAACCAGGAATTCATTGTAGCTCAAGAGCTGGGGATAGATTATTCTGCCCTTTCTGCTTTAACCCAGGCTCTGATTTCTCCAGCCTTAAATTCAGTTCTTACATTTCCATATCAAAAAAAATTTTAAAAATTAAAAAATTGTCTGGTAGGACCTTAGAGACCAACTTGTGCACATTCAGCTTTACGAGCATGGCCAAAAAATATTTAAAAATTAAAAAGGGGACAGACCTCTGGGGAAAATGTCTTTGGTGATCTCGTCTGCCACTGACCCCGATGAGTTTTGACTATATGCGATTTTGGCTTTAGGCGCGATCTCCAGAATGTAACCCCTGCATTTGTTCCGGACTTACCGTAAAACAAAAAAGTTTGCCTTGCAAACTGTATTAGGAGATGTGATTAGGTAGGATTTCATTTGTTTATCAAATTTACACCCTGCTTTTTGACCTCAAAGCAATTTACAAGATCAGTCAAGTGCAGTGGGAACATTTTAAAATACTGATGCTCCACACAAGACAGCAAAACAAGCCCAGTTACCTATTTTTCGCTCTATAAGACGCACCAGACCATAAGACGCACCTAGTTTTTGGAGGAGGAAAACAAGAAAAAAAATATTCTGAATCTCAGAAGCCAGAACAACAAGAGGGATCACTGTGCAGCAAAAGCAGTGATCCCTCTTGCTGTTCTGGCTTCTGGGATAGCTGCACAGCCTACATTCGCTCCATAAGACGCACACACATTTCCCCTTACTTTTTAGGAGGGAAAAAGTGAGTCTTATAGAGCAAAAAATACGGTAGATCAGGAACAGGCACCTGATGCGCGCGCTCTCTCTCTTGTTCCTTGCTCCTGGGCTCTTTCCCACAAAGCATTTGGTCTTCAATCACTCTGGAGACACCCCAGCTGGAGCAGGAGTCTGCTTTGTTTTGTTTTTTTACCTGCTGTGCTGTTGCCCAGGAGGGCTGCTTTTCTTAGAAACAAACTCCCAGCACTTGAGGTAAACTCAGACATGAACAGCTTTATTTAAGTACAGCAGACAAGGAGCTCTGCTTATTCCTGGGCCTCCAGGTCCACGTTGGCTTCTTCCTCCCACTCTGCTCCATAGGAAGTTCCCTCTTCAAGTACTTCTCCTTGGCCCAGGAACCAACTATATTCACACCTGCTACCCTCTCTTTCCCCCTAGATTCATTGAATGAGAGAACCTATCACCTGTGAGTAAGAACTCCACAGCAGCAGTTTGCCATATGCAACAGTGAGACAATGGAGAGAACTAAGAAATAAGGTAAGTTTGCTTTGCTTTGCTTTGCTTTGCTTTGCTTTGGTAATATTGTTGCCCCAACCAGGGTTCCCACCCCTCCCCATAGCACAGGAGAGTTCTGGCTGAGATGAATAGGCCTAAAACTTGGAAGGTTACTGGTTCTTTCCATACATGTGAATGTGCTGAATTAAAATAAAAATGTTCAGTCCCTGAGGATCCCAAACTGACAATGAGACAACATTGGGCTTGGGTCATAGCCAAGTTCTCCCAACCACCTGTGAGCCCTCAGTTAGAGTTAAGTATAATGGCTTAATTGCGGCTAACAACACATTTAAAACACTTTAAAACACTTAATTATAAAAGCAGCATAAAGTACAGTATAAAAACATGAATAACTATAAAATTCAAAAATCAATTCGATAATCCCCAGGGCTAGCTGGCTGAATTGGTCCTACTTGGGCCAGCGAGGAGGTCAGGGGAGAATTAGCTGTGGGCTCTCAGAGTGGGTGATCTTCATAAAAGGGGAGGGGGAGGGAAGGGAAATAAAAGATCAGACTGAATTCAAATGAAAGGCCAGGTGGAATAGCTCTGTCTTACAGGCCCAACGGAAGGAGGTTAAATCCTGAAGGGCCCTAGTCTCATGGGACAGAGCATTCCACCAGGTCGGAGCCATCACTGAAAAGCCCTGGCCCTGGTGGAGGATAGTCTGACTTCCTTAGGGCCCGAGAAGGGGACGACAGAGGATGAGATGGTTGGACAGTGTTCTCGAAGCTACGAACATGAGTTTGACCAAACTGCAGGAGGCAGTGGAAGACAGGAGTGCCTGGCGTGCTCTGGTCCATGGGGTCACGAAGAGTCTGACACGACTAAACAACTAAACAACAACAACATATAAGGGCTTGCACACCATTGTTCTGGGTTCCTCCTCCCTTCTGCTTGGGACGGGGGGGGCAGGGTGAACACCCTGTTGCAACAGTTTAATAAAGATCATGCTTACTAGCTGCTTTGCTTCTCAATATTCTCTGGTTGGCCTCTGCTATTTTCTCCTACAAATAGAGAATCTACAAAAGGACTCTATATGGACTCTTGGGTACCCCATAAGAGAAAAGGAGCAGTTTTTATTTTAACAAGCTCCAGGCCAAAAATGAATGTTGCGGGAAGAGACAGACCTCTGCTTCTTAATTTTGTTGGAATTATTTCATTTTTTGTAAGATGCTGAGCCTGTGCTGGACAGCACAAGATGTTGTATTGATATTTTTGATTTATCATTTGATGCATTTTGAAGAGTTTGGCTAGTAAAATTTGAATAATATTTTCATGGGTCTGGACAACGCTCCATTTCAACCTTCAGCTACCTAGAGTAAGACGGCAGCTCGGCAGGGAGTTGCATAAAGAGGCTCAGTGTTGTTCCTCCAAAAAATGTTTTATCAGCTATTTTTAAAGCCTTTTAAAAAGCTTTTTAAACTTTCAACCTTCTCAATTTGTAATTTGGATGTCTTTCTGGGCCTTGGAACCTTGCTCCCTGTCAGTTTGCATTTCTTAGCGCAGAAAGTATTGATCGGATGTGTAGAGATCTTTCCTATTCTACTTAATTCAGGAGGGTTCTGGAAGCTTTTCTGTGTGAAAGAAACAAGCAGAAGGTTCATGATGTTTGGGTTATTCCTTCAGAGAAGCTGAGTACAGCTGGCCTAAACTGGTTCTGTTATCTCTTCTTCAAGGTCATGCTATAATAAGAGGCCTGGGCTTCCCCTTTTCTCTTTCTTTCTTTTTTCCGTCTGGTGTGGTGTTCTGTATATAGTGTTAAGGTTTAGACTTATTATAAGTTAATGCAAGTTTAAGTTAAGCCTGGAAGCAGGCTTCAGAGCTCCGCAGATAACAGGACTGTAATTAGCGTTGATTGCCACCCAGGGAAGTAATTTTTCCTTTTTTTACTTCTATACTTTTAAACTTACCAACCTACTGAGACTCTAACAGCACCTTCTTGTCTATGCTATGAGAAACATCTTGGGCAAGTTCTGTGAAGCATCCTGGGCAGGCCGCCAGCTGCTAGCTATTAACCGCCAACTCCCTTCTATACTTTGTTCCTGAAACTCCTGGCAGTCTCCACATGGAGAAGCTCTTAAATTGAACAAACTGAGCACTTTCTAATTTTTCTCTCTTTTTTTGGTTGGGGAAACCTCTCCTTGTTTACTCCCCACGGCGACGCTTTGCCTGCTAGTTAAGCCTGCTGCAACTGGATTTCTTATGGACAGTGCCAATCCTGAATGTATTGGATTTGTGACCATTATGCTCATTTGCCTTCTGTAGCAGTAAAGCTCTGCTGGATGAAATACAATTGCCTCTGATCTATTTTGGGGGAATCCTGCAACGCGTCTAAGTTTTTACTCTGCTAACTATACGTTGGATCTGCTATGGATCAATATTGAGTAGAATTTCCATGACACCCCCTACCTGCTTACCTTCCCCTGGCTTGGAGGAAATCTTTTAATGAGCCTGCTTATTATACCTCCCCACATCTGCCAATGCTCAGTTTCCAAAAGGATTCAGTTTTCATGCATCCAGTTGCTTCAAACTGTGCCATATTATCTGCAGCAGTTAGGTAACGGCTTCCAATATGAGAAGGGAGAGGCCAGTAAGGTAGCTGAACTCCCTGTCTGAGGTCCTTTGTTTCCAAGCTGGCTGGGAAAGAGGTGAGGCTTTTAGGGAAGGAAGGATGCTCCCAGACTGGGATCCAATGCCATACTGGCAAATGCAGGTTGCGCAATAACTTGGAGCTCTTGTGCAGCCCTGCTCCTACCCCCAAAGGAAAGTCTTTTTCCACTAAGGAAAGTGATGGGGTAATACATTGGAAAGTGTGGGATAACAACATATCATCTAACCTTGTCACAAATAAATCATAGGGAATGCCTAGTGAACAGTTGACGCTGTCCAACTTCCCCATCAACTATGTGCAAACAAATCGGGATGAATGCTCAAGAAACAGGTTGTTGGAAAACAACCAAAATCTCCTTGGCAATTCAGAATAAACATACAGGGGCACTCAACAAAGGGACTGGCAACTGTCTCCATTTGGACTGTGGGTGTTTTGGTGTGTTTTAGGATTCTGTTCTCTGAAATCTCTCATCTAGAAGTACCCTAAGGTTGAGGTTGGATGCTCTCTGGAGCTGACAGCCTGTGTGTGATGATGTTAGAGCATTGAAAGACCCACAGAGATCCAGTCTGTGTGGTCGCTCCTGCCCTGGAGTTAAGCCTCTTCCTTTGAGGCATACCAAAGCCTGAGCATTCTTCTCAGTCTTCAGCATACTTACTGGAATAAAGCTCTCCTGCAGTAGTAAATTGAACTTGCTTCCAAATAAATGTGCTTAGGCCTCAATTGTGATTGTGTATGTTGTTCCCAGTTGCCTTTGCTTGCTGAGATTCAGGCTATAAGTGAGTTGGATTTTAATATTTGTTATGGTTTATTGATTTTTATTTGTTTGAATAGGCCCTTGTTATATTTTGGCCATTCCAAGGCATCAGGGTGGTGCTGTTAGCACCCTAAATAGGGAAAAATAAATACATTGTGGCAGGTAGCATTGCTTGCCTACAGTAGGTTTGTGTTTTTCCCAGATTGCAATTTTGCAAGAGCTAGGGACACATTTTCACAAACAGGAAAGGGACATGAAAAATAGGTTTATTGCCTCCCCCTTCTTCAGTTTGTGTGGGAATCGCAGAGAGTCCTTTTTAAAAAGAATCTTTTCTTATATACACAACAGATGTCTGCTCACTGACTGCCAAACCAGATAAGGAAAGGAAAGAAAAGGAAACAATCAAATAATGTTTTCCCGAATTTGCTTTTAAATGCCACTACTGTAGTCTCAATGTGTTACAATATAGATAGTATGTGAAAAGTTAACAATTGTGGCAAAACCTTTCACAAGGTTCCAGTCGGGTTTGCCTCCACAAATCACTCAGAAAGATAGATACAGCTCCAATCCACTTTCAGCAGCTGTTTTTGAGCAAAGAAAAAGTCATTGGGAGCATAGTTATGAGAAATGGTGGGGTCAGATTATTTTAAGTCTGCAGTATAATGAAGGCTGGGTCCATCAGGCCTGCTCTTGCTGATGTGTCACCTGGTACCAGTCATTCCGGCAAACTGTGAGATTGGGAGAGATGGGAAGCACCAACTCCAGCAGGAGCCTTCAGCCCCTGAATTATGCCAATACGAGCTGGTCGTTTGTAAGAGCTGCTATTTAACTTTTAAAAAATGGCACCTAAATTTGCTTCCCCCCCCCCTTCTTTCTTCCCTGCCACTTTTTCCTCTTGTGTTTTGTGTATTTAATGATAAACCTGCAAGCAGGGGCTGTCTTGTTTTGATTGTATGTAAGCCACTCTGGTTCATGGGATCCCAGAGAGTCGAACACGACTAAGACGACTAAACAACAATAGCCACTCTAGATGGATGAGTGGAAGAGATAGATATAGACACACACACATGCAGAAGAACATGGTACAAATGCACCAAATAAATAAAGAATAAATACTGGGTTGGTGCTAAGGACTCCATCTTCAGACTGTTGCTATGTTATTCTTCATTTTCCTATTCATACCCTTGTTTGCTTGTATTTCAATAACCAGCTTATGATTTGGGCCTACAAAAATGAGTAGATCCAGCTTCCTTCAGTCCCTTTGAATAACCATAATTAACTATCCAATTGGGACCTTCTGGTGGGCCTCACCAAGAGCAGCATATCAACCATTAACTTGTATAGGAGAGATAAAACTGATGCACTCCAATGACACCACTGGGATGGGGGTTCAAGTTGCTGCAGCCACTCAGAATCAAGTCTGCTCCTATCCACTGAGCCACGTGCTTAGTTATGTTTCTTTCACACCACGGAGCAAGATGAATTCTCGGCATCTGACTTTAGCTGACATTCTGTACCAGTGGTTCCTAAACATTTCCTCTCTATGGACCACTAGAAAATTGCCAAGAGTCCTGGTAGACTCCATAAATGACCTTTCTGCCTGTTGTAAAGGTAAAGGTAAAGGGACCCCTGACCATTAGGTCCAGTCATGACCAACTCTGGGGTTGCAGCGCTCATCTCGCTTTATTGGCCGAGGGAGCTGGTGTACAGCTTCTGGGTCATGTGGCCAGCATGACTAAGCCGCTTCTGGCGAACCAGAGCAGCGCACGCAAATGCCGTTTACCTTCCCGCCGGAGTGGTACCTATTTATCTACTTGCACTTTGAGGTGCTTTCAAACTGCTAGGTTGGCAGGAGCAGGGACCGAGCAACAGGAGCTCACCCTGTTGCGGGGATTCGAACCGCCGACCTTCTGATCGGCAAGTCCTAGGCTCTGTGGTTTAACCCACAGCGCCACCCGCGTCTCCTCTGCCTGCTGTAGCAATTGTTATATGCTGATGTGGATGCCATATGATTTTGAATTGTATTTTTATTGCTTCTTTCTTACATGGCATTTTATTGTGTTGCATTTTGAGTTCCATAGATCACAATCTAAAATATAATAATAAAATAGAGAAAACTACAATTAAAAGTGAATATGAATGCTTGATGTGCTGCACCCACTATTGGCAGTCGCAGTCACTGTGACCAGCTCCTTCTCCCCTTGTTGTTCACATGGCACCTGAATGAAGCTCTCAGACCATTGCTGGTCTTTGTACCAGAATTTAGGAAGCCCCTGTTCCAGACCCTCCAAGGGTCCCTGTTTTCCAGGGACAGTTCCAGATTTACAGAAGCAGTCCCGGTTTCTGATCTGATCCCATAATGTGTTGCTTTTCCTTAGGGTGTCCCTATTTTCATTGGATAAATGTTGGAGGGTGTGGAATAGGACATCCCCAAGGCTTTTTTTGAGCTGGAACCCACCAAAACTCAGTTCCAGCACTTCTCAGGTGGGTGCCATTGCCATTCCAAGAGATGTTCATGGTGAGTTCCAGCACCTCTTTTTCTAGAAAAATAGCACTGGACGTCCCTACTTTCATCAGAGAAATGTTGGAGGGTATGCTGTTCTATATGACAGTGTTTAGGGCTTAGGTCTTTCTTGCCCTATGTGCCCTCCCAACAGAGGCACAAACAGTTCAGTGGAATGACAAAGCTATTGCAAAGGGGCAGATCAAGGATTGCTGAGCTGCCCTTCTGCCACAGATGAGAACTTTTGCCCCCTGCCTTTTACTGCAGACCCTCTACTTTCTTCCATACATGTCAGTGGTGACCTTTTGATTTCTGTAGGGAAGGAAGTTAATCGGTGGCCAGTATTTGTCTGAGTGTAGAAAATATAAAGCCAGACATCTAGAGCCAGGTCTTCGGTTGGTGCATGTGGTTGACTTCCAACAGATCTGCATTTATTTGCACTACTCAGCAACCTTCTGCTGTACTTTTGCAGTTTATTCTAGTCACTCACTGAAATGTCAGTCACGGTTCCCAACTTTTGCGGCTGTTGGGGTGAATCGGTGAGTCACAGCCTTTATCTTTGTGACCACTGGTCATGTCGGGTCTGTGTTTTGCAGGCACATAACTTTGCAAACCTTACTTCATTTCCCTAGTGAAATGCACTCTCTGTCATAAACTGAGATGGATATTATTTCTTCTTCTTAGGAGAGGCGTCACATCATGATATAAAAACAAAAACCTTTGTTTTCTTGGCTTGTTTCTTTGTCTATATGTGTGAAGCATCCTGTGGAATAGAGGTCATACCTTTTTTTAGGGATTGTCCTTATTTGTCCATACCGTTTGTGAGAGCAGAATTGTAGTGTCTCGTAAAGCTTCTGTCAGGCTTGCCTTCTGTTTCAAATATATAGTCTGTAAGGGGAAGGGGGGGCTTCCAATGGCAGCAAAGTGAAATAGCAAATGTGCCAAAGGGAAAGAAAGAAAAATTAAAACCCTCAAATACTGGAATCAGCATTGTTAGCTAGTCGCACATAATCTGAAAACTATAGCTGCTGCATAGGATCATTAGCAGGGCTTTAAAATAATCAAAGTTCTGCCTAGAAGAAACTGAGTTCTGCAACTTGATGGAAATCTGCATAATTTCTGTTTTTTCAAAATCTAGTCTGCATTAAGATCAGCACAGGGGCTCCTTGTAGTAGTTCGACCACCCTCAGAAATGGGGGGGAGTATCACTGGGACCTTCATTCTGTAGTTTCCACTGTATGCTCCATGAACATACCTCTTTCCCCTGGCCTTTGAGCTTTGACACCTGAGATACTTCAGTTTTTAGCATCTGCTTTATACTTGTGACTTTTTAAATTGTTTTAAACCAGTGCAGTACAGGATGTTGCAGAAGCCCTAATTCATACATGATGACTGATATCGTCCTGGGTGGAGGAGCGAGAACACAATTATCTTCAGATTAACACCTGCTTACAAGGGGGCCCACTCCTGGGGGCCAAGGCACTGGGGGCTCCCCCATTATTATTATTTTTAGGAGCCTGTCCCTCCTCAATGTTCAGAGGGCACAATGTCCTGACAGTGCACAACATCATGTGCGCAATGTCAGGACATTGCGCAGGGCCTCCTCCATCCTCAGGAGAAGGTGGCATCTCAGTCTACTTACATGTGTACAGTTGCATGTGTAAGGGTCTCTTTCTATGTGGCTGAGAACTTGGAAAGAGGCTGGAAATACGTACCACTGTGCACATGTGTGTCCTATGCAGACATTTCCTTGAATGTGCAGAGATTGTAAGTAGGGACATGCTACCCTCCCATCTCTGCTTGTGTTCACCATAAAGTAGGTAAAGGTAAAGGACCCCTGGACGGTTAAGTCCAGTCAAAGGTGACTATGGGGTTGGGGTGCTCATCTCACTTTCAGGCCAAGGGAGCCGGCGTTTGTCCACAGACAGCTTTCCCAGTCATGTGGCCAGCATGACTAAACTGCTTCTGGCGCAACGGGGCACCATGACAGAAGCCAGAGCGCATGGAAACACTGTTTACCTTCCTGCCACAGTGATACCTAGTTATCTACTTGGACTGGTGTGATTTCGAACTGCTAGGTTGGCAGGAGCTGAGACAGAACAATGGGAGCTCACCCACTGTCACGGGGATTCGAACCACCGACCTTCTGATCAGCAAGCTCAAGAGGCTGAGTGGTTTAGGCCACAGTGCCACCCGCATATACCATAATGTGCAGATAAGCTTAACATGCATGAAGGAGGAACAGAAGGAGGAACCACTTCAGGCGTGTATTAGGGGTGAGGTGTGTGGTGATGGCACCAGTAGTAATCTCTGGTGTGAGAAGGGGCATTACACTTGAACAAAAATTTCCCTATTGCCACCTGTGGATTATTGTAAGGTATGCACCTCTGCATGAAGAGGGAACCCACTTTCTTGCCTTTAGAGCAGAACCTTTGTTACACTGTGCTTAGAATTGCCCATAAGCACACATTGAAAAGGCTGCTGTGCAGAGATGCACCTTATTTCACCCATTAAGGTTATAAGAATGACAAGATGTCTGAAGCATGTTAAAGTTGAAGCATGCTTATTTGCATGAAATGATCTTGAGTCCATCTCTCACGCCTTTCCCCCTCCAATGATGTCCTACAATCCTTAGAAATCTCCTACTGACAGCTGAATGTTCTTGCTCTCCTGGAGTGACATGAGCTTGTGCTGTCTGGCCACTAGAGGCCACCGTGGCATGTAGCAGACTATGCGCATAGGGCCTCTTTGTCCTTTGCTTTCCTGCTGAGAGCCAGAAAATGGGGGGCAGCAGCCTGGGAGAAACAGAAGGGGGGAAAGGTGATACCAAGATGGGCAAAACCATTGTTTGTTGTTGTTTGTTTAACACCATCATCCCAGTTTTCTGTATAAATAACACCCGAAGTGGTACACAGGATAAGATGCAACAATAAAAAAATACAACAGCCGAATAACAAGCAGCAAAACAGCATCAGGGAGAATAAAATGGATTGTCAGAACATAATTATCCTGAGGCAGTAGATTGTTTCATTGGTGTAAGACCTTGGTGGAATAAAAGAAAAGTGTTTACCTGAACGCAAAAACCAATTTTAGGGCACTGATCTTCAAGTGGCAACACTTGAAGCCTCAATTTCACACCTGAGCTCCAGCTCTTGATCTTGGTTCCATGGCTCCTCCGCTAGAGTCAGACCCAGCAGGTGGCAAATTCAGGCAAATGTGCTCCAGTTTCAACTTATTATAGGTTAGGAGGGCTTCTGTCTCTCATCGTTACTCCACCTGGAAGTCAAGATCTGGGAACAGATCTGAATTCTCTAAATTTGAATTTTGCAGTGATAGGTTATCTAGATCTGAATGCTTTAGATCAGAAAGTGGGGCGGTTATTTACTCCTGTGTGTGACAGGTGCTCCAGTACAGGATCAAACTCTCCAAAATGTGTCATAGCAGAACTCCAGACATATGACCAAAGTTAACCTACCAGAGGAAGATGGTGGATGTCATAACTAACATGGACTTGTAACAAGCATGAATTTTCATTCCTGGGCGTGATGGGGGCCTTCCTACTATTCAGGAATCCCTCCCCTCAGAATCAAGAAAAAAGTGTTCAATGTGTTTCCAGAGGAGAAAGTGATCCCAAACAGAACTACAAATGGATAACTCAATATCCTAAACTTTGTAACATAGCATGCTGTACAGAAAATAAAGAACTCGGTAACATTTGTTAGAAAGAAAGAAAAAGGAATCTCTTGAACCTGAAATATCTATCCTAGTAAGAGGCAGGAAGGAGGTGACAGGTGGTAGTCCTCTGTTGCCAATTTCTGGAAGAAATATTCACAGTGAATTAAAATTTTATTTTTTCCCCTTTAGCTGCACTGATCTAAGAGTAAGTCCCACTGAACTCACTGCTGCATAGGATTGCACTCTTCGTTATTATTTTTTAAGGAAAGTTTCTTTTTAGGATAAGGGAATTCAGAAAGCCCAATGAGCTTTGTGCTGAGAGTCCCAAGAATTCATCTTTAGATCTCTGATCATTTTCAAAATATGTATTTCCTTCGTTTCTGCTTCAAAGCATTCTCCTCCTCCCCCGTCCTCCCCCAAATCCTCTCTCTCTTAACATTCAAATTCTAATTACCAGACTGGACTTTACAAGTGGAACATAAATAACATTACATAGATAATTAAGATGTATCATTAATTGGAGCTGGTTTCAGTGTGCTAATTGCATAATTCAGCTGTCTGTTAAATAGCTTTTCCAGTGTGAAAATTACCCATTTATGGGCAATGCTTGTGTGAGCATCACACTCCCTCCACTCAGTAACATGAGTCAACATTTTTAGGTGTAGCTTCACCATGCAGAGCTCAGTCTCTTCGTCAAAAGGCAGGTGAAAATCCTTAAAGCTCCAAAAGAGGATGGATAATTTCCGCCATAGAGCTGCCAACCTTTCCCTCATCCACCTCTGGCAGCACACTTAGACCTTCACAAGCTGTTTATCAGGCGGGTGATGTTCTTCAACTGCATTGCCATGTCTGGCTTGGATACTGAAGTCCATTTCAGGAGCCCTCCCAGCAAAAAATAAAAACCAGGTACCAAGAGGTATTGCAACTAATTCTTGTTAGCAGCTTTTTGTTTGGTAAAACATAAAAACAATTCTCAGCTGAACTCTGAGTGAAGTCACAAATAGAGTCTTCACTAGAGAGGCAATGATCCGTCCATTTCAGCCCTCTCAGTTTCTCATTTTTCCTATCTTAAATTCCAGTCCGCAGCCATTTGCAATTAATTAAAAATAATCCTCATGAAACTTTAGTCTGAATTTCAGCCAATAAACACATTTTTTAATGTCGTTTTGACTAATGGACACATTTCTGCAAGGCACTTCTCCTGATACTGTGCATTTTGTATCTTATTTTAAATAGTATATTCATTTTTATGCTCGCTTTCACGGAATGTGTGCATTGTTGTAAACATGGATTGGAGAACTGCAGTTCAGATAAGTGTGAATTTCAAAGTCTGCCTATGTTTTGAGTCTTATATTGTTTCTGAATGCATGAAGTGGATAGATTCAGCTTTAAATGCGAACTGAATCGAACTTATCCTCACTCCAGACCTTCTGGAGTGCTTTGGTGTTTGAGTCAATGCTTCTTCAGATCCGAAGCCATTCAGGACTTCTTCCATAAAGAAATAATGTTATTTCATTCTCCATTCACCAGAAACAAGCTGCAGGATGCTGCAATAAGATGCTAATCCAGTATATTAATCTTACTCTGGATTTAGCTAGGTAATATTTTGATTCCACATGTTGCAATTCCTGTTGAAATTCTTAAAAATGTTATGCATATCCTTTTTGGATAGTGATTGAGGGACTAAACAGAGGTTCATATTTCAGTGCTTATGTTTTTCTACTGGCTCCTCTAGATGTTGTGTTGCAATGGCCCACTAGTTTACTTGATTTTTAAGAATGGATTATGTAGATTTGCCAAGGCTCATTAAGTGTTGCTTGTTGCAGAGGAAATTGCCCTGGGATGGAAGATGGGATCAGTGCAGGAGCATTGCGTCTCAACTGTAGGGGAAAATATCGGTCGTAAATTCCATAAATTAAGTATGCATCATATGTAGCAGTAATTTATTTTGTCTGTTCTTGATCTGCTGCTGGTCAATTTCACTGAAGGTACCTAAGTCCTAGTGTTATGAGAGAGGAAGAAAATATTGGTCCCCTTTTCCCATACCATGCTTAATTTTATAAACTTCTATCATGTTTCCTTCCCTTAGTTGGCTTTTTCTAAACTGCAAAGTGGCCTGCCATCCAACCTTTCTCCATAGAGAAGGTACTCTAATTCCTTCTCCTTTTCTGCACCTTTCCAAGCTCTACAATAACCTATTTTTTTTAAAATGAGGCTACTGGAAGTTCACACAGTAGTTCATATATATTTATTTAACAAAATTAATTCACTTGGTTGCAGGGCCGGATTTAGGTTTGATGAGGCCCTAAGCTACTGAAGGTAATGGGACCCTTTATATGTCCAGCTGTCCTTTGTCAACAACAAATTGTCGCTGTTTTTGTTGTTGAATATATGCTATATGGTAATTTATGTACCTAATAGGTATCTAAAGCAATTTGCACATAACAAAATATGTATTTTATCAAAGTAATTGTTGAACTGAAATACAATTAAGAAGAAGTATATTAATATTAATATTTTTTCCATTAATATTTTTTTGGGGGGGCCAAGAGAGTGGGGCCCTAAGCTATAGCTTGTTTAGCTTATATGTAAATCCAGCACTGCTTGATTTTATTTCTGTGCTTGTTTGAAAGAATAAAACAAGCTTCAAAGCACTTTACAATATATATATATATATATATATAATGTTTAAATTCTCAGTTAAGAAACAGTCAAAAATTGATATTTAGAAACATGGAATAGATTATTAAAATATTAAAACAGTAGCTAAAAAGTTAACACACATGTAACTTCAAGAAGTCTGGATAGGCTTGCCTAAACAAAATGTTTTAAGCAGGTGCTGAAAACAATACAGTCGTACCTTGGTTTGCCGAACGCTTTGGTACTCATACATTTTGGCTCCCAAATCCTGCGAACCCAGAAGTAAGTGTTCCGGTTTGCAAATGTTCTTTGGAAGCTGAACGTCCGACACTGCTTCTGTGGCTTCTGATTGAGTGCAGGAAGCTCCTGCAGCCAATCGGAAGCCGCGCCTTGGTTTTCGAATGTTTTCGGAAGTCAAACGGATTTCCGGAACAGAATACATTCAGGAATCAAGGTACGACTATACCGCCAATGGGCCTGCCTGATCTCAATACACAGGGACTTCCAATGTGCATATGTTGCCACACTATGTGACTGATCACGCCATCTCTCCTCCTAATGGCAAACTCAGATGGTATGTGCTAACAAGAGGGGTGGTATTGGTTTGTTTTTTTTTTATATATATAATTTTTTTTATTGATTTTACAGACAAATTTTATACAATACAAACAAATAAAAAGACATACAAACATGTATAATTTCATAACCTTTTTTTCATAACCCTCTCTTCTCGGACTCCCCCAAACCTCCCCTTCCTACATCCCAATTTCCAAAATTATTTCAGCAAATTCTAAATAATTTTATCAAATATATTTTTCTTATTTTTTTTTTTTTCTTCAACTTAACCTTATGTCGCTGTAATCTCCTTTTCTTTCTCCAAACCTCGACATTTTAACATTCCTCAATTTTATAATAGTTCTTTAAATAGATTTTAAATTTCTTCCAATCTTCTTCCACCGTCTCTTTCCCCTGCTCACGGATTCTGCCAGTCATCTCAGCCAATGTCATATAGTCAATAACCTTCATCTGCCACTCTTCCAAGGTGGGTAGTTCTTCTGTCTTCCAATACTTTGCGATGAGTATTCTTGCTGCTGTCGTAGCATACATAAAGAAAGTTCTGTCTTTCTTTGATACCAATTGGCCGGCAATGCCCAAGAGAAAGGCCTCTGGTTTCTTCAGGAAAGTACATTTAAGTACCTTTTTTAATTCGTTATATATCATTTCCCAGAAAGCCTTAATCTTTGGGCACGTCCACCAAAGGTGATAAAAAGTACCTTCAATTTCTTTACACTTTACACTTTACACTTTACACAACACTTATTATCAGGCAAATGATAAATTTTTGCTAGCTTGACTGGAGTCATGTACCACCTGTAGATCATTTTCATAATATTTTCCTTTATGGCATTACATGCCGTAAATTTTATACCAGTGTTCCACAACCATTCCCAGTCAGCAAACATAATGTTATGACCAATGTCCTGTGCCCACTTAATCATAGCTGATTTAACTGTTTCATCTTGTGTATTCCATTTCAGCAGCAAATTATACATTCTTGACAAGTTCTTAGTATTGGGTTCTAACAGTTCAGTTTCTAATTTTGATTTCTCCACCTGGAAGCCAATTTTCCTGTCTTGTTTATACACCTCCATTATTTGATAATAATGGAGCCAATCTCGTACTTTGGGTTTCAATTTCTCATAGCTCTGTAGCTTCAACTTATCTCCATCTTGTTCCAAAATTTCCCGATACTTTAGCCATTCGGCTTCCATATTAAGCTTTTTCAACGCCGTGGCTTCCAAAGGTGACAACCATCTAGGAGTCTTACTTTCCACCAAATCTTTATATCTTATCCAAACGTTATATAATGCTTTCCTGACAATATGATTTTTAAAGGCCCTATGCACCTTGATTTTATCATACCATAAATATGCATGCCGACCAAATGTATTGTTAAAACCTTCTAAGTCCAAGATATCTGTATTCTCGAGGAGCATCCATTCTTTCAACCAGCAAAAAGCTGCTGCTTCATAATACAGTTTTAAGTCCGGCAGGGCAAACCCCCCTCTTTCTTTTGCATCCGTCAGTATTTTAAATTTTATTCTGGGCTTTTTGCCCTGCCAGACAAATTTCGAAATATCCTTCTGCCACCTCTTGAAACAGTCTGTCTTGTCTAGAATTTGTAATGTTTGGAACAAGAATAACATTCTGGGCAAGAGGGGGGGGTGGTATTGGTGCGCCATTTCACTGCTCACTCCAAATTATGAAGAGGTTAAATAGCACCGGTCTCAAAATGTGTCCTTGGAGAATCTCACTACTTAACGCCCTCCCCCCCTTCAGTTTGTGCCTACACTCTGCTTCCTCCGATTTATCATCCCCTTGAGTAATGTTGAACAAAAAAGACGCTCTTCTTCACACAGCACATAGTTAACCTACGGCCACCAACTTTGACGTCTTTAAAAGGGGATTACAGAAATTCTCGGGGGCTGTCAATAGCCACACAATGGCTATATATCTCCCGGACTATATCTTGCAAGCGTTCGAGTGCTTTATTTTGCTTTTGCTTTGTCATAGCTGGGGATATATTTTCTTCCTTTGGGAGCCTGTGATGAGTGGAACTATATTAGGGAATGGAAGGATTGTGTTAATTGTTTAATTATACTTTGCTCTAAATTATTTTGTTTTTCATGGGTTATATTGCATAGTTTGCTATTTATAAGTCACTTTAAAATGATTGGATAAAGCTGCACATGAGCAATATTATCATTATTACTAATAATATTATTAATAGCAATTTGTTTTCAGTATCAGAAGCGCTGTGTGCCTCTGAATACCAGTTTCTGGGGGATGTGCACGTGTCTTGCTTCTGAGCTTCCCAGAGGCACCTGATTGGCTAATGGTAGTGCAGAAAGCTAGACTATAATAATAATAAAAATTTATTATTTATACCCCGCCCATCTGGCTGGGTTTCTCCAGCCACTCTGGGTGGCTTCCAACAAAACACTAAAATACAATAATCTATTAAACATTAAAAGCTTCCCTAAACAGGGCTGCCTTTAGATGTCTTCTAAAAGTTTGGTAGTTATTTTTCTCTTTGACATCTGGTGGGAGGGCGTTCCACAAAGCAGGTGCCACTACCAAGAAGGCCCTCTGCCTGGTTCCCTGTAACCTGGCTTCTCGCAGCGAGGGAACTGCCAGAAGGCCCTCGGTGCTGGACCTCAGCGTCCGGGCAGAATGATGGGGGTGGAGACGCTCCTTCAGGTATACTGGACCAAGGCCGTTTAGGGCTTTAAAGGTCAGCACCAACACTTTGAATTGTGCTCGGAAATGTACTGGGAGCCAGTGTAGGTCTTTCAAGACCGGTGTTATATGGTCTCGGCGGCCGCTCCCAGTCACCAGTCTGGCTGCCGCATTCTGGATTAGTTGTAGTTTCCGGGTCACCTTCAAAGGTAGCCCCACGTACAGTGCATTGCAGTAGTCCAAGTGGGAGATAACCAGAGCATGCACCACTCTGTCGAGACAGTCCGCGGGTGGGGAGGGTCTCAGTCTGCGTACCAGATGGAGCTGATAAACAGCTTTCCTGGACACAGAATTGACCTGTGCCTCCATGGACAGCTGCGAGTCCAGAATGACTCCCAGGCTGCACACCTGGTCCTTCAGGGACACAGTTACCCCATTCAGGACCAGGGAATCCTCCACACCTGCCCGCCTCCTGTCCCCCCAAAACAGTACTTCTGTCTTGTCAGGATTCAACCTCAATCTGTTAGCCGCCATCTGTTAGACTAGATGGGCCTTGTGTCTAATCCATCAGAGCTTTGCTTATGGACACCTTTTTAATAAAAAATGTAATTGATAATTTATTTGCAGAATAAACAAATGAGGTGCTGTTGTGGTTGTTCATAGTTTAACCTTAAGTAAATCCAAGAGCTGAATTGATGAGAGCCTGGTCCTCGCTTCTAAAATCTGAAATGGTGCCCCTGAATATTATGCTTCCAGTGTCATTCAAAGGTGGTCTGTCAGTTATTAATTTAATTTTAAGCTGTAATTGAACTTTAATGAATGAAGTTGGGTCTTTTTCTACTTTGACAGGCTGACTTGAATTCGAAATATGACCTGGGATTTTGCATAGGTCTCGCATCTATAGCACTGTCTGGCAGTGAAATATTTCAAAAGTCCTTAAAGCATTGCTGGGAAAATCTGAAGACATTTTTCATGGAATAAGGGAGCTCCATGAATGTTAGAATTAACTAACTAACCAACTAACTCTTTATTCCTTGCTATAAAATGTTTCAACTAAACTTGCAAAGGCTAATTTACAATCTGAAATTATGTGAGTGCTGACTGAGGGGGCAGCTTTTCAGTTATGGCCCTCCTAAGAACAGCTTACCTTGTGGCACCAACTATACAGTGTTTATTCTCCTAGACATTTCATCATGTAAAGTGTGAGTTGGTTTTAACACTGGTCTTGTCGGTTAAACTTGGATTTTTTTCTTTTTAGTGTTGTCTTTTATTGTTCTCTGTCACTTTTAGTTCAGATTTTATACATTGCTTTAGCATTTTGCTTGTACGCTTGCTTTCCCTGACCGTTTTTTCTCCAGATTACTGAAGGGCAATCTGGACACTCCTTAAATAAATAAATAAGTAAACAGAATGAGCTGAGGAGCGTGAACCATCATAATTGGCATGTTATCTGACCATTTACTTAATTAATAAATATTTCGGTACTGCTAAATCAAGAAGAATGGAACTCTTCTCAAAATGGTGCGTGTAATAAAATCAATATAGCATTTAAAAAATCAAATGTAAAAACAAAAAGATAATTGTTAAGGAGAAGGAAAGGACAGGGATACAAAGCCACACCCCAAAACTTTTAACTGTCTTCCCTTGCCTTGGAGATGCATGGAAGTTGTCATTTTGTGAAGATGCTGAATACTTTCTATTAGAAATCTGCAGAATGGCTATTCTCACTGGTATAGTGAAGAGGAACACGGCTAGGGGGTGGGAGCGTAGTTTCAGTGCTTGCTTTCATTGCAGGACCAACCGGGTCATCTATTGGAGCAGTATTTGTCAACATTGTAACCTGGGACTGGAGGACAGCTGCAGAAGGTGGTAGTCAACTGAGCTCTACTCAGAGTAGGTCCATTGAAATAAAAGAACATGAAGTTAGGTCCATTAATTTCAGTGTGTCTACCCTCACTAAAACGTAGTTGAATACATCCCATGATCTCTTTGTTAGGTAGGGTAGGCTCAGATAGTCATTGGCCCAGGGTCACCAGTGAGCTTCGTGGCTATTCTGGGATGTGAACTCAGGTTTCCCTTGGCTTCATTTTTGTCCTCTCCTTGGAGACGTGGCTATGAGGGCTGTCACAATGAGCTCCTCTTCCTCAGAATTTACCACTACACCACTGAGTATTTTTGGTCCTTCTTTGTTGGGGAGAACAGAACAGTCCTTTGCCTTGAAGCATAGCTCAGTCCCACTTCAGTCCAATGGATAGGGATCAGTTTTGTGACTAGTGATTGCTTTCTGCTCCAGCTTGGGGGCACTGTAACTTATTCCTTAAATTGCCTCCTCTCCCTCACTCCTGCTACCTCCACAAATGACCACCAGTCCATGGTGCCACTGAGAAACAACCACAATAGGTGAGTCACGGTATCAAAAGCTGCAGGTATTCCAGCTCACTTTGCCAGCTTTTTCCCCAGGCTCTGTGTCTTGTCTACAAGTTATTCTTGATGTGTTCTAAGTAATGACACACCGTTCGGAAACCAACGAATCGTGAATCAAAGCTCCTGGTTACTTTCATAAAAGAGACATTAGAAACCCAAAACATAAAGATCATTTTATCTTTATTAACAGTTTAATGCATATGAGAAAGCTATTTGACATTTTTTACACCTCAAACTCTTTTCTTCATGCATTGCTGAGCAGACTGCACCAGAATTCATCCACTTAAATCCATTTAATAACTCAGTAGATTCTCTGTCAGGCTATGAGTTGATGCCAGTATATGGCTTTACTTAAGTGCTCAAGCACCCCATCCAAACCTTGTATTGCATTTGAACATTACTGTTAGTAATGAAAGTGTAATTGGGGTCACCATTAGACCAATACAAAAGTTTCCAAACCTGTATTTGTTAACATTTTTGTTGTTTCAAACACTAGCCCAGTATTAAGGAACCTGTGGCCAGGTGTTGATGAACTCCAGTTCCCCTCACCCTGGTCACTGGCCATGCATGATTGGGGCTAACAGGAGTTGATGTCTGACAACATCTGGAGGAATATTGGTTCACCTTCGTGATAGAGTGATAGGAACAGCAATAGAGGAACATTGTTTAAATTAAAGGGTGGGGTACTAGGAAGAAGGGAGGATGTGTCTTTGTGTCTAATCCTTCCCAGAAGCGCCTGAGCTGGGTTTGGCCCCCTCAGCCATGGCCAAGATTTAGCAGCCCACTTAATTTGTCCCATGGAACAATGTGACCTGTTAAGAACTACACTTCCAGATGTTGCCTTGGATCCATGGCTTTGTACTCTAGACTGAGAATTCTAGACTGTAACAAAGAGACAGAACCCAGGAGGTGGCATATAAGCTTGCCATTATGATGGGTATTAGTTGGAGGGAAAAGAAGCTCTGTATTTTGCTGGGAATCCACCAACATAAGCATACTGAGAGAGGCTGGGCCAGCCAGCGTCCAAAGTGGTGGATTTGGCCTTCCAAAACATACTAAGACAGTAGCTATACTTTTTCCCATTTGAAGTGGATTAGGAAAAAGGAATTAAGCCAGGTCCTTTCTCTTTGGAATTCCATTTATTTGGGAGGAGCAGGAATTCCATTTATTTTGTGGGTATAGGGCAGTATACTAATATGATGATGATGATGATGATGAGCCTTGGTTACTTTGGTTTTTTAAAAAAGTTTTAATTAAATTTTTGAATTTAATAAAATTTAACAAAATATATCAAAAAAATAAGCCATGGTTGTTAGTTTATAAACCTTGGCCTGTGTCAGTCATGGCTTTGGCATTGCATTATGTGCGAATGTGGCTAAGGTTATGGCCAGCTATCCATTCAACTCGGGAAGCTAGAATAATCATGAGCTTAAACAAAAGGAACTTGTCAAAGCTCAGCAACTTCAATGATCCTCCTTGATTTCTCAATTACAGGAAAAGGAGTGTGAATGAGACAGATGTGACTTTAGCTGAGATAAATGTGTCTTAAGCACTTCCTTGCATCACTTCGGTTTGACTTTAAGGAGGATCACATTCATGACCCAAGCACAACAGCAGAGAGATGCAACCCATCCTAAATGTATACTGGCTGAATTGCCATTCATAGTCATGCAGAAGAATTCAGCATCTCTTTTGCTTCAGCAAGTTGCCCACATGAGGCATCTCACGCTTTTAGCACCGAAACTGATAACATAGTTGTTACTTTAGTTTCATGCTAGGGGTATTCCCTGATTTTCCTTGGCACCAGACAGATTTCAAGCTGAAGGAGCACAGCAAGGAATCCGTTTTTCAGATCTGCAAGACAAGCTTCTTTTTTTCTGAATGGGCACCCTCTGTTTCATAAATGTACATGGAAAAAACTCGTAATGTCTCGATTTCAAATGCCTCTTTGGGAGTTTGTTTATTCAAATAAAAGCCTTACAAATTATTAGCATGAAAAAACTCCACCACTTTGCATTTTCTGGGATGTGTTATCCTATTAGGCAAAGTATCGTTCTGTATGTTTATAACTTACACAATTACTGTTCTTGATTAACAACTAAAACTGATGAGTTGGCCTTTCACGAAGCCGTAAGCAAAGTCAGCCATGCAGAAAATATAAGGGAAGGGAAAACAATTAAAAGTTATTTTAGTTGTTATGTTGGAGTTGATTGTTGTATTTACATATTTCTCCCCCTCCCCAATAAAACATGAAAATCTTTGTTGCGTACAAAGTGCTGTTTTATCAATGGCGTTATTTCACAGTAACATTAGAAATTTCAGATTTATTACATTCATTTTGGATTAGCAAGCATCATGTGTGTGATGTATTAAAGAATAGATTAAATTCGTGCAATACATAAATTCAGTACCACATAGTATGACTGTCTCTAGTCTTCACAAGTGCAGAATTAACAGGGCAAATAAGCAGCAGCCGTCATTGTTCGCCTGGCAGAATGAGGGTGCCTGTGGAACCACTCCAGCAAGAACAAAATTTATGAAATGAGTTACACAGTTTTGCAAACCTGCAACTGGAATATTCAAAACATACCATAGGAATGATTAATCACATCAACAAAAGGACAGCGAGTGTTTTGCAAATGCTATTACACAGTACTGGTGTTCTAAAAACACTTAATTCTGCAGAGGGTTATAAATTGGTGCTCAAGTTTAATGGGATTTAAAGAACCAACCAACTTCTTCTCATTTAAATTTTTATTGATTATCTTGCAAAGGTGATATAACACACTGAAAATCATCTCAGCATCAGCATGTGCTTCCTGCTAAATAAACCTGTGGCAGGGAAGGCAGTTGCTCCTATCAACAGGGTGTTAATTGGCAAGTGAATTGGTCTTGGGGTTCAATCAGAAGACCAGGATTCTGTCCTTTGCTGTCCTCTAGCAGGACTTTTCAGCATAATATGTGCGCCTCTGTTCTATTGGCAAGAGGCAAGAATTAATCCTTCCCCAGGCAGAAATGTGGCTGGGATTTACACTCCTCCTTCCAAGCAACTGGACTGAGAGGTCCTGAAATGGGAAATCTAGGTCCCCCGATAAGGGGAACAGATTGGTTTTCTGCCTTTGGGTAGGTGTCAGTCTCTTGTAGAACCTGACACATTTTGGAATAATGTGCGTCCAAACTTGCTACTGTTTTGTGGGAGGGATTTGTGTGCATGCTGGAAATCTTTTCCCCGTCTAAATTGCTCTTTCAAAGCTGCTCTTAGTCCTGTCTATGACTGAAAAAATATGGGTATATGTTAATCCTAAAAAGTCTGAGCTGCATTTACTTTGGTGGTATTTTCTCTCAAGCGTGAGAGAGATTGCAACCTTAGCCCAATAAAATGTGCTCAACATAGCAACCGTCATTTTATTTAACTTCAATTTATTTTAAAATTTATTCTAAAGATAACTAATAGATTACAAGAACGTGGCCACCAATGTTTGAACAGTCTCCCAGGGACTGCAGGCTCTTCGGCGTGGCTTCCGCAACAGGAAATCATTAAATCAGAGATGGGAGGGCTCTCAATGGTCATTCCTGTCAATCTAGGAAATCCACCACAGTAACCTCAACCTTTTGAAGTTGTCAAAAGTTTCATTCATTTTGGCCGTGCAGGTTCAAGGACAGCCGGCTGAAATACAGGGAGATGAATAAAGGAAGGGTTTTCTCAAAGGTTGAACCTTGAGAAAGCCAGAAAAGGCAATTTGATAAGGAATGGTCTAACACAGCCTTCCTCAACATGGCGTCCTCTGGATGTTTTGGACTCTGCTCCTATCACCATTGATCATGCTAGTCTAGGGGCTGAGGGTTGCCGTCTAAAAGAGCTGCAGAGCATCAGGTTAGGGCAAAATGCCCTAGTGTGCATATTCTTAAGAATCCATGCTGGTTAGTAGCAAGCACCTGGTTTTCTTAGAGCTGCGAAAGAATAGATCCTTTGTAAGCTGCTCTAAGCATGTAAGTGATTATGAGTTTACCACTCAATAATTCCTTGACTTATCCTCTTGTTGACTCTTCTGTCCTCCAGTACTAAACTGTCTTCCTTTCTCAACCAAGTGCCCTGCCTCCCTCCACCTTGCTTAGGGTGGGGCCTGACAGGCTCCATTAAGGACTGCTGCTGGACAGAGAGGGCTCCTTTTTTAATATTGTTTTTATTTTTTATCTATGTCATTTTATATTGTTTTTGATATTAATGTTGTATTTTTTGTTTTAGATTTTATGATTTATGTGGAAATTGTTGTCCATTTGGTTGTGTACCTTTTGATGTGTTTTATTTATTGTTTATGACTTTTGTTATGTTGGTAATTATGTAAATCTTGTCATGTTGTAAGCTGCCTTGAGCATTGTTTTAACTATGGAAAGGCGAAATAAAATGATGGTGATGGTCGTGGTTACCACTTAGATCGCAAATGACTTGGAATTAAATCCCACTGTTTCAAACAGAGCTTTTGTCTGAACAAATCAATATATTTAAGACCACCACCTCTTTGACTGGATTGTTAATAGCAGCCTAACTTGGACGAGCCCTGCTGTCTGTTGTGCGTTGGATTAGAAATTGTTGGATATTATGCCTTAGATATTGCATCCTGAGCTGCATTTCTGCACCTGTCTGAAAGCGACGGTGACCTCAGACTGCTGCTGAAAAGGGATTTCTCCATTCCTGCCATGCTTAATCAAATTTGGGCCGGAATGAAAAGCTAAATTTCCACTGGGCATTCAATATGTTTAGGACTATCAAAAGGCTTTGCAGTGTCAGATCGAGTGTGTTTCATGGTAATATTTTGTTTTAAATTCTGGTAGTTTGCCTCCCAGCCTCCTTTGACAGTTCACAGTATCGTGGACTTTGCATAGGTAATTGTATTGCCATTTTTTTTATTGTGTACATGCGTGAATAATAGAACAAATTTAACAGTGCCTGCTGTCTCCTATGACCCGCTGGAAATGAAATGTGCCATCTCAAGGGTTTTATACCAGAATACATTTTTTCCCCTTTTTGTATTAACAAATGCAGACTCGCTTGAAGAAACACAGTATTTAGACTTGAATTCTAGTCATGATTTAATGGCATGTTCCACACACCCACACCCACCCACACACCCACACACCCACACACACACACACACATATATATATGGGATACAGATCTCACATCTATTGTATGGAGGAAAATTTAAGGAATGTTTGCATCACATAGAAGTGATAGCTCTCAGCACACCCAAGGTTCAGCTGTTCATTTGTTTGGTATCAGGGATACCAAAAAAGCTGCTGTGTGCCTATGTTGATTTTATTTATAGCAAAAAAAAAGCCATCTTGTTTGATGAAGGGCTCAATAAGCTTTAGTGATTAAAAAATAAATACATCTGATTTGAGAAAGAAGTGCTTGCTTCTTCAGCATGAGAATTGCCTTGCTGGATGAGATTGTTCTAAGGTTCATGTAGCCCAAGAGTGCATTTTGAAGAGTAGTTAGCTTGATCATTCTGGGAGTTCAGGGAAGGCATTAAGATAAGGGCCGTCCACTGTCATCTGTGCTGCCTCTGTGAGTAGCTGTCAACAGCAGTAGTAGTCAGTGGCATAGCGTGGGTTACCGGCACCTGGGGCTGTGCGGAAGGGTGGGTGGGAAAGAGGGAAATGGATGGAGTACATATGCACATTCAATTACCTAATGGCATCCGCATCACTGAGGACATTGCAGCCACAGCGATAAGAGTCCTTCCGTTGTCTGGAGATGTCACTTCCTGATTCACATGGAGAAGCTGTTTTCGATGGAGCCCAGTGATGGAAGTGCACAACTGTATTGAGGCAGCACCAGGTGTTGAAATTCTACACCCCCTAACAATTTTCCACCCTGGGCAACTGCCCCCTAGTTTCCCATGCTACGCCACTGGTAGTAGTAGTAGCAACAGCAACAGCAGTGATAGCATTTGAATAACACTTTCAAGTGTTCAAAGCACTTCACATATATTACTTACTTGTAATCTGTACAACCGGTCTTGTACGGTAAGTCAATATTAACACACACACCAATTATTGCAGATTGGAAGCTCAGGCCTAGAGAAAGTAGCTTCTCAAATGTCACCTAGTGAGTTCATGGCAGAACCACACTTACCTTTTGCCGTTCTCTTTCCAGGCACATGCTTAAAATTGTGTGTTTTGTTTTTTTGCCCCTGAGCTTTCCCCGTGAAAACCCACTCTTTAGCACTCAAGCAGAGCAAACGTCAATTTGTGTTTTCCGTGGATTTAAAGCTCAAAGCACGGACCAGGCCTGGAAAGAGTGAAGGGAAGTGTGGATAAGCTCTTAGTTAGTCTCTTAACCAGGACACTCTGCCAGATCTCAATGAAGTTGTGCAACCCCTTTTTAAATAGCCACTTGTCTATAAATTAAGGAACATACAGTAACACACTATTGTTTCAAGTGCTAATTGACCAGGAATCACTATGAATGAACACTTAGTTCAACGCCCACTGGAATAATGATCTGGTGTTGACAATAGCCACCTAGTTGTAAGTGCAAAAGTTGCCTTTTGGTATTATAGTAAAATGCAATGTTCCTCATGCAAAAGAATTTTGTCTTTGAAAGAATTTTTGTCTTTGTGAGAGACATTAAGTTGTAAATCAAGGGAGAAATGCATGTTGCATTGTAGTCAGCCTTACCATTGATTTTAATGGGTTTGTGTTGCCTTGTTCCCTGTGGACGAAGCCCGGGTGTGATACGCAGTTATCGCTGTCCAAAGAAGTGTTGGTTTTCCTGCTCTCTCTTCTCCTTGGCTTTTCTTTCAGACCTGATCAATATTCAAGAGGTTGTGTGCCTCTGATGTTCCCAGGCAGGGACGCTAAACTTATTACACTTTTCACCTTTTATAGTCATCTAATCAGAATTATTTTTTAGTCAATGATTTGAAAACCCTCATCCCAGAAGTGGGCAAGTCGCTGAGCCAAACAGTCCCCTGCCTTCTGGTTTTATTTATCACTCTTTGTCATTAGGGCATGCTGGGCACGTAGAGACAAGAAAGAAGAGAGACTTCCAGGGATTGGGGGGGTTGGGGAAATGATTTTGCATAATAGAAATAAAAGTATTAATCTGTCATATGGTAAACAGGGATATGCTGTCTTGGTGAGGCTTAAAATAGCCACTTATGCATGTAAAATTTGGGAAGACTCAAGTCATTGATCAGAATTCACAAATATATGAAGTAAAGAGAAGCATCTGACTCCATCATGACTTCTTTGGGTGCAATTCAATGTTGAATGTTCTTGACCATTGATTCCAGAGGGGTTAAACTTGTTTAACTCATTTGATAATTCCACCTTCAGTACTCTGTCCAAACTCTGATTTAGGCCATGTATGTGTGGAAACTGTTAGCTTTCATTGTATACTTTGGAAGCCAATTATACTGGTGGGCAGAAGGTAGATACTGGGATCTACTGGTAAATCTCTCAGTGATTTACAGTAGATCACAAAGTGTTCCAATTCCTAATTGTTTAACTGTTAAACTTTAACAGTGGCGGCAGCAACAACCAACAGGCTTCTCCCCTTTTAAATGAGGCTGCTGAAATAAAGAAAGTTTTGAAATCAACCCTTTTTTGACTCACCTCATGTTAACAGCCAGTGAAGTGCTTTAGATTGCCCTTGCAGATGTGAAACTCTTTTGACAGGAGATGACATGGGAAAGTTCTAATAAAGTGCACCATCATGTTGAAATATTGTGACATCACAATCCTGGCTACGTTGTCTGTTGAGCCTTGGTTTCTCATTCACAGGTGTTGTTTCTCCACACAGGTATTGGTAATGTAAAATCTATTTCATAAATCTGTTATAACTACTGTACTTGCATCTGTGGCCGTGTTCTCTAATGGGCATGTTGCCCTGGTTGAATACACATTGGCTCCCCATTAAACGGAGCCATTGGTTTTGAGCCTTTGAGGGAGTCTCAGTGAGGATGCTTCCTCCCAGGTTGAACCCATGACCCTGAGATGATGCGGGTAAGAGTCTCTGCCTGTATCTCCCCCCCCCCTTTCTAATTAAACATTAGGACTAGACAAGGCCCCTGATTTGGTTCATGGCCAAACTGGCCCTATCAGGATCACCACATTGGACCCCAAACCAAATCAGGGAGATAGCTCACATTTTGATTGAGTTTCTAAACCCAAAGCATAACTTACATGTTTACTTTCAATATGTGAATTTGTGCAAAATTTGATACACCCACCTAGCAAGTTTCTTTGTCTCTCCCTACTTTGTACAAACAAATGTGTGCTGTTGATCTGCTTGTTTTTTCTTCAACTGCTGAAATGGATTACTTGTTTCTATAGCTGGGTCATTAGTCTTGGACTACTCAGTTATCACATTATTTCTTTTCACCCAATTTGCACAGGACTTGGAGCCACAGTGCTCCTTTGGAGACAGACATGGTGTCTACACAACTCAACACAACCCCTTGTGCCACTTGCCCATTCCAAGTCAGATTATGTCTCATTAATTGGACATTCCAGAATCATGTGCTTGCATAAGCTATATGTAAATGAGCTTAGCCTTAATGTGTCTGTTAATGAAAAAGATTCACTAGGAAATTAAAGAAGGGTTTATTTAACTTAGTTTAATTTAAAGGCCACTTAACACACTGAGCATTAATGATGCAGTCTACGGTAAATGTATCTCCTCTGTTTGCAGTATTACTGCAGCGGGGGCTGCATTGCGCACATGGGGTTGAATCCAACAAACTACTCAGAGTAAATCCATTGAAATCAATGGACCTAAGTTAGTAATGTTTATTAATTTCAATGAGTCTACTCTTGAGTATGAGTAGCACTGGATAGAAATAGAAATAAAAAATTGTCTAGGGTAGAGGTCACACCAGTCACCTGCTAAAGATAATATTAAGATAATGGTTTTGTTTTCCCAGCCTTAAAGAAGAGAGAGGCCACATTTGAATTGAATCTTTTTACTATTTTGACCACCTTATTTTTTTGCTGCTTTTATCAATGGTTCCATTTTGTTTAGACTCTGAGTCTGGATAGAATAAGTTGCATGGTTTGAGGAATCTATGCTTCCAGGTGTCATAAGAAAGCTGCAGAGATAGTGCAGGATAGTGCGCACCCTGAAAATGATCTCTTTCAGCTTCTGCCTTCTGGAAGAAGGTACAGAGTTATAAAGACTAGAAACAGTTTTTATCCAAATGCGATTTGGGTTTTAAACGCAGTGTAAGGTAGTCTCTATGGGAGTATATTGTATTTAATTATGGGGTATCAGAGTTTTTAGGGGGTTAACCAGGCTGGGATAGCTGGGACAGCAGGCTTGTTGGTTTTTGAATGTCTGATGTAGATTTTTTCAATTTCGTTGTTCTCTATGGGACAATGACAATAAAGATTATTGTATTGTATCATATCGTATCGTATTATATCGTATAGTATCATCCTAAGAGCTCTGCAGACAATTTTAGTACATTTGTACCCCTGGGTCACTATGTCCAGTTGTATAGAAATTATTTGAAAAGTAAAAGATCACAAAAAAATGTGACTGGGTGAGGTAAGAGGAAGGTTCAGAAAACTGCACGCATTCAGAATGTTTGTGATGATGGACAGTGCTTTTTTCTGGGGAGACGCAGGGCCACACATACACCTAAACATTTTGTGAATCTTTGTACTTTTGTCCATTTACTCTATTTATTTTTCCCGATTTGAACTACAAAATGGTGATTTTCTTGAGTCAAAATGAGAGTACCCCTAAACATTTTTAAAGAAAAAAAGCACTGATGATGGAAGCATCAGTAGAAGGCTTAACAGAAGTGTAGAAGGCTTAATTTCAGAATTGAATAAGACTGGAATTTTGGTGCAATATTGGAGTTAGAACCACATAATTAGACTCATATTTCCATGCTTAAAAGAATTTTGTTACAACCTATTTATAAAATTACGCATTTGCTCTTATACAGTATCTGTCTCATGTTTTGTGATGAAAACCATCCACTCTACCCTGAAATATTGGCCGAAATTCATTTCAAATGCCTGGTGATGGCTTTCAGTTGCTCTCTGGGTTACTCTCTCCTAGCAGACATATCACATTTAAATGAAGGATTTATAGACATTTTCAGCTCTTTGTGGCTTTTCAAGCTTTATGTTCAGCTGGTGTTTTTGGATTTGGAACCATCTTTCTACCCAACTTTTTATGAGCAGGATCATGGAATTGGTTAAAGCTCAATAACTGTTTTCTTGCACACAGTGTTTGTAGCAGCTCACTGCATTGTCACACAATTCCTTCTCCTAATGTGCCTTTGGCAAGAATGCATTTCCCAGAAGGTACTGGGCTCTCCTTAAAATGAATAATTGGTGTTCAGTACAGTCTGATCAATATGCATTATTGCTTTATATACTCTACTGTCCTATCAGTGAATAAGCAAGAGGCATTGTTAGTATCAACAGAATAAATGGAAAGACCACACATAGAGAAGTCAATCTAATGCTGGTTTCATTGCTATCCAAATTGCAAAATGGGGAAGACTGGCTGAACCAACCCATCTCTTGAGAGAAGACGTTGCTCCTCTGAAGAAGGGTAACATGCAAATAGACCGTGGTGGGGAGGTGTGTGTTTCAGAACAAATATGTCAAACACACTTTTGAATGGTTAGTTATGTATACGTATCCTATTCAACCTTTTTTTCAAGGAGCTCAGGACAACCTGTATGATGTCCCTTCCATTTTCTTTCAGCAGAAAGAAAATTTTGATTTATCAATTTTTATTGTTTAAATTACTCTATTTTTTACTTTTAAATGTTGTTTTGTATTTCTCTTGTAAGACTCTTAGAGAACTTTATGTAAATTTAATAAAATAATCATAATCATTAATTAGCCATTTGAAGTTTGTCCAGGCTGGGAGTGTATGATAGGCCAGAGGCCAAGTCGATATTTGAGCTTGAGTCTTCCTTGTCTTAGTCCAGCACCCTAACCATTACACTATGCTGGCTACACCATGTCCTTGGGCATACAAGCTTGTGATGAGAGATATGTTGAAGGGCTGTTAAAAATAAATCAGTTTAACTAATGGCTGCTGGGAGGACCATAGCACCCACGCATGAAGGAAGATGGGGCCCAGAGTTTGTTCTGGGAGTGTCTCCTTACAGCTTGTCTCTTCTTTCTGTATGTGGCTAATTCTGCTGTGTCTGCATTTAGGGCAGCTGAATGAACCAATCACACCTGAAGCAGAGATGCAGCACAATTTCTTTCCATCCCTCAGAGCTGTTTGTTGTATCTCTGCATTAGTTACCTCTGAGCTCGCCTTTTTTCCTATCAGGGCAGGGACTCATTCAGAGACCCCAGGGGGTGGCTTCCTCTGTAGAAAGATAATTTTTTACTTTTTCACGTGCTTAATGTAAACCTTTTGGGATATGAAAGAGAAGTATACCTCCAGTTTTCAGAAGCTTGGGAAACACTGGATTAGATGCTAATCAATGCCATGTTCATTTCCCTCTCCCCTCCACACACACCTTTCAGAGGATTATACTGCTTGTTTTCAATGCCTCTCTCTTGAGTGACATCCATCTTATTTGCATTGATCAGAAATAATGGCTGATGAAGCCTGCTGTCTACTGTGATCCAAGCCAATTTGCGCAAGTATTTTTTAAATGCCGAAATCAAATAGTTGACCTTTTCTGATGACTGTTGGCAGTTTGATAAAGCAGATGTGAAGCAGCTCCTAGGTGGTGGGTTTCAAAAAGTGGGTTTAAAACATGATCAGGGTGATGTTCAACGTGTGTGTGTGTGTGTGTGTGTGTGCGCGCGCGCGCATGCATGTGCTTAAAATGTACCTGGGAAATGGCAGGCTTCTATTAGCAATGTTATTTTTTCAGAATAAACAGACCAGACTTCATTGTGATTTACTATACAAAAGGACAATTCATGATGTTGGTGAATTCCACATCTGGGGGGGGGGACTATTATTAGTTATTGAATTTTTGTTTATTGAATTTATAGCCCACATTTCCTTTCATAGTAGCCCAGGACAGCAAACAGATACACAATTTAAAAGCAAAAACCAAGCAAAAGCTTTTTTTGTGTGTGTGTAAACTACTTGGAGGGGTTTTTTACAATCAAGGGGTGTGGAAATTTTATGAAATAAATAAATGAAAAACATTCTAAAACAGTTTAAATATTCTGAGTTATGAAGCTTTTCAGTTGTGTCAGTTAATTTATCCGATAGCAGGCAATAGACAAGCCCTGAGTGAAGATGAAACTGTCACAATCAGTGGATGTTCCTCTGTGGACACAAACTTTCCACTAACTTTCCTTCCAGCATAACTCCTTAATGCATTCACCAGGTGTATATCTATCACATGGAAAGTATGGCAATCCTGATTAATCCCACCTACAGATAAACAACTGAGAGATTAAATTTGCCAATGTCCAAGTCAACTGGCTTAATATCCATCAGATCCTGTACTTTGTTTCCAAGAGGAAGGTTCAGGAGCAAGACCCTAGAGGTCTCATGCCTTTTGAGGCATTGTTTTTTAGCATGGCAGATGAGTCAAGGCACCTGGTTTTAAAGATATTCTGTGTATCTGCATTAACAAAAGACAGCATGGGAATGATAGTTGGTCAGAGGCAGGTTTGGGCATAGATATTAGTCTATGAGGATAACATCCAGAAGAAGATCAATAAAGCTCCTACTATAGCTCTCTGGTTCAGCAAACTTTGGGAAATTGCCAGTGTGGAGATGTGTACTATATGTGTCAAATCGATGTCATCAAGGGGCAAGGAAAACAGGATTCCTATTTTGCAGAATGGAAGCATTTTAATTTTAATACTAGTAAGACTCGCAGTACAAGGACACTTCCAGTCCAATGTGTGACAGTTTGTGGAAAAAATAATGATTCAGGCGTCTGTTGATTTTTCATCAGTTAATGTTGTTTATGAGGCCTTAATTCCCTCTGTCTAATGAATATTACAATTCAGAACTTTGTGTTCAGCAGGTCAACATGTCATAGGAGAAATCTACACACATATTAAAAATGCTTTAAAAAAGACGTTTTGAAAAATACATTGAATTTTGCATAGTGTCACATTTGTATATTGCACATTATAACACATTTATAACGTTTTGTTTGCAGCTGTGTAGCTGAGTCCCTAGTTGACAGGTTGCCTGCCAGTTGCATCATCTGGAAGAACTCAACAAGCCTGAGTGAATTGTTGGGCTAGGATGTAGCTAGGAGGAGAATTTCTGATAAATGTAGTTTCACTTTGAAATAATCTCAGCTAAGCCTGACATCTGCACCAGGTTTAAAACAAGCTCTGGACAGTTTTATAAGAAGCTATCTCCAAACCGATATGATGTTTAACATGAGATGGGGAGTAGAATATTTCATTTATTTTTTGGGTCTAGGCTTCCAGTGTTTGGTCTGCAGTTTGAAAATGTGATTATTTTAAAAAAGTGTCCAATCCAGTTAACAGCAATGTTCTTACTTGCCTTTTAGTTTTCATTGGTTTGTATTTCCTTTGATTATAGAGTTTGAAGTACAAATGTTCTTTTCTTCTTTATGGTCTTGTATTTATGCACACTTTGAATGACAATGCCCAATACCCATTTGTAAGAAAACTTCCCTATTTTCATGTTAGAAGGGCATCCAGTGAGGAATGGAGTGGCCTGGGTTTGAACACCAAAGGGAGGGCAATGTCCTCCATGCCTCAGGCAGAAACATTACAGGGTATTTTAATCAGATGTGATACCTCCAACTGCTCTAAAAAGGCAATTCAAATCAAGTGCTAGGGAGGGGTTTTTTATTATTAGGAGAGGAAGCAGACTGAACAAAGCAGAACCAATAGACATCTCCACTCATACATTTGCTTGACAGAAATATATCTGAAGTATAAAAATTATAGTCAGAAATGGGAGTCTCCATTACCTGCAGAGCTTTCAGTATGATGCAGCTCTTCATATCAGGACCTAAAAATTATCTCTCTGTGTCTCAGTTTGTTAGGATATGATAAATCTCATTTTAGGGGTTGACCAGTTCAGCCCTGAGAAGGAAGGGATTTCATGTAGGCAGTTTTCTCTGTCTTGCTTGTTTCCCAAAGTAGGAGTGCATCAGTGTAGTTATACTTAACTGGTTGATACTCTGTGAGGATGTGACAATGAATTATTGGCTTTGGTAGATAATACATAATTTATCTGATTGATTTCACAGATTTTTTTAAGCTTTCCAGTTGTTGAATTATTGAAAGTTTTGATATTTCAGATCTAGTAGCACCATTTCAATCACCCTCCATGTCCCATTTCAGCCAAGGCTCCATAATGTGGCGAAGCGGTGGCGTGTATACAGGAGGGTATTTTCCCGGTGCATTCGATCAAATGAATGAACCCTGGCTGGCATGAAGTGCTGTGTGATGAGGTTTTTGTAATCTTTCCCATTAAGGTAAAGGTAAAGGTACCCCTGCCCATATGGGCCAGTCGTGTCCGACTCTAGGGTTGTGCGCCCATCTCACTTAAGAGGCCGGGGGCCAGCGCTGTCCGGAGACACTTCCGGGTCACGTGGCCAGCATGACGAAGCTGCTCTGGCGAAGCTGCTCTGGCGAGCCGACACCAGCACAGCACACGGAAATGCCGTTTACCTTCCCGCTATAAAGCGGTACCTATTTATCTACTTGCACTTTCAAACTGCTAGGTGGGCAGGAGCTGGGACCGAAAGACGGGAGCTCACCCCGCCGCAGGGATTCGAAGCGCCGACCATGCGATCGGCAAGCCCTAGGCGCTGAGGTTTTACCCACAGCGCCACCCGCGTCTTTCCCATTAGCTTGCTACTAATTTGCGAACTGGTCAGGATCAGCACAATGGAGAATGTGTTGTGAAAGCACTCGGCGGTGATTTGGACACAATGTGAGCCTACTTTGATAGCCAGTGGACAGTTTTTCACATGTACCTTTAATATACAACCAGTGGGCATAATGTAAGGTAACCAGATGTCCCTGTTTCCCGGGGACAGTCCCTGGATTTACAAATTAGTCCCCATACAAAATCCACTGAAGTTGAAAAGTGTCCCCAGATTCACTGAAAAAAATCTGGTAACCTTAGCATAATGTCCAGTTCAAGCTATGGTCACACTGGCAATTATTATGCACTCACTCTGTTTCCAGTGCTGGGTTTTTTATCTGTGGTTACACAACAATATCCAAAATGCATACGCATCAAGTTGTTGTTGTTACTGTTTAATATGTTGATTATCAAACCTGTTTGACACCAATTGGAGTCTTTAAGATGTTCCTAATTTGTCTCCAGTCAAGTTGTAAACAACCTTGCTAAAGTGTTCCCTTTGGCTAGGGGTGGTCCTGCAGCTTTGCTTCACTTCTGCCTCTTCTCTAACCTCCATCTCCCCCGCCTTGTGTACTTTCAACTTTAACCAGTAAACAATTTTATATTTGTAGTACCACTCATGGCTGAGCAGCCATTTAGTGATCCAGCTCCACAACTGGATGGTGGGATCCTGCAAGTACAAGGGGGGCAGTAGTGAGAATCTTAAGTAAAGGGGAGAAGGATTTGTTGCCTATCTGACAAACACATGCAAAGGTTGAAATTATATGTAATGTTGCCTTATATGTAAATGTCTAAACATATATTTTCATCAAACGTTTTTGGACACAGTCCACCTGGACCTGCTCTCTTGAAAACCCTGTGCAAATGGAAACAGTACTGCAGAAAGAAAAGGTTCTGCTCTTGCATAACTCTGCTCCATAAACCAGTGAGGTTTATGAAGCAGAGATGCCATGTGGATTTCATCCTTTTATAACTAAAAATGGTGTGGATGGATAAACTGGAAGCAAAGTGGTATAAGGGGCACCCTTTCCATTCATAAATAAATGTAAAGGGTACCCTTCTGGCACATTATATGTACAGTTAATTTATAAGAGAAGCACAGGTTGCTAAATTTTCCTTTACACTGGGAAAGTGTGACGAAACTGCTGGGGAAAAGACCAGTAATGTGTAATATTGCTCCCCCACCCTTACTTTGAAGGCAGTCAACTCTAAATAATCTGATTATTCATAATTCACTGATAATAAATAATTAATTTTTTCATTAACTAAAGCTTTTGTGTAATAACATATGTTTTATTTTAAAGTCAATTTAATATTAATTACAGGTTCAGCTAGTGGAACTTCTGGAGAAATTGCTCCAAGGTGACTTGTACACCATCTAGGAGACTGGATATTAGTCTCTTTGGGGCCTCCTGGACTGCTTTCCTTCTTTGGGATTTGGTCTGGAAGATAAGGGATCCAAATTGTGCAGGGACCCCAGAAGCAACTTGAGCCCACATTGCCTAGCAGACCCAATTTGAGTGGCACAAACTCAAACTGGTTTATTTGTTATTGTATATATTTCAACAAGCCCAAAGTTTGAGAGTCAGTAGCACAGATGTTGTAAAGGTGTGGTGATCTGTCATGGAACAACCCCACTGAAGAAGGTAATAGACCTTGATGCTGTTGCAAAGGGGCCCCGTGACAGTTCAAGCTCCAAAAATATAGGTCCCCCATTGAGAACAGACTGCGGTTGGTGGGACAGTGCCCCATTAACCCTAAGAGACCAGCCATCATTGTTAGGAAGTGGAATTCAGCCACCAAACCAAAGTGCAAGTTGCTACTGAAAGAATATAGCAAATGAGTAGTGTTGGCAGTGGCTGGCAATCTTACCTTAATGGAAATGCAACAATATATATTTACATATATATTTACTTGAAGGGTACATTTGCCCTGAGAGATTATTTAGAATCCAGTGGTTCAGCTAATATCAAGAGTTTTTTATTTCTTTGCTGTCAACCCATTTCACTCTTCTCTGGAATGAAACCAACATTATATCCTTTGAACTTAAAAAAATTATTTTTATTTTTGGAACCAATAAAATTATGGTAAATATTTACAAATAATTATCTCACATAAAGGTTACATAAAATCAAAATGTCCACAAGTAACAGTCACTCTCATGAAAAGACACACAGATATTGAAACTACGCCAATCTTATTGCATGTTTCTTCAACTAATCTAAAATAAAATGTTTGCAGTCAACCATTTAACTTAGAATAAAAATCACAGTCCAGTATTGACAAGAAAATTGAGAACCAAAGCAAAAAGAAATCAACTTATTCCCCAAACACCCCTCCCTTTGACCCACACCTTAAACACCCACCCAGCTAAAAAAATAAAATCAAACAAAAACATCCCAAAACCCAAAACAAAATTAAACAAAACAAAGTGTTCGACATCTTTGGCAAATTGGCACTGCTGTCATTACATTCAAATATTATTACACACAAAAGCAACACACAACACTAAGAAAAAAACACCAAGATTTCAAGTCAGTTCTTTTCCTACTAGAAAAAAAGAATACAAAACATACACATTTTAAGAAGCAATTTTATCTGTGTGGAGACAGTCATCTCCTACGTTCAAAGGCAATTCAATTGTATTTTTATGTTTTTTTATTTGTTTTGTCTATTTTGTTGGTTTTCAAAAGTAAGCTTCTGAACAGCCATCAGAGACTTTGGTGAATACAATCGACATTTATTTCTTTGATGCTGGATACCCTTCATAAAGGGAGTTTGTCTTTGAAAAAAAATTAGCATTCACTCAGAAAGGAATCCATTTGCAATGTAACATGTTTCTGTGTTTTTAAAGGCCACTAGAAAGTGACAGACCAGGACAGTGTCTTTTCCAATACAGGTCTGAGCAAAACAAAAGAAAGAAGAGGTTTGTTCATGCATTATGTTTTTTGCAGGACTCGTTCCAGGGGCGAATTAGATTTATCCTTTATTAGTTGCCAGCTGTTTACATTGGCCAGGATCCAAAGCACAGCGCAACTAGTTCCATGCCCCCAAGAAGGCTTTGGGCTTGTGTTTCTCAGGTAGCAGCCTCCAGTGTTTTATGGCAAGTCACTTTTGAAATGAAGGGGACTTTCAAAAGCTAATTGTGATATGGCATAGGCATCTGTTGTTGAAAACGGAAATGGTTTTAGCATCACATTGGACACAACCGAGCACTCAGGGACCCCTTATGTACCACTTCGGACCTCCACATTACACTTAGGTTTTCCATGACCTCCCTCATAGAGTTTCTTTCAGAGGTGAATTACCTCTATGAATTGTTTGGAGACAGACTTAAAGCTACTTTGCAGCAGGACAATAATTACCTCCCAATACAAAAACAAGGGGTAAAAAAAATGATGTGCGTGCAAGTGCCCACCTGACTTAAGTTTGCCTTGCAAAGCAGGGAGAAAAAATCTCAAAGACTGGCAGTATAATTACAGACCTCACAAACACGCTGGAAAATCCAGGACTTTGGACCAATTAAGATAGGGATGTGTACGCATCCACACGAAGATGCAAACATTGGCCAACAAATGCTCTTTGTACTGTATTGGCTGTTATATTGAAACATGGAGTACACAGTGATATTGAAAGAGGGACAATGGGTTGGATCCAGAGTTTTCTCCCACCAGTGGTGGCATCCACTGAACCAGGTTTCACTCAGGATGTTCTTGCCAGCGGAAGAGATGAGAGGCATTTGTTTTGGGCCAATTTTCCCACCCCCCTGCCATTTCAGTGTCATCTCTCATGCTGTTCCAGGGAGTCCTCCAACCTTCCAGAGTAGATCTGAGGGGGCAAAGGGGACTGCAGGGGAAGGGAGAACCAGCAAAATCATATTCTGGAATTGCTTTTCCATTGGTGGGATTCCTCTGCTGAATCAGAAGCCTCCCATGGATGGAAGCAGCTTTTCTCTTCAGAAACCAAGTCTGGATGCTGTCCAGCATGTAAAGATGGTCACATGATCTGACAGCCAAGCTAGCTGATGAATACTGATTTTAGACTCTGCATCATAGACTTATGGAATGCTACTTTTAATGTAAATAAGTATATATGAAACTTTGGGTTGCGTCTACTGCTTCTGTCCCTTGGTGCTGTTATTATTGTTATTTCTGTTGTCTGGTCTTTGACTGTAATAAAGAGTAACTAAGCTATCCGACATTAATGATATTTCTGGTACTGTGCCTTGCATGGTGTATTTTGCTTGGCATTGTCATGTTGACACCAGTCATAAAATGATAGCATGTAGGATGGAATCAGATTTCACACACACACACACACACACACACACACACACACATTTCAGGTGTATTCTGGTATATACAGTGTAGCAATTAAAAGTTGACTATTGATTACTCAGAAAGTTTAGCTTGCCACATTCATAAATACAATAGTTGCAGCCTGAGCTGGAAAAAAATGTGTGGTTTCATTTATGAGCTTCCTCCCTGTTTCAATTCCAAGAAAAATGGAAATATGATGGAGTAAATATCAGACCATAAATGAGAAAATACATTGTCAGGCAGGTCCACAGATATGGTCTGTGGACCTCTTTATTCAGCACAGTTAATTTTAATGGAGATATTTGAAATACTTCCTGTTGGTTTGGGGTAGGCTAAAATCAGGGAATCCCCATACATTCAGAGACCTTAGAAACAGATAAAGTGATACAAGTCACTTTACTATTGAAAAACTAGAAATTTAATTTAATTTCCTTTGTCTAATGCCCCCATGCCCCAAAAGCCAACTTTTGTTCAGAACATAAAGTCTAAATTTTTTAACCAATTTAATATTGAAAATTAATTATATATATAATACTGACAACAGAACACTCCAGAAGGAATTGAAACTTCAAATTCTAAAACTTCATAAAGTTTATCAAATTCAGTTTTCTACATATGAAGTTTATTCAACTAGAAATCTGCCAATATTTTTTAATAAAGGAGTCCTATCCTGGTTAAAATCTTCTAGAGAAGCTGTAAAAATATGATCGTATAAAGATACATTATATAAAGTTTACATTTTTCTCTCTGAGAAATAATATATTTAATGTAGCTCCACTGGAAAAAGCTTTGAGGTCGGGAAAGGGTATAGAAAAGTTAAACCTCAAAAGAACTGGAGATGCTTCAGATAAGCATCCACTCTTTTTAGGGCTTATCAAAAGAGAGTCACACCTCCAGATCTTTTGAGAGTGACCGATCAATATTCAACAGATGTAAATGATTGGTTTCACTATCAAACCATGTACTTCCCAGTTAAAGCTGGAGGGACTCTCTCAGAGTAAGCAGTTTCAGGACTGGAGATATTTGCCACCAACTTTCCTTCCATAAACAATAGGACTCCTTTAATAATATTCTGGTTAAGCTTGGGACACTACTGTCCCTTGCAGAGTAAACACAGAAGGGCACTGAGTGCTAAGCCACCTGCAAAGTATCTCTAGAAGAAGAGAAATGTGTTCTCTTTTGCACCGTTAAGGCAGAGGATGCAGGACTTCTACTAAAACCCCAAACGTTTTCTGGATTTTAGTTGATATATATTGACCTATCTTCACTAATGTGAGTGTAGAATTGCTAGATAAAACAACAAAAGACCCTTGTGGCACCTGAAGAGCAAATAAATATATTGTGGGCATAAGCTTTTGTTGATTCTAGCCCATGAAAGCTTGTGCTTTAATAAATTAGCTAGTTTGTAAAGTACCACAAGACTCTGTTGTTTTTGCTAACAGCTAACACAGCTACCCCTTTGGATGAAAAAGTTCCTAAGGCCTTTTCAGCAGTCAAAAAGATGGTAATTAAAGCATTACTTTTGCAGCATGGAAACAGCTTCAGCATTGTCTAGTTCATAGGTGAACACTATGATCCATAGGGCACGATACAGTCCACCGCCATCACATTTTGCACAGCTCACACAAGGTGACAACACCCTCAGCCAACTGACAAGTCATCCCCCCCCCTTTAGTGCCCAGTGCCAGAAGTGAGGACCGTGATAGGACCACCTTTTCATGATGGCATTTATATTAGAGAGGAGAGTGCCTTTCCTCCTTCGCACCCAGCAAAAAGCAACCTTCAAGGCATTCTGAGTTGTGAACTGGCCGCCCTGGTATCAGTATCAGTAGCACTGGAGCCAACCATTTTAGCCCTTGCTGTTCCACAGTGTTTCACGCATAATAGAACTGTGGGGGAACAGACCATGCTGAGGCAGCTTTCAAACTGGAAAGGTAAAGCTTGAATTGGATCTCAAGAGTATCTGTTGACCTGATAGTTAGCAATTGATAATATTTTTCCCCTCAATAAACTTGCTTCTATTGACAGAATAATAGACTGTTGTGAGCTGGTCCACACGCTTGCTTACTTGGGAATTTTGTGTACATGGTTGGGGCAATGAATGTGTGCCTCAACCACAAATTATTTTATTGTGGGAGCTGAAGTCCCCATGGCCCTTAGGAGTTGGCTCTTATGCATACATATACATCTGCTACCTGCAAGTCTTAATATCTGAAAAAGGTTAGATCCTAGGAATCTGTCAAAGATATATGCAAATGAATGCTTATTTGTTGTCCTGCTATGTTTATGGGGTTGCAAGAGAGGCAAAGGGTTGAACGAGCTGTAAATGTGGTGGTTCATCTGTCCTCATTGTGTTATCTTGCATTGCTGATTTTATCATATATTAATAAATATGATTGTCTAAACTGGCTGTGAGGAAACATAAAATGAATGTTGCATGGGCATGATGACAAGTTTTTTTTAAAAAAAATCAGTATCATTGAAATATGTGTTGTGGAGATGTAATGAATAATTGTTTTTTCAGATGTTCATAAAGCCCAGTGGACATTGTAGAATTAAGGGTGGAGATGCGTATTCTTTCCCGAAGTACATGTATATCAATGGTAACCTTAGAAATTGCAGTGTACAATACATCTCTGAATGGGAACGGAGATGCAGGCTGCTCTTGCTGAATATTCCCTCCAGCGTGTTCACCCTGCTTTTCTCATAAGCTCTGCTCCTGTACTTGTGAGGGACTTAGAACCTAGTCAATAGGTGATAGCAGAACCAGTAGTGTGGAATTTTCAAAGGCTGCATACATAAAGGTCTTCCTAATCTACCACAAGCTGTTGAAAAGCTCCTAGTTGTGTTGGGGCACCATGCCAAATCAGATAATGCTTGAATGCTCCTTATCCTGCTTTGCCCCATCAACCTGCCAAGTATGTATGGCAACATCAAATACTCAGCAAGTAAAAAGCATTTTAACATGACCACACAGAATAAGTGAGGGTGTTTTTGGCTGCCTGCACCTAGGAAGAATAAAAGCTTGCCTCAGCTGACCCTCAGAAGCCACACATTTGTGGTAGAGGAAGAAAAGGTTCTTGGTTTGCTATCTTGAGGAGTGGCTGCCTTTGTGAGTTATGGACACCGTAAGCATTTGGTATGGCACTAAAAAGCGGACGTGAGAGCCTGTTGCAAGAACATTGCCTTCATTGTTAATCTATAGTTTCAAAGTAACCAATTTGGGCTAGAAATTGGTTAAAGCACCCCCATTTTTTGTTCTAACACCTTCCCAAGGAACACCTGCTCTTCAAAGTTGAATCTGAGGTTTAAATTGCCATTTGCTCAGATTCTGCTTTAAAGAGCAGGTTTTTTGCAGGGAAAGCGGGGGCGGGGGCAACTCAGTCACACAGCATTAAAGCGCAGACTAAGAGCAGGGCAAATGGAAAGTGTGGAAAAGCTCTAATGGATGGTTTTTTTAGTGTGAAGCCAGCAGATCTAGGCCGTTCCACCCCATGTTAAAATTCCTGCCATTCCTGTAAATATCATAGTGTTATTTTTCACATTTGCAGACTGTACATTGTGTGTGTCCACCGAGAATGCTATGCAAAATCAAATCTACCTACACAAAGGGGACTGGTCAGTTTTTTATTTCAGTAAGACCAAAGGTGCAGGTGGGAAGCAAGAGTTTGCAGCAATCTGAGCCTTGCTTTGACCCCTCTGTACATAGTGGAAGGGCACCCACAATCCTCCAAAATTGTGGCCACAGCCTACCTGGAATTTGTGTCAGTCTCACAATGCAATCCTCTACATGCCTACTCAGAAGCATAGGTGCCAGCTCCCTGGGGCCCTGGGTGCCTGAGCACCCACAAAATTCTCCATGAATGGGGTGGGCACCCACAAATTTTGGTGCCAGGGCCAAGCATGCTGCATGGCACCCATGGCCCTGGGCACCCACAGTAGGGAGCAAGCCCTGGCGCTGATGCTCAGAAGTAGGTCTCATTAGGTTCAATGGCTCTTGCTCCCTGGGAAGTGGGTGTAGGATTGCAGTCTCAATCATACAGAAGGTCGCAATGAACTGTGTCTAGAAAAGCAATTTCTTAAAGCTTCTTGCAGCATACTTGGTATAAAGATAAACCAAATTTTGTATAACTCCTCTGGCCATACAGTTTGAATTGTTCAATTTAACTAGAAATAAAGAGTAGTTGGCTAAAGTTCTTCATGTGCTAAAATTCCAGATTACCTGTTCACACTCCCCCTCCCCTCCATTTTATCTTTTTTTAAAAGCACAGGTTAAGAGAACTTTTTAAGCTTATATATTGACTGCCCATTCAACTGAACTGTGTTTTGTTCCTGATTTTACCCCCGGGTAAAAAATACTATAATTTTTCACAAATAAAGGCTTAATGGTGCCAGCAAAATGAAGTATGGAGAAACATGGACTTTTAAAATAGCACCCAGTTGTTTCTGGTAGTAAAAGCTAACATTTGATGTACCACTTCCTAATTTTTTGAAATATTCTTAGAAATCAGGAAAAATAATTTCCCCTTCAGTTACAGATGAAATTCTTATTTTCAACCCTCTCCTTGCTTTCATACAAACACATTGAAAGTTAGGCCAAAATGTGTTTCTCTTGAGCTATGAAACTGAATGGTCACACATAGGTTTGTAAATCAATTTTCATTCCAGCTAGCAATGAGCATACTGAATCAGACAAACATCCAGGAATTGCCATGCAGGCTTTTGATACTGAAAATGTCACTAGTATTATGCAGTTAGACTTTTATTAAAATGTGTGTGCTTTTTATACTAAGGCCTCTTTAATTTTGTTACTGTAAATATTCTTGAATCCCTTTCATATATTATAGTTCTAAAATAGGGACCAATAGCAATAATGGAAATGAGGAATTGGACGATGAAAGTTTTATACATGCATCTTATTAGACAGCAAATAGAATATGGGAAATGCATGAGATATGGCTTTTGTTGGCATGCCTACCTCTGGAACACATCCCAGAGGTCCTCTTTGGGACTAGAAGGCATTACACAAAATCTCATCCATCTCACAGTTCTGCACCGTTCTTGTGAACTCCTGGAGGGCTTGAAGTTAATCTGCTGGTTATCTGTGTACTGTATATTTAGTTTGTATTACCAAGTAGCATTTTTTACATCAAAATGCTGAAATAAGAAATTCTGATATGATCAACAGAAAATGAAGTTTTTCTTCAATAGCTTATTTGAAGCAAAAGATGCAAAAGGGAGTTGCAATTTTACAGGCTAAGGGACAAATCAAAGTTTCAGTGGAGAAGCAGGTCTGGCAAACATGTAAAGAGCAGTAGTGGGAGAGTCTGATTTGAAGAAGAGAACAGCAGGTGGGTGAGGGGGATGCTTAATCGTTCATCCATTATCTCTCTACTGCGCTTCTCTCCAATAGTAATATTTCCTCATAGCCACAGCTAACACCTGGAACTTTGACTGGGGAAAGGTGGCAGAAGGAGGCAAATCAGGAAAAACCTAGTGGATGTGGGAAGGGCTAAGAACTTAACTCCCTGTGAAGTTCTCCCCCCGACACATTTTAGATAGTCAGCAAGGCCCCAGGATCCCAGTCAGACATCACATTTCATCTTAAAACAGGACTCAGAGCTGCTGTTCTTGGAAGTGATGGATTGCCTGAGAAGCAGTGCAAAAGCATGTGGTGCTGAGCATCACTTACAGGTCTACTCAAACAGAAGGAGATCCCATTATGTTGAATAGGGCTTTCTCCCAGGGAAGTGGATATAAGATTGCCTAATTGATGCAAAAACAAAACAAAGAAATTGAAATATTTGTACAGAAACAACACACGTCAGGCAGCCACATGAAACATTCACTAACACCATTCAACCATTTATTCCATTGGCTTCTGTGAAAAAGGAGCTATTTCTTCCCTTGTAATTTTCCTTTCTTTAGATGGGCCATCACTGGGTCATATTTTTTTATTTTTTTAAGAGGAATAAAATGACTGTTTTTTGAGTTAAGGGAATTTTATGGCACCACAGTTGATTGATGCCCATCTTTTCCACCATTTGTAAACTTCATTCTGTATGGATTGGGATGCATGGAACATTAAATAAAATGTCAAAGAACTATTAGTTCCTTTGGGGGGCAGTGTTGAAGATGAGAATCTACACACTTCATGGTGTAAAATGCATCCCTAGTGAAATTATGGCAGCTTCAGATGATTTTATTTTTTCACTGTATGTAAGGTGCCTTGAGAAATGTGAGCAATTTAGGTATCCCCTAATGACATGACTTCCGTCACAGCCTAGTTTTAGCAAGCAGAATGCTGTAAACCTCATTCACACGTGTAACCGAAGTCCGAAAGGGAATCTGGTTGACAGGAAGAGGAGTGGAATGCTAAGAGAGGGAAGGAGTGCCAATTGGGAAGGTCAATTGTGGATTAGAGGAAGATGAGACAGACAGTGAGAGGAAGGGTACAATGACATATATTTATAAGAGAGAGAGGATAGTTGTAGAGACTCTAGAGCAGACACACTTAGGCAGGACGTTAGAATTACAACAACTGTGTAGATGTTACTTGCCTGCACTGGTGGGGGGGGTCCTCAATTAAATAAAAGTTCAAGCTTCAGAACTTGAAAGGATGAATTCTGGTATGGGTAGATTCTAATATAAACTATGCCTCTTGCCTGCTGCCTATCGTGCCATGGGTGATGGAGAAGAGTCCTCCTGCTGTCCAAGTCGGTAGGTCATGGTAACCGATATGTTTGAGAGAGGTCAGGACTAAGTGGAGTAGCCGAGGGACTGACCTTTAATGACAACCTGGGGAGAAACCTTGTGATGGACCCTGGGGGTGTCACAATGTGTTATGCTCATGAAGAGATTCAAATGATTAAAGGATCAGTAGTATGGTCACAATATTGGCTCTGCCTCTTAAGTTGTGCAGCTCTCTGGACACACACACACACACACACACACACACACACTCATGTCCATGTATCAAGCAAGGATGTCTACATGAGAAAGCCCATGTGTGTGGACTTCAGAACATGTAACCTGATCATGTGGAAGAACCTGGCACTGTGAATCAGCTCTTAGTTGGATAGAAAAGGATAATGGTGCACATGTCAAGCACGGTTGCTAAGAACAGCCAACACTGCCACAACATTCGATTTGTGCACAGTGGTAGAACTTGCAGCAGTCAAAAACAGTAAACCTAAGTGATTAAGAGGCTTAACCAGTCCTTCTTCCATATCAGAAATCATAACTATTTTTATCAAGCTTTAGAAATTTTGTAAGAATGTTTGAGGAAGGGGCACAGCTCAGTAGTAGAGCACATGTGCAAATGGTCCTAAGTTCTTGAGGTAAATATGTCACATTTCCAGGGTGGATATACAAAGGCTTCCTGGAAGACTGCTGCCAATGTATACAATAGTGAGCAAAAGGAACCAGTGGCGAGGCGGTGATGGAAGGTAGTTTTCTAAGTTCTTAAGAAATAAGCAGATCCAGAGTGCAGGGGGGCCAGGTGAGAGGAACAGATTTGCACTAGGGTTGTTGTTGATATTAGCTTTTTGTATCTTTATTTTTATTTCTTTTCAGAGTTATGTGGAAAATGTTCAATTTGGTTGTTTACTTTTTGATTTGTTTTATTTATTGTTTGTTATGTTTGTAATTGTGGACTTTTTCACGTAAGCCTTGAGCATGGTTTTAACTATGGAAAGGTGGCATACAATAAAACGATTAATTAATTAATTAAGTAATGTAAAAGGGGCTCCAGTAGAGGTCTGTAACCTCCATGAGTTCTAGTTATCTTAAGATGTTTACACACAGGAGAAAATTTGATTTATTGTGTATTTACAGCTGAACCTATCAAATTTGCTGTCTCTCAACCAATATGTAAACCAAAAACATAGCTATTCTTAGAAATTTGCACTAATCTGAATTTTGTGGTGTAGTTCTTCAATCAACGTTTACAAAAGTGCATTTTAGAGGGAAGTGTGAATAAAAATGAATCTATTAGTGAAAATAATATACAGAAAATTGCTTGCAAACTGTGTATTAGTCAAAACTGCATATAAAAATATGAAATTCACAGTAAAATAATGAATTTTTACATGTTGTTTTTTTTTGAGAAAAAAAGTTTGCTGCAAAATGTGGAGGACTAAATTTAATATTGGAGAAATTGAGAAAACCCAAACTGACAGATCCTTCCATCCCAACTCAACACCTAGACATTTGGGTCAGGGAGCTGAGCAACCTTGGACCACTGCCCCTTTATTAATGTGAAGGGAACTTTAGTGTAGCTTTCATAGTGGCCCCCAGTTACCACTGTTTAAGCAGTTTGGAAAAAGTACCACCTTAAATTTCTGCAATTGCAATATACATAAGGCTTTCGTTATATGGAATCTCTTCTGTAACATTTAGCTAAAGCTACAGCCAGTGTGTGTGTAACCTTGCTAATAGTGACTGCAAATAAGCATAAATTAATATTCAGCAGTTAAAATGTCACTAATTGCCCATGTCTGTCATTTGCTCACATGTTCAATGCCAACATATGGTGCATATATGCCCACATGACCATCAGATTTGAATTATGTATCAAGAAAGAACAACAGCCCCAGAAATAGCCACAATGAATGTTAACCTGGTTCAAAGTTGGTTTAAAGCTTACTGAATTCTTGGAGTCAGTGCACCAGTATCAAAACACATTTTCCCACTGTATTTTAAACTCCTCTTTTGTCCTTTGTTGCTGTTTATGCTATACCACTCCATAGTAACACAAAGAAGTAAGTTATTTACATTGGTGCTTTGTCATTTGAGCAGACCATTTTTTCTCCTTTAATGCCCTCTCCCTAAAATAAACTTCAACCCATACAGTCCATGTTGAATCACGCAACATTAAAGAGAGACAGTCAATGGAGGACTGCTCAACATTTAGAACTGCTTTGGTTCCCCTGACATGGTCAGGAGAACAGAGAACCAGCTAGTTAGTCCAGAAGCAAGAAGACTGTGCGTATCACATGGCTACTGCATCTTGCAAACCACAGGGAATGTCAGCAAAACTGATTCTTTGTTTGCTCTGTTTTTTTATGGGAGATTCAGTTAAGGTCACTAGAATTTCAATGATTAAAAACAGTAATAAGCGGTTCACCTAGCTGAAAGAATAACATTCCAATTGTTGCATGGGTTCATGCAGGGTATTTTCTCTTATCCATCCTTGTAGTCCGATTTCTGCAGTTACATGCTAGGTGGTTCCAGTTGTGTCATCCGGCGTAATGTGTTTAATAAGTGCTTCTTGGTTCCATGTGTCAGTGGCGGTCATAAGCAGCAGCGGCTGCTGGAGGTGCTGCTCCTCGGGCCGCAGCGCTGTAATAGTAAGGAGAGCCTAGAAGAGAAGAGATGCCATGGTGTAAATCACAAATCTTCAGAGGTGTTACTCATCACCAAGCAAATGAAGGAGTTAGAGAAAGAGTAACAAAGCCATCCTCCTCAGTGTCTTGTCCAGCACCTAACGTATTACTTAGTCCATGTTTCTCAGATCAGAGTGTAAACACAAGGTGCCAGGAAAACCTACAGGATAATACAGACAACTGTAGCATATACCCAGGTGACTCAAGTTGCACATCAGTAGTCCACACTTGTCCCTAGAGCAGCTTGCATACCTACTCAGAGTGAGTGGGTTGATTTAAATTAGTGATAGGCCAACTATCCCTGTTACCATGGCTGTGACCGGGCACACCCAATTTTTTTTAAAAAAAGGGAGGCAGAAGGAAACAGATAGAGGGCAGGCAGGGGGAAAATACTGGAACGGATCTTCAGCCTCTGCCTGCTGCAGATCCCTTCCAGCCTTTTTCTTCTGCCTGCTTCTGGCTCTGTCATTGTCTGAGCTACTTTCACTACCTTTTGCTCACACCCAGTAAGCGCTGTCTCATTCACTAGAAGAAACAATCTGTTTTGGTCAA